AAAGGACACCAGTACCCATCCTTGGCTTTGCTGCTCTGCTCCAGGAGCCAGCAGCAAAATGAAATTCACCAGATCTCTTTTCTGAAGGCACACAGAGAGGTGTGGGAAGGGGAGAAGGACAGGCTGGACTGGGAAACGGCACAGAATAGAGGAGAGACTGGAGAGGAGAGAACTGAATGTGCAAAGAACCAAGACTTTGGCTAGATAGGCCAGAGATCAGGAAGCCAGGCTGGAGTTTGGGAGACCCAGCTCAATCCCCTGCTCTGCCACAGACTCCCTGTGTGACCTTGGCAAGTCACTTAGTCTCTCTGGGCCCCTGCTCTGTGTCTGTAAAGCAGGAGAACAGCACTGGCCTGCCTCATGGCGCTGCAAAGATCAGTGTAGGTAGGATTGTGAGACATCCAGATACCACCACCACGGGGGCCAGATAAGCATTGTGGTGACGAGCGGCGGATGCTCCGAGACCGATGGCAAGAGATGTAATCAATACGGGGACAGAGCAGGGCAAGGAGATCTAATGGGGGCATGGATCAGTGTCCAGAGAAGAATGCGGGGGTAACAAAGAAGGCAGGCGGTGGTGGGATGCCAGATGCGATACTGACGGAGGATCTTAATGTGAACTGAAAAGCTTTCACCCACTGAGATCTGTTCCTTCGGCAGGAGTTGCCACTGGAACGCGGACCCGTCAGCGGGGCCGGGGCAGAGGGGAGGAGGAACCGGCGTTCACAGACTGTGGCTTGCAGGCTGCATGCTCTCTGCGGCAAGGGGAAAGCCAAAGGCAAGAGGCTATTTATTTTTAAAGGCCTTTTATCTCCCCTTGAGGCCCAAGCTTGGAGAACGTCAGCCAGCCCAGCAGTCGATTGGCAGAGTAACAGGCTGCATCATGGGAGAGCAGCGCCAGGCTCCGGAGACCCTCAGCCCACCAGGGACTGGCTGCACCCTGGAGCAGCCCCGGGGGGCAGAGGGGCAGGAGTGCTTTGTGCTGCTCTCAAGGTGCAGGGTATGGGGGCAAGAGAGCGTTAGCCACGGCTGGAGCGAAGAGACCCTGCCCCACAAGGCCCCGGGGTAGAGGGAGAGAAATCCTGCAAGAGCTTCCACAGCCCCCTACAAAGTGAGTACGTTCTCCTACGTGGGCGTGTGCCCCACACCGCACAGCGGGGACCTCAGGCACTGCCCAGATTGCCTCGCCCTGCAATTCCACCCCCGCGGCTGGCCCGGGCTGCGGGGCTGTTAGACACCCAGGCTCAGACCCGAGCTCTGGGACCCTCCTGCCTTGCAGGGGCCTAGCATGGAACAGCTACACTGCAATTGAACAGCCCCTTGGCCCAAACGCCCCACGAGCCTGAGTCAGCTGGCCCAGGCCAGCCACGGGTGTGGACACACCCTCAGTCACGGACTTTAACCCAGGGCCCTTCTCTAGCCCTGCCCATCCGAGGATCTCAGAGCACATACTCAGCATAGGATGCTTCTGCACGCGCTCCCTGAGAGCGGGGTCTGAGTCACTGGCCCCAGTTACAAAGTGCACAGAGAGGGTGGGAACTTGCCCAGGGACCCCAGCGAGTCAGCAGAAGAGCTGGGCACAGAACCCAGCAGGCCTGACTTCGCCAGGGGCCTCAGCCCACCCTCGCGGGATCAACTTTCGGGGGGGTGCAGGAGAAAGGGGCTTGATCTTCACACGGGCTCAACCCTGGGCCAATTTTGTCCCCAAAATGATTTAAAAAAGCAGTAAGAGGCTCCAGTGGGAGGTTAGGTCCATGCCCAGCCCTGTCCAGCAGGCAGGGTTGAGTGAATCTGCAGCTTAGCCACTAATTCCTTGATTTAGGTTTTTTAAGTGTGTGCGTTGGGGGGGTGGATTGGGGGTACTGATATTCGGGGGCTCATAACCCCTCTCCTCCCCCTTCAGGGAAGTCTGTGGGCAGAGCTGCAGCTCAGCAAGGTTCCCAACTTTGACTCAGTTTTCAGCTGGCTGGACTGAGGCCCTGGCTGCTGTCACGGGGGTAGCGTGGCCGGGGTGTGACCTGCCCCATGCCCGCAACCCCAGAACATACACACCAGTGCCTGAGGGGCGCATGCTTGCAAAGGCTCTTGCAGATGGGGCTTTGGGGTGCGGGGATGCCAGAGATCCTTGTGACCATTCCCCCAAGTGCTCTCACGGCGCAAACTCCTGCCAGCCTCTACCCGCGGCCAGGCAGGGCGGGAACCAGGTTTATTAGGTCCAACGTACAGCATGAACCACACCTGGACCAGCTGAGCAGAAAAGCTGCAGCCAGCCCGGACCGGAGGGTGCGTCTGGATTTCAGGCGATTGAGCCAGAACCACACCCAACGGGGACGAGGCATCAGATTAAAGTGACCTGAGCTCCTGTCCCAACCCCAGACCAGACCCAAGTCACGTGTGTAAAGCCGGCCAGCCATGTCCGTGGTGCCCGTCGCGTGGGTGAATGGGGTGGGCACCGGGGCTCTGGCGCAGTGGCAGCTTCCAGATTTTCAGGTGCTAACTGGCAGTGCCCCAGCGATGGTTCTAGCAAACAAGTCTCTCCCCACCCCCATTGCTGCCTGGGCTGGGGAGAAAGGGACTCGCAAGGGTCCCAGTTCTCCTCCCCCCGCACCCGCAGGGAAAACTCCCTTTCAGTGCAAAGGGAGCGAGCTGGGCCCGTGGTTGGGGAGGAAGGTGGGTAACAGGGAGAGTGGATTCCTGTTCGGCTGGGTGGGGGGACACGTGTAATGCATTCCCGCCAGGTTCCCCAGCAGGCTCAGATGATCCCTGCAGAGCTCGCAGCCCCATGGGGCTGAACCAGAAGCAGTAAACATCGTCCCAGTAGTTCGCCCTGCCTGGGGTGGGACCTTTGGAGCCCAGGGCCCACAGGGCTGCAGGTGTCTCAGCCTGGCTGCGGGGTCAGCGCAGGGACAAAGGCTGCACAGCGCAGAGCAAACACAGATCAAGCCCCACGCAGACTGGGATGCCCGTGCCGGCTACTCCCAGGAAAGGGCCAAGAGACACAAACAAAGCGCTCAGACCTGGGCCCACACACCCAGCTGGGAGCCGGCCCAACAGCCAGCCCTGGGCCTCGCTGTTGCCGTTCTGTGAAATGACCCATTGTCTCCTGATCCCCAACACAAGTATTGCAGGCAACTCCCCCAGCTGCTGGAGCGGAGGAACGGCCTCTGGGCGAGAGGGGACTTCTGTCTCCATGGCCTGCTCAGATCTTGAGCTCTCTGCTCTGAGTGTCCCCAAGTGCTGGGGCCAGCGGGGTGGACCCCTGTCCATCAGGAACTGGAGTGCGACACCTCTTCCCTCTGCACACAGGCCACAAACCAGTCATCGCATTGCCAGGACTTTGGGCCACAGCTGACTCGGTTCCAAAGCGTGTCTCTGCAGCCCACTGCCAGAGCCCTGAGTCTGCCGAATGTAACCACTGGGCCCATCGGGTAAAGCCGAAGCCAGCGCAGTGACCCTGGTGCCAAATCAGTGTAAGAGGAGAATCAGGCCCGGGGCACCCAGCAAGTGCGGTTATACTGGAAAGAGAGCAGCGCTTCCTGGCTTGTTTGCCTCTCTTCCCGCTAAGCTGGAGAGCCAAGCTAGTAACTGTCCCGGTCACTGCACCGCTGGTGGGGTCAAGTCCTGCCCCATATATACCGGGGCTAGAGAGTGACCCACATGGCTGGGTGGGGGTGGGGGTGGGGGAGGGAAGGCAGGGTGGCGTACAAGCAATTTGTTGCTTTGACTTCCTAGTTTACACAGTAACGCGAGCTGCAGATTGAAGGTCCTCAACCACATGGGGACCCCTGCCCCCAGCACATTACACAGAACTGCCATCTAAGGGACAGCATGAGGGGGGACACTTCTGCCTTGGACACCCCCCACCCCAGCCTGGCTGAACCCTGAGTCTCTGACGTGCACTTGGCTCACCCGGCACCAGGAATGCTCGAAAACAAATGAGAAAATCACCCACAGTCTGAATTAAAGAGACATCACCAAGTTAAAAACCCCGTATTTGAGTAAAGACGTTTCTTCCCTGGGCTAAGGACAGCCGAAATTATAAAAAAACCACTAAACTGACCCCCCCTCCCCCCGGAGCCACAATTCCCCCCCCACACACACACACACTTTGTTTGCTTTCTGCATTTCATTCCACCCGGACAACAGATTCCTCAATTTCATTGGCACTCCTACATCAGTTTCACTTTCAGGTTCTCTGCTGTAGCAGGTCCTGCAATGTTTGAGTTGCAAACACATGGGGAAGTGGTTAGCTCCAGATATAAATAAAACCCCAAACAAAGGCTGTGTGCATGTAAAATATTTTATGTAAATATTAGCTTTTGGAAACTTTTTAGACCAAAACCTCCATCTGAGGCCTAAGGAATCCATCAGTGCCCATTAATGGGTCTCTGGGGCTGCTGATCAGAGAAAAAACAAGCCTTTTTTGCAGACAAAGTATTTCTAAATTTTTGCGTTGAACTGAGTTTGCCTCCTCGCAATATAAATAGAAGTCTCTCCCTCCCCCGCAATGCTCAGTTTTACATATCCTCGCTGCCAAACAGTCGGTAGGAGTGCATCCCTTCCCCTGCGAGCTGCTGCCGGAGCGTGTGCCCCTACGAGGTGCCATCTAGTTCACCTCCACAGGGGCCCAGCTCAGGATTGGTCCTTGCAGCATAGTTGCAAATGTTTGGTCTAGTCTAGTTTTAAACACCCCGAGTGCCTGGGATTCTAGCACTTCCCATTGGGAGGAGAAGCCTCTGGCAGGTGTCATTCAGCTCCCCTGATCTAACTCTACTGAGGTTAGCAGAGATGCCTCTGGATTTGCACCGGTGTAACTGAGCCCAGTGGTGGAGAGACTCCAGTGATGGTCAATCTAGAGTTTCCTTTCTCACTTTCCCTCTAGTCACAGCCCCTTGGCATTCCTCCATCTGCCCACTAAAGCCGCAAGCTACTGACCTAGCGCTCCAGCCCAGCCCCAACACAACAGCGGAGCAAGCAGAACCCAACCTGGGCGGGCTTACCTTTTTTGAACTCCTCCAGCATAGCATCCAGCTTGGTGTCGTGGAAGACGAAATGGACCGGGTGGTTGTAGAACTTGGTGATGGTCTTGAGGGGGGTGCAATCGTCAGGGTCCACAAAGGCCAGGTCCTTGACGTAGAGGATGTCCACGATGTTGGAGCGCTCCTCCTCATAGACCGGGATGCGGGTGTAGCCGCTCTCCATGATCTCCGACATTGTGTTGAAGTCCAGGATGGCGTCGCTGTTGATCATGAAGCAATCGTGGAGCGGAGTCATGACATCCTCCACTGTCTTAGTCCGGAGCTCCAGAGCTCCCTGGATCATGTTGAGCTCCTCCTTGACCAGATCGTTGTAGGGCTCCGTCACCTTCAGCATCTCGACCAGCTTCTCACGGTTGTAGACGGTGCCGATCTCCTGGCCCAGGATGCAGTCCAGGAGCTTGCTGATGGGGAAGGAGAGGGGGAACGTCACCAGCATGAAGAACTTGGTGATGGCGATGGTGTTGGCGCCCACGGCCAGGCCGTGCCGGGAGCAGAGGGCCTGCGGCACGATCTCGCCGAAGATGACGATGCCGATGGTGGAGGCGATGACGGCGCCTAAGCCGGAGCCGATGAGGTCGTCCAGTAGGATGGTGAGGGTGGTGTTCACCAGCACGTTGCCCAGCAGCAAGGAGCAGAGCAGGTAGTTGCCCTTCCTGCGGATGGGCTCGATCTTGCGGGCGTAGCGCTTCTCCTTGTTGGTGCCGCAGTTCTGCACGATGCGCAGCTCCATGGGGTCCAGCGCCATGAGGCCCAGGTTGAGGCCGCTGAACATGCCGGAGAGCACCAGCAGGCAGAGGATGAGGATGATCTGGAACCAGAGGGGCAGCAGCGACTTCTTCTCCTCCACCACCATGAGGCGGCCGTCGCTGCCCTGGTGCTGCAGCCAGGGCTGGCCGGGGCCGCGCTTGGTGCACAGGACGTAGACCTTGGCCCGCTCGTGCTTCCGCAGGGGCTGCACCCGCACGAGCAGCACCCCGGAGGTGTCGCGCGTCTCGGCCATGCGGGGCTGCACCACCAGGTCCTGGGTGGGCTCGGGGCAGCCGCCCTCGGCCCGGGCCGGGGCGCTGGCGTTGCCCGCCGCGCTGCCGTTGGCCCAGGCGCCCAGGGCGGCGAAGGCCACCAGCTCCCCGGTGCCCGGCCGGATGCCCAGCCCGAAGAGCCGCAGCCGCACCTGGCTGCCCTCGGTCACCTGGATGACGCCCCCCTCGGCCGCCGCGGCCGCCGGCTTGCTGGTGCCCTCCAGCCGCATGCCCAGGATCACGCTGCCGCCGTCGCTGCCGGGCGGGCCCGGCCCCGCCGCCAGGGGGAGCGCGAGCGCCAGCCCCAGCAGCGCCCGCAGCGCCCCCGCCGCGCCCCCGCTGCCGCCGCCGCCGCCGCCCGGCGCCATGTTCCGCTCGCCCCGCGCCTCGCCCGTCACAACCGCCCGCTGCTGGGCCGGCGGCGGCGCGCACGTCGCCCGCCGCGCGGCCCCGCCCCCTCGCCCCGGCCCCGGCCCCGCCCCCGAGGCGCCTTAAGGAGGCGCCGGGCTGGGGGGAGCGTTAAGGAGGCGGGAGTTCGCGGCTGCGGGGGGCCGTGTTAGGGGGCGGGGGGTGAATTTTTGGGGGAGGGTGTTATGGGGCGGGGGGGTTGATTTTTGGGTGTTATGGGGCGGGGGGTTGATTTTTGGGGGGCGTTGGGGGAGGGTGTTATGGGGCGGGGGGTTGATTTTTGGGTGTTATGGGGCGGGGGGGTTGATTTTTGGGGGGGGTGAATTTTTGGGGGAGGGTGTTATGGGGCGGGGGGGTTGATTTTTGGGTGTTATGGGGCGGGGGGTTGATTTTTGGGGGGGGCGTTGGGGGAGGGTGTTATGGGGCGGGAGGGTTGATTTTGGGTGTTATGGGGCGGGGGGTTGATTTTTGGAGGGTGTTGGGGGAGGGTGTTATGGGGCGGGGGGGTTGATTTTGGGGGGGCGTTGGGGGAGGGTGTTATGGGGCGGGGGGTTGATTTTTGGGGGGCGTTGGGGGAGGGTGTTATGGGGCGGGGGGGTTGATTTTGGGGGGGGCGTTGGGGGAGGGTGTTATGGGGCGGGAGGGTTGATTTTTGGAGGGTGTTGGGGGAGGGTGTTATGGGGCGGGGGGGTTGATTTTGGGGGGGCGTTGGGGGGAGGGTGTTATGAGGCGGGAGGGTTGACTTTTGGGTGAGGGTGTTATGGGGCGGGAAAGTTGACTTTTGGGTGTTATGGGGCGGGGGGGTGATTTTTGGAGGGTGTTGGGGGAGGGTGTTATGGGGCGGGGGGGTTGATTTTTGGTGTTATGGGGCGGGGGGGTTGATTTTGGGGGGGGGCGTTGGGGGAGGGTGTTATGGGGCGGGAGGGTTGACTTTTGGGTGTTATGGGGCGGGGGGGTGATTTTTGGAGGGTGTTGGGGGAGGGTGTTATGGGGCGGGAGGGTTGACTTTTGGGGGAGGGTGTTATGGGGCGGGAGGGTTGATTTTTGGGGGGTGATGGGGAGGGTGTTATGGGGCGGGAGGGTTGATTTTGGGTGTTATGGGGCGGGAGGGTTTATTTTTGGGGGGGTGTTGGGGGAGGGTGTTATGGGGCGCGGGGGTGACTTGTGGGGGAGGGCGTTATGGGGTTGGGGATGATTTTCAGAGTGGTGGGGGAGGGGGTGCATGGGACAGGGGGTGATTCTTGGGGGGGGTACAGAAGGGGGATGTAGGGAACTGTGGGGCAGGGGTGTCCTTTGGGGCAGCCCTGCCATGCCTAGGCCTCTCTGCCCTGCCCCGCCCCGCCCCGCCCCCGGTGTAAGACACTATCCCATAGTTAACATGGGGGCTAGGCCCCTACAGAGGGACATGATGATACTCTCTAGGGCGCGGCTGGGGAGTCACGCCCCTGAGCTTCTCCCAGCTCGCACGCTGACCCTCCCACCTGGTGGAATTTTCCACTCCTTGCCCCTTGTTTATTGATTCATGACTTTGCCATAAAACGCAGGAGTCAGTAACTACAGGAAGGGGACCGACACCTTGGCGGCTTGCCCAGCGCCATCCTGCAGCCTTCGATCCCTCTTGTGTTATGAGAAGGAGTAAATCACACTCCCTTATTTACTTTCTCCACACCCGTCATGATTTTATAGTCCTCTATCATATCCCCCCTTAGTCGTCCCTTTTCCAAGCTGAAAAGTCCCAGTCTTATTCATCTCTCCTCATACGGAAGCTGTTCCATCCCCCTCATCATTTTTGTTGCCCTTTTCTGAACCTTTTCCAATTCTAATATTTCTTTTTTGAGATGGGGTGACCACATCGGCAAGCAGTATTCAAGATGTGGGTGTAGCATGGATTTATAGAGAGGCGACATGATATTTTCTGTCCTGTTATCCATCCCTTTCTTAATGATTCCCAACATTGTTTGATTTTTTTGACGGCCGCTGCACATTGAGTGGATGTTTTCAGAGAACTGTCCACAATGACTTCAGGATCTCTCTTGAGTGGTAACAGCTAATTTAGACCCCATCATTTGATATGTGTAGTCGGCATTGTGTTTTCCGAGGTGCATTACTTTGTATTCCTTGTGGTGGGTTTTATGACAGACACATTACAGCAGCGGTGATTGTCCTCCAAAAAGCATGCAGAAAGAGCTCCCTATTGTGGCATCAGAGAAAACCTGCATTGTGCACCTGGCACTCTGCTGCTGGGTAATGCTGGCATGTGAGGAGGTCTATAAATATCTTGCATTTCTAGAGTGTACTCCATCCCTGGAGGATCCCAGACTGCTTTTCAAACTGTTATACAAAGCACACAGGTCATTCCCACCAGGCCTGACATGCAGCTACCCCTGGGGTGGGATGTCTGAGCTGTTTAACTCATAGTAACACTAGGAACAGTTCAGGGGCCCAAGCTTGTGCAGTATTGACCATCCTCAACTCCCTTTATAGGGGATTTGAAGACTCAGCCTGGCTCGAATCAGGCTGTAGGACGGGAGTTGTAGGAAATTCTGTACCCAAATAAACTGCAGGAGGGATGTAAAGAGGCGGAATGTGATTACTGACTTTGGAACGGGGCTACAGCATGCTGACTTCTGCCAGGAGGCTGCACCTCCACCCCTGGAGAACAAACAGCCCTGGCTAGGTAACATACCTTGTACCTTCACCGTGGGAGCAGAGAGGGCGGCGATAGGTCTGGAGTCAGTGGTAGGACAGATGTACAAGAAGTCACTAATAAAAGCATCTTGGCAGAGGGCCCAAAGGCACTCAGACAGCTCCAGCCAAACCTTCTGGATCATTTGCCCAAGTACCTGCAGTTCCCATCTCGGACTGAATATTGAGCAACGGAAGCTGGTTCTGCTCAGAGCACTTTCATAAATAAAGAGTTTAGCTAGCTCAGCACAGAGCACACTTCTCCTTGAACAGCTTTGATGCTGCCTTGTTGAGCAAAGTCCCTCTTCCGTGCTGGCCCCAAGTAGCTGGTAGAAAGAGGCAACAGCCCTGCCAGGTGCATCAGATCAGCTCAACCTGACCCTGCCTGATTAGAGAGGAAACAACCTGGTTGGTTCCTTGAGACAAAAGTTCCCTGGTATTTTTAACGGCCCATGGCCCTTAACTGCTCTGACCAGTCACTGTGCAGCCATGGGAGCCCACCAGCTGAATAAGGTTGAGTTGCACAAAGCAGGTCTGTGTGGGGACGTGATGGGATGTTTGGATGAAGACAATTCTGCGGGGCTAGTGAATAGTGGGCTGGTTCACCGAACCCCAGAGTGTCAGTGCTCAGTTACCAGGTGAGCTCGGGGTTGTAGCACTCCAGGAGAGTCATGTCAGCGTATGATGCAAGCAGACGAAACCTAGTGAGTCAGACTTTCAAAGACAGCACAGTGTGCGGGAATGGCCCCACTGGGCAGCCTGCATAGCTCACAAACAATGTCAGGACCCCAGGGCAGGCCCTGTAATCCAGCCCCAGTTCTTCACCCCCAGCAAGGGGTTTCACGCAGCCTTTCCAGGGGACAAGGACCAGGTCTGACTCCTCGCTCCCGCCAGAGACTGCACCTGGGGTTTGTTCTGGGCCCTGCAACAGTGACGGACTCACAGAAAGGCCACAAGGCAGAGGCAGGTGTAGAACCCAGGAGTCCTGATACCCAGCATTAGGACTTTGCTCCACTTAACCAGGGCTGTCGTCTCCTCCTCTCGTTCCAAGTGGCTGCTGTGGTTCGTTACAATGCTAACCTACTGCAACCCGATTGTAACAGCCCAGTGCGTGTTAACAACAGAGGAATATCCCTTTTTAAGACTGGTAATGGATTTCGGGTTTAAAGTTTCCAACAGGGCTCTAACTGCCAGCCAGAAAAAGTCCCCTATGACTTTAATGATCTAGCGCGACAGGCTTCTATAAACCTAGGCTCTGCGATGGCTATATTTGGACCCATTGCCACAAGGAGCTCCGTTAGGCACTCCAGGCGGACGTAAAGAACTGCCCGCATTGCCAGGTGTGCTATCCTAGAGCACCTGGGCTTGAGTTTCCTCTTGCGCAGGCTGGTGCCGCTCTCACTTTCGCTGGTGATTTCACCGGAGTCACCACCGATGACACCAGGAAGAGGAGATCACTCGCTGGGCAGCTCTGACCTGTCTACAGACGCCCTGACACTGCTCCTCTCCTTCTGTTCCCTAGCCTCTGACTTTACTGTGGCCCATACACAGGAAACGGAAAGAGCCAGGCCTCATGCCTGCTCTTCCCCAGTGGAAAGCAAGTGGTAATTAATGCATTGCCTTTGGGAACTGTAACCTCAAATTCACCATCAGAAATCAATGGTCCACTGGAATGTGTTTCTATAGCAACAGGGACCAGAGAGATAACTCCCTGTAAGGGAGCATTTGGGCTCAGACAGAAAGAGCAAGAAGATGCACAAGGGGCTAATGCAGCCCCTGACTATCATTGCTGAAGAGCTGGGCTCCTGGGTTAAGTCACATGTGGAGATCAGTCTGGCTGGCTGTGCTCCTGGGTGGAGATCTGTCTGGCTCTGCTTAGGACTGGGCCGAGGTGAGACCAGGAAGGGATGCCGTGAGTCAGGCTTGAGGTGGACAGGCAGACTACGGGAGGCTGCAGGACCAGAGTAACCGCATCAGGATTCTGAAGGGCATCAGCAGAGCTGGGTGGGCGGGGAGCCCGGGACTGGAACAGCAAGGTGGTGCTGGAGGTCAGGCTTGAAAGGCATTGGCCGAGCTGCGTAAGCAACGTGGTTTGCACAACCCCTGAGTGAGCGCTGGACAAAGGGGGAGTTAAGTGTCATCATTCACGGTACCATGCCACAGTAAAGCAACACGTTCCAGTCCCTTTCCCCATCCAGCCTGATCAATGCCAACAGCCAGGCTACGACAGCCTGTTCGCTGACCCTGGCGGAGGTTGGGGCTGAGCCAGACTGGCAGTCCCTGGTCAGAGCCGCTCTCTACATCCAAGGGGAGCATCCTTTAGCTTCTCAAAGGAGCTGGCCTTCAAAGAAACAGCTGGCACTTTTGTTCAGAGAAACCCGAGGAAAGTGCCACGTCAGCTGATTTCTATTCCCCTTCTTGACACAAACGCCACAGGGATGGTGCCTGGTTCCTCTTTGGCCTCCCCGTCCCCAGCCCGAGCCACAGCTCTGCGGGTGCTGCGGAGTCTCTTGCAGCACGGACGCCCTGTGCTCCAGCAGGCCTGGGGGCAGGAGAGCTGGCTCTAGCTGCAGCACTGATCTCAGGGCAAGGCCCTTCCCCCTCCCTGTGACTCAGTTTCCCCACGCACAGTGGCGTCAGCGACACTGACCCAGCACTCAGGGAGCCCTCGGTCTGTGCTGCAGGGGGAGACCCGGCGATGGAGGGTGTAAAAGGGCCTGTCAGTGCAGCGTGGCTGCTGAGATGGGCGCAGGCCCCACGAGGCGGGCGGGGGCTGGGCAATGTCTGGTGCCACGGAAGTAACCGGAGCATTTCGATGGGGAAACTGAGGCAGGGAGGCACAGTCAGGGGCCCCCTCCGGCCCCCAGCACCACGCACGGTCCCATCGCCGCGTCACGGTCGCCAGGCCACCGTCACCATGGCACCGTTGGCCCCATGTCGCTAGGCAACTGTGGCCGTGTCCCGCTGGGGACGCAGAGCCCGCAGCCGCTGCCCCGAGAAATGGGGACCGGGTCCCTTTAAGGAGCCCCGTGCCCGGAGGCGGCGAGGGCACTACATTTCCCAGAGCCCCTCGCGCGGAGCCGACGGGTAGGGCACGGCCGCGTTCCGCCCAGTGACGGATGCGCTCCTCAGCCAACCAGTATCACGATCCGCGTCAGTGGGCGGTGCCTGGAGGGAGCCAATGGCGGAGCTGGGCGGGGGCGCCCTGCGGCCAATGAGAGGCGCGGGGGCGGGGGCCGGGCTGGGGGAAGATGGCGGCGGCGACGGTCGCGCGGTGGTGGCGGGCCGGGCTCCCGGGGCTGCTCGTGCTGCTGGTGCTGCGCGGGGCCCGCGCCGAGCAGACCGAGGAGCACCTGAAACGGGAGCACTCGCTCAGCAAGCCCTACCAGGGTGAGGGGCCCCGCGGGGGGGTGTGTGTGTGCGCGTGGGGGGGCCCCTGCCGGGGGGTGGTGTGTGTGCGCGTGGGGGGGGCCCCTGCCGGGGGGGTGTGTGTGTGCGCGCGTGGGGGGGGGCCCCTGCCGGGGGGGTGTGTGTGTGCGCGCGTGGGGGGGGCCCCTGCCGGGGGGGTGTGTGTGTGCGCGCGTGGGGGGGCCCCTGCCGGGGGGGTGTGTGTGTGCGCGTGGGGGGGCCCTGCCGGGGGGGGTGTGTGTGCGCGTGGGGGGCCCCTGCCGGGGGGGGGTGTGTGCGCGTGGGGGGGGCCCCTGCCGGGGGGTGTGTGTGTGTGCGCGTGGGGGGGGCCCCTGCCGGGGGGGTGGGGTGTGTGTGCGCGTGGGGGGGCCCCCGCGGGGGGTGTGGGGGGAGCTGGGCGTGGGGGGACCCCCGCGGGGGGTGTGGGGGGGAGCTGGGCGTGGGGGGACCTGCCGTATGGGGGTGATGGGCGCCTGGGGCGAAGGGGGAGCTCGTGGGTGGAAGGGGGTGCAGGCGGAACTGGGCTGGGCGAGAGGAGCTGGGACATTCGGGGTGTGGGGTGGTGGGATCAGGGGAAGCAGTAACTGGGGCGGGGAGGACGGGGGGGAGGAGGGGGGAAGGAGTCAAAGTGGGGGAAAGGGGAGTAGGGAGGGGGCAGGCAAAGAACCTGAGGTAGCGAGTTGAGTTGAGTGGGGGGCTGGTGTGGGGAGGACAGGGAACGGCAGGGTGGGGTGCAGAGGGAGCCGCGGGGAGTGGCTAGAGTATGGCAGTGTTTGGGGGGCGGGGAAGATGCAGGAGGGAGAAAGGCCGGGGGATGAGGTGTGTAGGTGGGGTGGGAGGAAGCAAGTGTACCTGGTGCTTTGTGCAGCTGTCTGGAGAGGGAAAGAGGAGGTGGCCAGGCGGAGGGTCTGGGAGGAGAAACAAGGCAGAGAAGGAAGCAGAGGGGTGGGTGGGAAGATGGATTGAAGGGGGGTTGGGTGAGGAGTGGCAAAGCACAGGATGATCAGTGCACCCTACCATTGTAGGGCTGGTGCAAATGTTTCCCTTCTACCCGCCAGGTGTTGGATCTTCCAGTTCCTCTCTCTGGGACCTTATGGGCAATGCCATGGTCACAACTCAGTACGTCCGCCTCACACCGGACATGCAGAGCAAACAGGGGGCCGTGTGGAACAGAGTGGTAAGAATAACGTTCTCTAGCAATCTGTGAGGAGCGTTGGCACTCCAGGGTTTTGTATCTTGTGCAGAAGTGATTTCTATCTTTGGGCTGCAGCCAGTATGTCTGCATTCAAGGTGGTGAGGGGTAACAAGATGGTAATCGGGATGACTTCATTTATGGAGTCAAGATTCTGATGGGAATCTGCTGCTGCAGGTTACAGGAAGTGGTGCATTGATGTTGAAGATCCTTTGCTCAAGTGCGGAATGAAGGGTGGATGGGCCTCGGGCAGATTGGCCAATAGTTTTCATGAGAGAAGACAGATTTGTGGAATCGTTGTGCAAAATAAACTCCAGCTACAGTTAATCTGAAACAAGCCTGTTGCTAAATCAGTGTCTTGGCAATGTCTCTGCTCTCGGTGTATCTACAGGAGGTCACTAACCTGGTGACGATGTTCCATTCCACTGAGCTTTTCCTTTGACGAAAAGCACAAAAAGGCAGTGCTTCTAACTGGCTTGCTCCCGGGCAATAGCCCTGCTAATTCTATTATGGGATTTGATCCTAAATCCCTCTATTATTATAGCTCAGATGTCCCATTCAGGATCACCACTCCCTGTGCTCCCTGTACATGGCACATTCTTTAGAGCCTGAGTGGATGAAGATCCATGTCTCCCAAATACAATGATTTATGAAAGAGGCTTTTTGTTCTGGGGTAATGTGAACTGTGTAGATGTGCAAAAGAACACTGGACCAAAGGCAGATCTGGTATAAGCAGTTGCAACTCAGATAAGTCAGTGGACTTGTACCTGCTTATACCAGTATGAGTTGGGCTCACTGAGTTTATCCTGTAAACTTGATCTGTCGTTCCCCTGCTCCCAGGTGCCAAGGTTCCACCAGAATCTGAAAACGACTAACCTCACCTCTACCTTTAATGCTTGGCCACAGCAGCACAAGTACCTGGGTTCTCTACCTTTCTTTGGTGGCTGTCAGTTTGAGTCACACATTCATCTCTCATCGAATGTTTATCTAACTTCAGGTTTCAGAATAGCAGCTGTGTTAGTCTGTATCCGCAAAAAGAACAGGAGTACTTGTGGCACCTTAAAGTCTAATAAATTTGTTAGTCTCTAAGGTGCCACAAGTACTCCTGTTCTTTTTATCTAACTTAAGTCTTGCCTGAGGAGTGGATATAATTTGCTTATGATGTGAAAAGCTGGAATTTGAGCCAGAAAGTGTCTTACGGTCAGTATATCCTCCTGTGCTGTTCAGTGCAGGCCTTCTCCACTTAAATCTGCTTGGGCCCTCTAACCAACTCCCATGGTCTTCCCTTGCTGCGCGATAGCTGGTCTTGTAATGGATCCTCCTTTTTAAAAAAATCACTCAAACCTGAAGCTTTGATAGGATGTTTCTCTGGATTATAGCAGTAATCACACACTTTCCAAAGCTGAAAAATGCCTATTCTTGGTGAGTGCAATTGCAAGGCAAAGAGAAGTGTGGTCTCTTAGCTGTGATGTGGACACAGAAGGGCTTGCTATTAGAGGCTTTCTTTTTAGGGTCTTAGGGCTTTCTTTTAGGCCCATCATCTTGTTGTGCCTATAGTCACATGGTGCAGGATCGTGATGTAGTTTGCAAGTGTGTGCGCTGGATTTCAGTGTTTGGCAGAAAAACACGAGAGCAGTGATTCCCAATCTCTTCCAGATTAAGACGCCCTCCCATCTCTCAGTGGTCTAGCGACAAGCCCTCTCCCACTTAGTAGTATGGAAAGGCCAGCGTGGTCACAACTCCCTCACGCTTGCATCTGCTGGCCCAGGTTGAGCTCATACACTGCAGATCACTCCTTATAATGTCTGGCTGTGCAGTTGTAGTTTTTGTCTGCGTTTTGTGCAGGCAGTGAATTTCATTGCCTAAGTTCCGTGATAGGATATACAGTAGGAGCCACTCGAAGACATGACAGTTTGGGATGGAATTTACCTGTGGGGTAGATAGTGATGCTCTTTCATGTACTGTAGTTTCATAGTAAGCTTCCTGTAGAACTATTATGATTTCTGCTCTCTCCAAACAAGTACCTGTCTAATTCCGCCTGCCGTTTGAGTCCAGAATAGTTGACTGTGTGTTGGAAAAAGGTAGCTTGTTCCAAGAGCAAAGACACTGTAGCTGTACCAAGCCTTTCCAGGTCAGTACTCTTCTTGCAGCCCACTGTGTCAGGGATACTCTGCTTAGGAGGACAGAGTCCTGTCAGTTAATAGCCATGTCCTTTCATTCCATGGAATGAGACAGTTTTAAATCAGACATTGCTAAGTCTTCAGAGTGTGTTGGACAGCTGCCTTCTTATATTAAAGAGCTGTGTAAATTGTCTCCATGGAGCTCGGAGGCCTCCCACGTCTCTGTACAATTGTCTGTATGATGTAGGTGCATCTCTCTGACCTGAACATGTTCTAATTGTCTGTTGTGAGTCTGCCTTCCACAGTGAGTTGCCACGTACCTCTGGTACATATCTGTGGTGCGGGGAAGGCTTGATGCTGCTGCATTTGGCAATCAATCCCCAGCTACGGACACTCTTGGGACACTCTTGCGAGATGTCTCTGACTGTGGATCTTCCTGTTCTTTCATATGGAAATTCAATACAATGCTGACTACAGCCCTTTTTAAGCATTTTATTTGTAATGCGTTTTCAGATGTGACTTTGAAATGGGCAGTTTCCCTTTACATTTGACTGTGGTCATATGGTACGAGTCCAGGAGTCGAAGTACCTGTCTAGCTGCTGACTCGTATCCAGGCTGGATGACTCGATGATAGAACTATTTACATTCTTTGCCTCGATTGGTTCTACGCTTCATCTGATGTTCATAAAGGGGTGTCATTTGTTCATCTATAGTGATGAAATCCAAGTTGCTCTGGGCCTGATTCTGATCTCTTTCCCTGATTTCACTGGCGTTACTCCTGGCTTCGAACAGTGCGAGATCAGAATCAAGCTCTTTGTTTTTATATCCATGATTCCCTAATCTTCCCTAATCCCCCTGTGATTAATTACTCTTGCTGAAATACAAAAGGTAAGGCCGTGCAGCCTATTGGCAAGGGACATGAAGGACGAAGACATCTCTGCAGTGTGGCTCCATTTAGCGGATGTATTTGTGCTAAGGCAGGCCAGTGCTTTTCCATGAGGCAGCGGATGTGTTGGTGCCATGGCTTGCTGTCTGTGCAGAAAAGCAGCTGTGCTGTCTGGCTGGGGACACTGCAACCAGTTGTGGCTCTCCCTCCCCATCCAGATGGAACAGATCCCAGCTGACATGGGGTCCCTTAGTAATGTTATCTGCCTGCAAGCCAATAGCCAGAAGGGCTGTGAATTGCAAGGGGTGTGTAGGCTATTGTCAAAGTCCCCCTGACTGCTGCACACGCTCTCCCCCTTTCTCTCTTGCAGCCTTGTTACCTCCGAGACTGGGAGATGCAGGTCCATTTTAAAATCCATGGGCAAGGCAAGAAGAACCTGAATGGGGACGGCTTTGCCATCTGGTACACCAAGGATCGCATGCAGCCAGGTAAAATACTCTCACGGAGGCGTCGTCTGCAAGAGGAAGTGCTGCACAGAGCCTCCGCTGCCGGCTTTCTCCTGCCCCAGCGGAAACACGCTAGCCAGAGAGTGCCGCCCTTGGCTGTGGATGTAGATTGCATCTACAGCTGCTGCCATCCGGCTCCTATTTGCAGGGACCGACAAGGAGGGAGCCAGGAGCGACTGTGACCCCACTATAGCTAATACTGACTTTGCTCTGCAAAAGCTCAGGGTGACCATTGATGGGGGCTCTGAGGAGTCCAGAGTGGCTATGAATTCAGCTGTGCAGTAGCAAACTGCTTGCCGTGATTTTCAGAGGTGCAAAGCAAGCCCCATTCCTACTGAAGGAATGGAGGCTGCAGTGGCTCCAAAGCTCTGGAAATCAGACTTGTGCTGCGAAGGGCAGTGTCCTAGTGGGCTAAGCATGGGCCTGGGGTCAGGAACACCTGTACTCCGAAACTGTGCTCCCGTTTCCCCATCTGTCAAACGGGAAAGCCTCCTACCTCGTGAGTTGTTTGTAAAGAGCTCTGATATCTAGCACTCCTTCTATGTAGATTGCAAAGTGATTCATCAGGTGAGAGTATCGCTGTCTCCATGTGACAGATGGGGGAAGAGAGGTGCAGAGGGGGAGTGGCAGACCCGGGGATTGAACTCGGGTCTGCGGGGTATTTGGTCCTGTGACATGGGCACTGGGCTCTGCTGCTCAGCAAGTGCTAAATGCTGCCACGCGGAGGGGCCTTCAGGCCCCCTAAGCACGGATCCAGGAATGGGCTCCCCTGTGGGGAGAGGGTGAAGGTAAAGGGTGACTTATCCAATGCCACTTGCTAACATTCCTTCCGAGCTGTTACTGGCGCTAAGCCAAGGCTACCTTCGGAGGCATCTCTGGCCTAGATCCTTGGGGGCAAACTCCTTCAAATGGGCATTTGCATGAAGTTGGAGGCCTCCCCACTGGCTCTCTCAAGGAGGCAAATGTCTGTCTGACACTACTAAATATTACTGCATCCTCTTCAAGCTACTCTTGTGGTTCTGCTCCAAGGTGGGGCCCATCGATGGCTTGGGGAGTAAATCTACCCACGCGCAGGGTGGAAAGCACTCACCCCACTGTCTCTGCTAGAGCGTGACAGCACGCAAGCTGTGTCGCCCACTGTTCACACTCTGCCGTCTGTTCCAGGGCCCGTGTTTGGGAGCAAGGATCACTTTCTGGGGCTGGGGGTGTTTGTAGACACCTACCCCAATGAGGAGAAGCAGCAGGAGGTAAGACGGCTTTGTGGCAGTTCCGAGGGAGGTGGGAGATGAATGTGAAGTTGTATTACCGTGGCTATGCCTCCAGAGCTTGGGGGCAGAGTTGGCGTATTAGCTTGTTCAAAAGGGGACTGGAACACGTGACTTAGGAGGAGAGACTGAGGGAGCTGGGATTGTTTAGCCTGCAGAAGAGAAGAATGAGGGGGGATTTGATAGCTGCTTTCAACTACCTGTAAGCGGATTCCAAAGAGGATGGCTCTAGACTGTTCTCAATGGTAGCAGATGACCGAACAAGGAGCAATGGTCTCAAGTTGCAGTGGGGGAGGTTTAGGTTGGATATTAAGAGAAACTTTTTCACTAGGAGGGTGGTGAAACACTGGAATGCGTTACCTAGGGAGGTGGCGGAATCTCCTTCCTTAGAAGTTTTTAAGGTCAGGCTTGACAAAGCACTGTCCGGGATGATTTAGTTGGGGTTGGCCCTGCTTTGAGCAGGGGGTGGGACTAGATGACCTCCTGAGGTCCCTTCCAACCCTGATATTCTATGAAAAGGCTTTGGCCATATTTCTAGCCACAATGCAGCTGTATGTTAGAGATCCCAATCGCAGAACAGTCTAAACGTAGCTGCTTCTCCGGCTCCTCCTGGCTGCAGCTTTTGGTCACTTGCTATTGATGCTGCACTCTCTCCCCTCTCCTGTCTCTCTTCCCTTCGGGTTTTGAGTTTGCTGTCTTCCTTGTCCCTCTCCAGGGGACTAGCAGGAGGCAAGTAGCTCTTCATACATGGAGGGGGGCTGCAGGCCAGACCAGTGAGCTTCCCTCTGCAGCCCCTTCTGTGTGTCATGGCATCTGGTGTAGAGGCGCACTCGCAAAGACTGAGCGATCCCGGTTAGTGTCTCCTCACTGCCGACTCCCCGTATGAAGTATCACTGCTCTGGTGGGCATTGTCTGGCTGCCCAAGGCCCGTGTGTGCAGGCCGGACACACCGATTAGGACGAGCTATAGGCCTACAGCGGCCTTCGGCAGTGGCTGCGTACGCTTTGCAGGGGATATGGGAGAAGGAGAAATGGGAAGCAGTTGTACTCGTTTCCCTTGGGGATTTGGGGACTCCCCGGAAGCTGTCTGAAGTGTGTGGACACTAGCTAGTGTGGACCTGTAGTGTGGTGATCCTCAGCTCTGCATAGCAGTGGCCCAAATGCTAACATAAGAACAGCCCTACTGGGTCAGACCAAGGGTCCATCTAGCCCAGTATCCTGACTGCCAACAGTGGCCAGTGCCACATGCCCCAGAGGGAATGAACAGAACGGAGAATCATCAAGTGATCCATCCCCTGTCGCCCATTCCCAGCTTCTGGCAAACGGAGACTAGGGACACCATCCCTGCCCATCCTGGCTAATAGCCATTGATGGACCTGTCCTCCATTAACTTATCTAGTTTTTTTTCAACCGTGTTATAGGCTTGGCCTTCACAACATCCTCTGGCAAGGAGTTCCACAGGTTGACTGCATTGCATGGAAAAAATAGTTCCTTTTGTTTGTTTTAAACCCGCTGCCTATTAATTTCATTGGGTGAACCCTAGTTCTTGTGTTATTCACGCCTTCTCACACTTCCTTATTTACTTTCTCCACACACGATTTTATAGACCTCCATCATATCCACCCTTAGTCTCTTTTCCAAGCTGAAAAGTTCCAGTTTTACTAATCTCTCCTCATATGGAAGCTGTTCCATCCCCCTAATCCTTTTTGTTGCCCTTTTCTGAACCCTTTCCAATTCCAATATATTTTTTTTTGAGATGGGGCGACCACATCTGCATGCAGCATTCCAGATGTGGGCACAGCATGGATTTATAGAGAGGCAACATGATATTTTCTGTCTTATTATCTATCCTTTTCTTAATGAGTCCCAGCATTCTGTTTGCTTTTTTGATGGCCGCTGCACAGTGAGTGGATGTTTTCAGAGAACTCTCCACAATGATGCTAAGATCTCTCTTGAGTAGTAACAGCTAATTTAGACCTCATAATTTTATATGAATAGCCGGGATTATGTTTTCCAATGTGTATTACTTTGTATTTATCAACATTGAATTTCATCTACCATTTTGTTGCCCAGTCACCCAGTTTTGAGAGATCCTTGTAACTCTTCGCAGTCTGCTTTGGACTTAACTATCTTGAGTAGTTTTGTATCATCTGCAAATTTTGCCACTTCACTGTTTACTCCTTTTTCCAGATCATTTACAAATATGTTGAGTAGGACTGGTCCCAGTACAGACCCCTGGGGGACACCACTATTTCCCTCTCTCCATTCTGAAAACTGATCATTTATTCCTACTCTTTGTTTCCTATCTTTTAACCAGTTACCAATCCATGAGAGGACCTTCCCTCTTATCCCGTGGCAGCTTACTTTGCTTAAGAGCCTTTGGTGAGGGACCTTGTCAAAGGTTTTCTGAAAATCTATGTACACCATATCCACTGGATTCATCTTGTCCACATGCCTGTTGACCCCCTCAAAGAATTCTAGTAGATTGGTGAGGCATGATTTCCCTTTACAAAACCCATGTTAACTCTTCCCCAACAAATTATGTTCATCTCTGTGTCTGACAATTCTGTTCTTTACGATAGTTTCACCCAGTTTGCCCATTACTGAAGGCAGGCTTACCAGCCTGTAATTGCCAGGATCACCCCAGTACTTGCTGGTCAGGGCTTCCTGCACAGTGCTTCTGTTAAGCTGTTCTGGAGAACACCTCCTGTGCTCTAGAGCTGTACAGCCAGGCAGTGTTGTTACTTATTATTGAGACAAATGTGGGCTAAACCAATGAGTGTGTATTAGAGCTGGGCCCAAACATGCTTTCACTGAAGAATTGCTTTGCAAAGGAAACCAGCATTTTTGACACACTTTCACTTTATCAGAAAATTTCCAAGGACATTGACAAAGGTTTTGTTTCAGGCATTTGGATTTTTCTAAAGTGAGTGGGGAGGAACCCCATGGCTCTCCTTTAGACTCCAATGTCTGACCAGCTCAGCTGTGCAGCTGGCTTCAGACCTTGAAACTGATTGAACAGATCTGCAGGTCTTGAATCAGCATCCAGTTTGGTTGGAACATTAACAATGGTCTGCCCTTGCTCTATGAAGGGCCATTGTACCCTTAAGTTGGATCCTAGATAATGCTGGGCAGCTGAAGAAGCCACACTGATGCTATTCCAGGGCTTGGAGTTTAATGGAGGATAAAGATCAAAATCCGAGCCACAATGCAGGGAGAAATGACAGCATCTCATAGAATCATAGACTTTAAGGTCAGGAGGGACCTTTATGATCATCTAGTCTGACCCCTTGCACAACGCAGGCCACAGAATCTCACCCACCCACTCCTGTAACAAACCTCTAACCTATGTCTGATCTATTGAAGTCCTCAAATCGTGGTTTAAAGAGTTCGAGGTGCAGAGAATCCTCCAGCAAGTGACCCATGCCCCATGCTGCAGAGAATGGCAGAGGCCCTGGGGGTTTTTCACCTATCTGCCCTGGAGGAAAATTGCTTCCCGACCCCAAATATAGCGATCAGCTAAACCCTGAGTATGTGGGCAAGACTCACCAGACAGACACCCAGTAAAGAATTCTCTGTAGTAACTCAGATCCCACCCCGTCTAACATCCCATCACAGGTCATTGGGCATATCTACCCCTAATAGTTGAAGATCAATTAATTGCCAAAATTAGGCTATCCCATCATACCATCCCTTCCATAAACTTATCAAGCTTAGTCTTGAAGCCAGATAGGTCTTTTGCCCCCACTGCTTCCCTTGGAAGGCTGTTCCAGAACTTTACTCCTCTGATGGTTAGAAACCTTTGTCTAATTTTGAGTGTAAACTTCCTGATGGCCAATTTCTATCCATTTGTTCTTGTGTTCACATTGGTACTGAGCTTAAATAATTCTTCTCCCTCTGTGATATTTATTCCTCAGCCTTCTTTTGGTTAGGCTAAACAAGCCAAGCTCTTTGAGTCTCCTTTCGTAAGACAGGTTTTCCATTCCTCGGATCATCTTAGTAGCCCTTCTCTGGACCTGTTCCAGTTTGAGTTCATCCTTAAACATGGGAGACCAGAACTGCGCGCACTATTCCAGATGAGGTCTCACCAGTGCCTTGTATACCGGTACTAACGCCTCCTTATCTCTACTGGAAATACCTCGCCTGATGTATCCCAAGACCACATTAGCTTTTTTCACGGCCATATCCCATTGGCGGCTTATAGTCATCCTGTGATCAACCAATACTCCGAGGTCCTTTTCCTTCTCTGATACTTCCAAAAAGAAAAGGAGGACTTGTGGCACCTTAGAGACTAACCAATTTATTTGAGCATGAGCTTTCATGAGCTACAGCTCACTTCATCGATGAAGTGAGCTGTAGCTCACGAAAGCTCATGCTCAAATAAATTGGTTAGTCTCTAAGGTGCCACAAGTCCTCCTTTTCTTTTTGTGAATACAGACTAACACGGCTGTTACTCTGAAACCTGATACTTCCACGTGATCCGTCCCCAGCTTATAACAAAAATTCTTGTTATTAATCCCTAAATGCAGGACCTTGCACTTTTCACTATTAAATTTCATCCTATTACTATTACTCCAGTTTACAAGGTCATCCAGATCTTCCTGTATGATATCCTGGTCTTTCTCTGAGTTGGCAATACCTCCCAGTGTTGTCATCCGCAAACTTTATTAACACGCTCCCGCTTTTTGTGCCGAGGTCAGTAATAAAAAGATTAAATAAGATTGGTCCCAAAACTGATCCCTGAGGAACTCCACTGGTAACCTCCTTCCAGCCTGACAGTTCACCTTTCAGTGTGACCTGCTGTAGTCTCCTCTTTAACCAGTTCCTTATCCACCTTTCGGTTTTCATACTGATCCCCATCTTTTCCAGTTTAGCTAATAATTCTCCATGTGGCACCGTATCAAATGCCTTACTGAAATCAAGGTAAATTAGATCCACTGCATTTCCTTTGTCTAAAAAAATCTTAAAGAAGGAGATCTGCAGCCTTTCTCCTGCCACAGATTTGTGCTGGTGTCCGGTTATGGTCCGAACCAGACAGTCAAACGCACACAGGAGGCTTTTATTTCTGTTCAGATTGGGCCCAGGGCTCAGTTCTGATCTCTGCCACTGTGAACTCCGTTGACATCTGTGGTGCGGCGTGGGATTCTCGGGGAACAGGTGTAGAACTCGGTCCCACATGAGATGGGAGTTCGCACCTTGGGCTCATGTGCCCAGCTCCCCAGGACACTGGTGTCCACATGGCTCTGGCTCTGGGACTGTCCCTTGCCTCAGAGAAGTCAAGAGCCACTTCCTGAACTGTGAACACTTCCCTTCTACAGCAAGAGGGAGCAGAAACGCTGGACAAGACAGCGTCAAATCACTCTAATAGCGCCTGCAATCACAGCTGCACCCTCTTTCCTTACGTAGCTCTTCATTTCCTACGTGTAACGTGGGAGCACCCTGCTGTAATTTGTGTGTGTGTGATGGACACAGTTGAGGGTGCTGGAGGAATTGTAGATATGGGTGGTGGTGATTCCCGCCAAGCAGTCCTTTGTTGGCATGTTCTAAGCTCGGGTCCTTAGCTCTGGGTTAATGTGCTTTTGTGCTGTGGGATGGGGAAGGGAAGTACAGGGTATAAACTGGGCAGGATTACAGTGTGGGGTTTCTTGGGCCAGTTGCCTTTTTAAGCCATGTATTCAGTGGTTTGGTACATGACTTGCAAAATGTAAGGTACCCTCAAGTCTTGGCAAGGGGACAATGCTGGTGGTTTCCTAGGGTGCATTTCCTTCCCAGTTTGCAGGTTCATACTAAACTATCTGGTCAGTGACTGTCTTGTTCTGTACCCTTTCTTGCTCTCAATAATCCTTCTGGACTCAGGCTCAGAAGAGGAGGTATACCCCTGGAAATCAGGTATTTGCTCTTAGCTCATTTCCAGCCTCCGAGTCCCCTCCCCTCTCTCTGTCATGGGCACTTCCAGGGTGTTTGTGACCTTGCTGGGTGAGAGAAGGGCATTGCGAGAGTTACAGAAATCTTTATCTGACTGCGGCCAGTATGCCTGGTTCAGAGCCAGTCTCTCCATCTGCTGCCAGGCCCCCCGGCCAGCGTGCTTGTGACAGAGTGCGCTGGGCTGCTGATTACTTTCTTGTGACCTGAAGGAAGTCTAGCGTGTGTAGCCTCCCCAAGCCCCTCACTCAGGGCCTTGCTGCTCGGGTGGTTTTGATGCAGCTGTCTCTTCCTGCGGCATCTCCTCATGGCTGCGCAGGTCCTACATGCAGAGGAGATGCTGCAGCTCTCGAGCTTGTCTGTTCTCATGGATCCCTGCTGTTCCGAAGTGTTCCTGTTTCATTTTAGAATAAACAAACCTCTGTTCCCCCACCTTGTGCATCTCCCTGCTACGCAGCATTACGCCGGGGTCTGGCCTTGGTGCAGTGCTTGCCTTCGCTCGTCTCCTCATCCCGTACTCGACAGAGGAGGGTCCATCAGAAACGGACTAAGCTACACGTACCAGTGGCTCAGCTGTGGTGTGTTTAGCCCGTCTGCTACTGCAGACCTGGGAAAGGACTCTGCCATTGGGCCTCTGGGCAGCGTTGCCCATCGAGAGGCGTGGGACTGCTGGGCCCAGTCTGACGCACAATGCGCATGTCTTGGTGGAATGGATCTTAATAAAAGAAAATCCCAACTCCGAGGCGGCGCGTGACCCCCGTGAACAGTGCCCTGGCTGGCCGGGGCCCCTGGGCTGTGGTAGCCGGACGTCCCTGTCCCAGACCCAGCCCGGCCCAGTGGTACTACAACCACTTGGCTGCCTGGCCTGTGCGACAGGCGTGCAGTGGTGCGGGGGTCCATGCCACGCAATCCACCCGCCCAGGGGTGGCAATGGGAAGTTGTGGGCGGTCTCTGTAGAGAGAACAGAGGCAGAGCCCATGTCCCTCTCTAGACCTGGGTCTCTCGGAGTCAGGTTGAGGCCTGGTGGTAGAGGGATCAGTCAGTCCAGTGCCTCCTGCCAGCACCTCGCTCCCTTGCAGACCCAGTCACGCCGGGCTGCGTGAGAATTTCGAGCGCTGGCCGAGGCTCTTGTCGGTCTCCCGGCCCTGATGTCGTGCTCCATGCTGCCAGTGTCCTGTGCAAAGCCGTGTTCTCTGCTGCCTGCCTGCATTTGCCCTGTTGCCCATGGTTCGTATTGCCAGGCCTCCGCAGAGCAGTGTGAGGAGACCACTAACCTGCGGCCTTGTCCCGTGTTCCCTAGCATGTGTTCCCCTACGTCTCCGCCATGGTGAACAATGGCTCTCTCACCTACGACCATGACCGGGATGGACGGCCCACTGAGCTCGGAGGCTGCACGGCCACGGTGCGCAACCTGAACCATGACACCTTCCTGGTGGTCCGCTACGTCAAAAGGAGGCTGACGGTGAGTGGTGACTCCTTGAGCTCTCCAGGCCCAGGTCGGCTTCATGTTGGGAGGGCTGGGCTGGGATGCTCTGGGTTGAGTGAAGTCTCATGTGTTTCAGATCATGATTGACATTGATGGCAAGCACGAGTGGCGGGACTGTATTGACATGCCGGGGGTCCACCTGCCAAGGGGATACTTCTTTGGGACCTCTTCCGTCACTGGAGACCTCTCAGGTACCGCGCTGTGACCCTGGCCGGTGCTCCATAAGCGCTGAGGGTGGGCCTATGCTGTGCCTGCGAGTCTCCGAGCCAGGGTCTTCAGAGCCTGGGCTGCATGGCTGCTTCCGGCACCGGCGCGTGAGCCTGAGTCTGTAGACCTGGCTCTCAGGCTTGCTGCTGCGGGTTTTGAACACACGGTAGCTGCACCCAAAGTGACTGGGGGGCGAAGGCCCTGCCTTCACAAGTGCCTCCGGCCAGACCTACCACGGTATTGAGGTGCCTGAGGTGTGTTTGAAAATTGCAGGGGGCACCTTCGGGCGCCGAACTCCCCAAGTCATGTCCTTGGAAGGGTCCTTGGCATTAACCTCAGTCTGAAAGGCTGACGTTTGGTCCGAACGGGACACCGCACCCTTCTGTTTTCAGTGGCACCCCAGGAGCTCACAGGTGACACTTCTAGGCTTGGGGCACCTGAATTCTGCCAGGTGCCGGGGGGCTCCTCTGAGCTGACATAAACAGTCCGAGGATTTCAAATACAAAGGTGCCCATTCTGACTCCTGAACCACCTCGGCCACTCCCTGGCTCTGGGGATACCTGCAGCTGAACCTCTGATGTTCACAGCCTGCAGTTCGACGGGGGCCTTGGGACATACTTTGGGGGTTTAGAGCAAGCATCCCTCTTACGCAGTTTTGCAGGGCACTTCTTGAGCTTTCTGGCCCAAGAGCCATGTGCTCCTGTTCCAATATAGGCGAGGGGACCAGTCTCGTGGACACTGATGCACAGCTGTCTGGCCCACTGAGGCTCTTGGTGAAACGAAAGCCTTGCCTTTTTCAGTCTGTAACGTCTGTGTGAATTCCGTTCAGTTTATGCCATAATACCCGAAAGTACCAACCCCGTCTGCTTCAGTCGTTCTTAAGCCAGTTTAGAACAGGTTTGAATCAAGCCTCTACAAAAGCATGTTGATCACCAATGCCTGGATTCATTGTTTGCTCCAAGTAAAGTTCCTTTTATTTCCAAAATCTCTGCAGATGCTCGGGGAATTGGAGAAGCTGGCTGGGGCAGTTGAGTTGTCCTGCTAATATGTGTGACAGAAAGACAAAGGCAATGAATGCCTGTGAGGATGATTCTAATTTTCTGCCTTCAGGTTGCTGAATGGACTTTAAATGAGAGGTGCTCCCTGGCTGAACAACTCCTCATTTCTCAGTCTGAATTTCAGTGGCTTAAAGGCCCCTCGTGGCAAAGCATGTTGTGCTGGACACGGTCCAACCACAGAAGATGGCAGGCGCTGCCCCGGGGAGTGGAGTTCTGCTTGCTCCGTGCATGGGTGCTTGGCTCCGTTTGAGCAGATGTTCAGTGTTTCCCTCTTCCAGCCCCTCTGCCATCCCTGGCCAAGGTTCCTCTTCCTGCACACTGTCTAAGGCCATGTTTCTCTCGTGCCCCTAGATAACCATGACATCATTTCTCTGAAACTCTACCAGCTGACGGTTGAGCGGAGTCCAGAGGAGGAGAAGCGGGACAAAGAGGTGTTTCTGCCCGTTGTGGACAACCTGAAACTGCCCGGAGGTGAGTAGCGCACAGGTTGGTGAGGTGCAAGGCCGGGACCCACCAAGTACCTGCTCTCCTCAGGAGATGGGCTATTCCATTCATCAGGCGGGGTCCTCACACCATCTGCTGAAGCTCCTGCCTGTGAGCCCCTCTGCTTGAATGGCTCTATTAGCTAACGTTCAGCGTTCCTAGAAGGCGGGAATGATGTGACCGAATGCTGAGCGCGGATGCCCCCACATCTGTCCCAGTGCTCTCTGCAGTGTCGGCTTCTCCAGTACCCCGGAGAGAGGAGCAGCCACGGCCTCAAGCGGGGATTAGGTGTGCCGGGGCACAGCCTGCCCTGGGTCTCCCGGCTCCCGAGCACTGGAGACAGGGTGGAGGAGCTCTGCTGCATGGAGGTAGCCAAAACCCTGGCTGTGCTTTGAGATCCTCTGCAGGCTAGTGACCACGTAGCATGCAGTCTCTGAGCCAGGCTTTCTCACGTCTCTGAAATCTCCCCGGAGACCGAACCCAGATCCCATAGCTCAGGACAAACGCAAGCGCCTCCCTTTGGATGGAGTGCTGGGGAAGGTGGGCGGGTGGATGGCGTCTCCCCTGGACACCGCAGAGATGGGCAATGCAAGTAAAACCCAACCAAGCTTGTATGCAACCCCCATCACCATAGTCTCTGAGCGTGTGGGATCTGTGGTGGCTAACCCGGGCTTGTGCCCCTCTGCCTTTGCCCTACAGTGGAGGCCCCACTGGAACCCATGAGCAGCCTGGCCCTGTTCTTAATTGTCTTCTTCTCGCTGGTCGCCCTGGTGTTTGCCATCGTCATCGGAGTCATAGTCTACAACAAATGGCAGGAACAGAGCCGGAAACGCTTCTACTGACCTAGGCGCCTGCCCAGCCCCTTCCCTCGGCACACGAGCAGCTCTGCTGGAGTGGGTTGGCACGTGCCAGAGGCTAGCTGAAGAGAAGCCCTTGCCTGCTCAGCCCAGACTTTCCAGAGCCCCTTCGGATGGCTGCTTCTTTGCTGGCCCCCATGGGGACCGCTGCGGTCTCTCTTTGAGGCTCCCAGCAGGAGTGGACGTCCTGGATCACATGGGGAGCAGGCTTCGTGTGACACGTAGCGCTTCAGGAGACTCTCGAGGGTGGTGCAGTGACAGATGGGCCGTCCCCCAGCAGCTCTTGCTTTGCAAGATGTTTAGAAGATGCTTGGGGCGGGTGTAGCCGACTGCTGTGTCGTTTCCGTGTTGGTGAGCCTTACGTGTGCTATCTGGGGATGTTCCACAGCCCAGCTAGGAGGCCAGGCACTGAAGACTGTAAAATCCTAGAAAAGCCCCTCTGGCTTAAGGGTGAAACTTGGCCAAACCAAACGTTTCTTGCTGGTAAGAGGAGTAGTGTCCCGGCTCCCTGGCCCTGCCCCCGCTGCTCGCGGCCTGCGTTGCCGTCCAGGTGGCTTTGCTGCCTGAGGCTGGTTGGGAAGGCCGAGCTCATCTGCCCCAGGCAGCTTGAAATCTTTAATCCTGGTTTTGCCATAGCACAGCTGAATCCTGCACCCTGAACGAAATATTCCACGTCTCGCTGCTGCTCCTCGTTTGCAAGTGGGGAACGGGCAGCTGTGCTAAAGGAAAACCCCTCGTTTTACAGTCACCCCAGTACGGTCTGGGCATGAACACAGATATTGGCTACTGGCCTCCCAGTGCCACCCTGATCCTGCCTGATCTACCAGCACGATGGCAGGGAAAGCAAGGGCTCTTCCAGGCTGCAGGCTGGCCTTGATGCTGCACGGTCTTCTCAGCCTCTGATGGAAATTGACCTGAGCTGCTTCCATTCAGTGCCTCCACGATGCCATGCTAGCCTGTGCTCACCTCCCCGTTCTCCCCGACAGCCGGGCTTTCCAGCCAGGGCTAAGGGGGTTTGCGCTGGTGAAGCATGCACTAAAGAGTCTCAATGCAGCCTGGTGAGACCAGGCCAGTCTGAGAAACCGTCTGGATCCCGGGCTCATTGCACAAGGGTCGGTACGTCTGCGTGCAGGGTCTCCATGACGCTTGTTGCTGAGCATGGGAATGTGGTGGGCAAGGGACAGCTAGTCCCAACCCACTTCCCGTTCGTTCACACGAAGCCAGGTCACGTTGCTGGGGTGGGGTTCATGTTGCTGTCCACATGCATGGACTCGCACAGCGACTCTGCCTGTTTTAACACTGGGTTCCATTGTGATAACCACTTGCTGCTGTCAGGGGGGCCTGTCCCTCCACCGCTGGGTCAGTCTGCATGCACTGCTGCCTTCCTCCCTTCTGTACATCCCGGCTTGGAGCGCAGGGGCTATTTGCATGTCACCAGGTCCTGTTAGTGGTGTAGGTGTGATGTGAAAAGGCTCTGTTCTTTCTTCCTCGCCCAGAAACCTGATGCCAGCATTTGTACGTGGTCCCTTTGTGTTTGTGAAGGATCTAGATCTGGTTGTTGTAACCAGGAGTTTGGAAGCGTGCTGGCAAAGGAAGGTCAGAGGGTTTATTGGCCTGGCGGAGACCTTAGCTATGATTGGGAGAGTTCTGATCTCTACAAAAGCTTTGCTGCCTTTCAGGGAGGGTTAGTTATTTCCTACCTCAATGACTGCTGTGTTTTAGTGAGTTCTTGCTTTCTGTAGGTCCTGCTGAGGGTGCTGAGTCGCTCATAATACCGATGCAGAGGGGGGAGAAGGGTCCCCTGGAAATTCTGGGTATAACACTTTGTCCCTGACACTGTTCCATTCTGTAGTGTCAACAGGCCTGTAGCTGTGAGCTCCATGTGGACAAGGCTTGGCTGGCTCGACACAACACACCAGAGCCATGTTCTCACCTTAACCTAGCCAACCACGTCTAGCTGGATCTCGTGCCCTTGTTACAGTGACAGTAAAACCAGCCCCTGACGGCTCCTCCCTGCCTGTCAAGCCATCTCTGGGGCCCAATAATGAGGGCTGGGATGAGGAGAAGGTCTGAGCTGAGGAAATGCCAGGACTCCTCAGAGGAACCTGCCCTTTGAAGGAGGAAGGTTTAGATTCAGAAAGTCCTCTCCCTTCCAATTCCTGTCACGGCAGCAGAGCCTGGATTCCTGATGTCTCTGCACCCAAGGGTGGCCATGGCCCAACTAAGTAAAGAACATGGTTATTAGCGAAGACTTTCAAAAGACTTGTGATTTTTTTTTTTTTTTAAGTGCCTCAGTTTTTGGGCACCTAACTGGAGACATCTTAAAAAGCCTCCCTGTTTGGAGCAGGGCTCCCAGCCCCTTGTGAAAACCAGGCCCCTTTCAGGGGTCTCCGGCTGGGCACCCAAAATCCCCAATTGCTTTTGAAAGTCTTGTATGTAAACCCTGCCCTGCTCCGGGAGTGGCCAGCCAGGGGCACTGGGACAGGTGCGGTCACCAGCATTGCTCCTGGAGCTGGGCTAACATGGCCCAGCCAGGAAGCAGCTGTTGTAGCCGGTGCTCCGCAGGGAGTGAGAGGCAGCAAGCGGCGTTGTTAACCGAAGGGTTCCTGAGATCTGCTGGTGGTGTGCCCTGTTGGGCAGGAGCTGCCAGTACCAGTGGCCAGATGGACGCTGCAATCTGCAGCCTTAATGCGATGGACTTTACAGAGGCACGAGACTTGATCAGCAGAGGTGCAGGTGAGAAACTGCGCTCTTTACCCAGACCGCAGGTAGCTCATGGCCTGGGGGTGAGGGTGAAATAGGGCAGGGGGAAGCCAAGTGACTTACTGCAGCTCCTGGTATGGTAAAACCTGCAGCTCTTGCATTGCAGGCCCGTGCTAATAGGAGGACGTGGGCTTTCTGAAGTGTGGAGTGACTGCAGGCCACAGCTTGGGGCCTCTGCTCTGGACACTGAAATGTGATCCCTGCTTGCGTATCTTTGAGTTCCGCCCTATTTCCCTCCCAACGCAGTTCAGAGCCGTGGCCTCTGTAGGAAAATCAGTGACGAGGCTTCAGGAGGTGCTTCCCTCTGCAGAAAGGATCCGCCTAAGACGTTTGCTCCCGTGACTGCATATCTAAGCCCCCTGCCCTGAGGGTGGCAACCTGGCATTTGCTGTAGCAGGGTGGCTTGGTCTGGTAGGATGCCTCTGGGGGAGATTTTACATGTGGCAAAGCACGAGGGCAGCCTGAAAGTGTGGGTTCTGCTTTTTTGCCTCTTTTAAAACATTTTACCTGATCAACAGAACTGTATGTGTGTACACCTGTTTCTGCAAGTGTAATTTGTGTCCTGGAAAAACACCCCCCCACAGGGCTGTACTGCACTTAATCCTGGGGCGCTGCTCTTGTCTGCCTGCTCCGGGATGCAGGGTTTGGGGTTGGGTATTGATGGACCTTATAGTTCTACAAAGACCCCGCCAGGTGTGTACGTGTCCATCTTGGCTCCTCCCAGGAGTTCCCTGGGCACCGTGGGGTAAGAGCTGCGCTTTCCCCTGCCCTCCTGCCCCTGCTGCAGCGGCTGGTAGGTACAGAACTGCCTCAGTGAAACATGTCTAATTCCTTCCCCGTGCAGGGCTAGCCCCGGGCTGCTGGCAGAGTGCTGGGTGGGACCCTGGGCTCGCGGGGGCCCTTATCTGAGCCACCCACCCTGGCTAGAGGCACAAATGCTAGCGGGAAGATAAAAGCCCCTGCCGCTGGGCCAGTGGGTGCATAAATAACCTCGATCAACAGGGCCTTGTTTTGATCATTACAAAGAAAATGTGACCCCCTGGCAGAGCTGTGCCTGAGGATACTGGCGTGGGGGGGGGGTCTCTAGCAGCCTGACTCTGCCCCACTCAGTCCCTCTCCAGCGATCAGTCACTGGTATTTCATGCTACCTCCCCGCGGGGAGCAGTGCTCCCTGCTGGTGGCAGTGGGGAAATACAGCTGCCTCCTTGGGCGGCTGAAAGGGCCAAGGAGGCAGCTTTGCTCCTGCTGGGACTTGCCTCTCCCGGCCAATGCAGCCCTGGCCCTAACGTGACTTCGGGCCGAGGGCAAAAAGGGCCCAGAGCAAGCCTGGGCAGGAACTGCTGCGGGAGGCGAGGCGTGAACTCGAGGGCTTTCCCAGCAGGCTGGGTGGGGAATCGGCCCCGGGCAGGGGCTGGCGCTCGGGGTTTCATCTCTGCAGCCCCATAGTGGACGCAGCTCCTGTGCTCGAGTGAGGCACCCTGAAGAAGGTCTCAGGCGCTCGAGCCAAGGGGAAGGGCGTCCTTTCCGTGCCTTTATTGGGGAACGCTGGCCCTGGATGCTTTCGGCCCAGAGAACGACCTTCCTGGGGGCAGGGCCGCTTTCTAGTCACGGGCCTGGGCTCAGGGGCCCTTGGCCCCGGGGACGGAGCAGGAGCCCAGGCCAGCAGAGCGGGTGCGGGGAGCGAGCAGTAAGACCCGGGGCTGCTCCCTTGGGGCAGGGAAGATCCAGGTGATGGTAGGGCAGGGGCTGGTGCCCAAATCCCCAGGCTGGGGGAGGGATGGGTCCCTCGGTGCTGGGGGACAGCCGGCGCTGTCTGTCTTCGGGGCCTGTAGCAGGCTGTCATCCCAGGAGCTGGGCTGGGCTGGCCTGGGGCCTACGGGCTCCCGCCGCTCCCCGCCAGCGGATTGAGGCTCCCAAAGGAATGGAGACTGCGGAAGGGGTTTATCAGCTTCATGGCCAAGTAGCGCTGGGGAGAGGAAGGGAGAGAGTCAGGCCCTGCAGCATCTCTAGCCAGCAAACCGGGCTGGGGTCTGCCTCTTCAGCTGGCTCCATGGGCCAGCGCCCTCCCTTAAACAGGGCTGGATTAACCTATTGTGGGCCCCCCTGGGGGCAATGGAGCATGGCGTGGGGGGCAGCCCCACTCCACCCCGCCCCGTGCAAGGCCCTCTACAACCCGGGAAGGTGCCAGACCTGCTGTGGCCCGCCCAGCCCTGTGGGCCTATGCTGCACACAGCCCCCCTGCCCAACTCCCTATGCCCAGAGCCCCCCTAGATCCCCTGCAAATGCACAGCACCCTGCCCAGTGCCCCCCCCACTCCCTAGTGCCCCAACACATCTGCCCCACCCCCTCACAGCCCAGCCCCCCCAAGAGACCCCTCCTGGCCATACTCAACGGCTTTGCAGGGAGTGACTGTGTCCCGGGGCAGGGGATCGCTCTGGCCCCCTCGGGCATGAAGCCATCAGACAGGGCCTGCCCCGGCCTGGCTCCCTCAAGACGCGGTTGCCTGGAGGGGCCCAGCCAAGCCCCCCTCACTGTCTTGGCCCCCTGAGACTGGCCAGGCTTCTGCACCAGTCCCAGGTGGCTCAGCTCCGGGGAGACAGGTGGGCCTAACAGGTGCTGGGAAGCAGAGACGCCCGGAGCTGGAGGGGCACCGGGGTCCGGCCAGCGGGCAGAGAGGAGACGGGGCAGAGAGGAGCCCTTGGCTGGGCGGGGGGAGCCAGCGGGGTCCTGGGGCGCAGTGCAAGCAGAGCAGGCTGGGGCCCGGCTCCACAGTGCCAGGCCTGGCGTAGTGGGGGCACAAGCTGGAGGGCAGCAGGCCCTGGGCTGCAAGGCGCTCCCCACCCCCCGTGCCCCTGTGACCCCTGCAGGGAGCTTTGGATCCCCCTCCCTGGGGTCCCCCCAGAACTCGGCCCCGGGAAGCAGGGCTCGGGCTGCGGCCCGTCCCGGGTGGCACCGCTGCCCTGGGCAGGCTCGGTTGTTCCCTCCTTTGCCTGCACCCGGCCCCAGGGCTCTGGGGGCCCGTGGCTGCAGGCCCCGCCGGCCGCGCACCGGGGAGGCGTAGATGAAGGTGGCCAGCAGGAGCAGCAGCAGGAGCAGTGCGGCCCCCAGGATGATCTTGCACTTGTGCGGCTGCCAGAGGACGAAGCGCAGGCTCTTGACGGGGGCCGCGAACCACAGGAACGAGGCTTCTGGGCGCCTGCCGGGAGGAGAGGGTGTCGGGCAGCCGTGGCGGCTGGGCTCTTCCTGGGGCCTTCAGCTCCCCGTCCAGGCGGTGCCCTAGCAGGGGGGAGGGGGCTACCCCAGGTGACCCCTGTGCTCCCTGGGTCAGAGCAAGTGGGGGGTCCCTCCCCACCCCTTCCGCCGGCCGTCCTGCCCCTTCGTCATGCGGCAGTGAGCGCTCCCCCAGTCCCAGGGCCGCTCCCCACCCCCCCACCCCCGGAGTCTTCTGGCGGGGTCAGGAGCCGCTGGGGGCTTCCCCCACCTGCCTGGAGGCCGCGGCTCTGGTCTTACACCACCCGGCGGCAGATCTTTCCCGGGGCCCCCTGGGCGCAGGCCTGGTGGCCCAGGGGCTGATCCACCCTGGCTCCCGCGGCAGGGCCGGGCATGGGGATGCGGGGGAGCAGGGCTGCTCACTGCTCTGTGGCTGGACCGGGCAGCAGGAGGCAGGGGAGCCTTGGCACCGGTTAGTGCCCTGGGAACGGGGCGTTTGGGAGCAGTAAGTGGTTGGGCATGTGCTCGGTTATTGATCCTCCTGGATTGATTCGGGGGGTTTCCTTTGTAACGCTCCCCCCTCTTGCCTCCGCCTCACCACCCCCCGCTCGCACAGTCGAGCTGGCTCCCCCCACTTACACGGGGGGCTGCAGGGTGGGGTTCATGTTCGGCTCCTCCCGTCCCTTCCCAGCCGGCCGCTCTTCCGCCTCCTTGGCCGTCAGCATCTCCAGCGTCATCTCGATCTTCCCCTGGAGAAGCGAGGCAGGCATTGGGCCATGGCGGCAAAAGGCAGGCGCCCCCCCCCCTCGCCAGAGGTGCTGGGTGCTCCCCGGCACCTGCCCGCAGCTGGAGGAGGATCGTGCCCCTGACCACGCACACAAACCTCTGGTTCTCCGACCCCCGGGGACACCCTAGCTCCAGAGGTGAAAGTAAGCCGGTACACCCCGGTACAGCGTACCGGTAAGAGCTGGTGCACCGTACTGGGGCAGCCCGGCTTCCCCAGGGGGCAATTTAAAGGGGCGGGGGCTCTCAGCAGTGGCTGGAGCCGCAGGTCCTTTAAATTGCCTCCAAAGCCCCGCTGCTGGAGCCCTGGGGTAGCGGCTGCAGGGCTCCGGGGGCTATTTAAAGGACCCGGGCAGTAGAAGCAGGGGAGCCCCGGGCCCTTTAAATAGCCCCCGGAGCCCTGAGCTGCTGCTGCTACCCCGGTGGGGGGCACTTACCTTACAGGGTGGGCTGGGGCTGGCTCTGACCCCCCTCAACTCTGCCCCTTCTGCCCTAGGCCCCGCCTTCCGGGGGCCAGAGCTGGCCCCAGAGTACCGGTAAGTCACTCGACTTACTTTCACCTCTGCCCAACCCCCGCCTCCCGCTCTGGGCCCCCATGTCCTTGCGGCCGGCCCCCAGCTGGCTCATACCGACAGCCGCTGCCTGCCCTCCTCCTGCACCACGCATGGCCACCAGCCTCGGGCGAGCCTTTGCTTGAAGAGGGAGGTTCTCCTGGGGCAGCGGGCTCGGGCCGGGGAGTCGCTCTCGTCCTGCAGCATTTTCAGGGTGCAGTCCCGGGGGCGCCTGGCTGGGCAGGGCATGCTGAGCAGTTTGATTTCCAGAACTCCTGCAAGCAGCACAAGAAAGCTGCAGGGAACAGCCCGGGGACAGGGCGATGGAGCCCTTCACGCCGCCCAAGGGCGCTCCCAGAGCGGACCTGACAGAGGCCCTGCCTGCCCTAGAGGGATGGGGCCGATCCCAGGGTGCTGCGCCTCACAGCAGGGGATCCATTCAGAGCCCCCCCAACAGGGCTGCTCTTCCCGCTTTGTGCAGGGACCGGGGCACGGTTTTGCGCCCCAGAAGTGGCTGCCTTTCCCTGGCCCTGCAGCATCTGGGCTGCTCTTGGGGACAGAAACGTACACGATCGTTAGCGAGGAGGGGACGGCCCTACGGCAACCTGTGGGAAGGGCAAACGTAACACGCTGCAGGGTAAACGCCTCACCGAGAAAATCGTCAGCCGAGAACTTGTCGTTGTCCCACACCTGGAGGATGAGCTTGGGGGGCACCTTCAGCACGGTCTCATCCAGGCTCCAGAGATATTCCTGTGAGCAGAGTGGGCGCGAGCTGAGTGGGTCCCCCCAGGCTGCGGGCAGGGCAGCTGCGGAGAGTCTGGGGCCAGCTGGCGTCTGTGGCCAGCACGTACCAGCTGGGGGCCGGGTGACCCAGCTGGGTGGGGAAAGGGCAGCCCCGGCACTCGGCCTGCCAAGGGGATGCAGCGTGGGAGGAAGCGCCAGGCTGCTGGGGCACTTACCAAGTTGCCAGCCAAATGAATGGCTGTTTATAGGTCTGCAGCCTTTGAAGGGTTAATGCCCCAGCGGAGGCTCAGCGTGCTGCTCAGAGGTGGGCTTGCAAATGGAAACCCCCCCCACCGTTAGTGGACATCTGCAGCCTTCCAGTCTAATGCAGGGGCTGGGGCTCCCAGGGAAGGTCGTTATGGGAGGTGGCAGGTCAGGCTGCATGATGCTGGCAGTCAGGGTAGGGCCAGCTGCTGCGATGCCCTCCCCACACACAAGGTGGCAGCACCGACAATCCCTTTCCCCCGGCATGGCCAGCGCTCTGCCCAGCAGCCCAGCCCCAAAGACGGTCAGCGGGGTCACAGTTCCGGCCAGGATGGGCGAGGACAGACCCGGAGCAGGAGACAGGCTGGAGAAAGTTGGCCGCAGAGGGGCAGATTTAGGGCAGGAGCCCGTGCCCCAGGCAGGCAGCGGAGCACACTGGGACTCCGGCCAGGGGCACTACAGGCATCGGGTTCAAACTGCTAGGGGGACTGGCCCGCCTGAAACACAGCCTGGGCCCTACCTGCCCCTCGGAGCAGCAGCGATGGGTGTGGGGCCATAGCAGGGCAGAGCAGGCCGTGCTGGCACAGGGAAGCGGATGCCCAAGGCGAGCAGCACCCACCTTCCTGGGCAGGACGCAGACCTGCTCCATGGGCAGGAACTCGAAGGGGAAGATGAACCTCCAGTTGAAGTTGCCCTCTCCTCCCAGGGACCTGTAGTGCACATCGGTTCTCTGCCTCTCCTCCTCCAGGCCATCCAGCCACCTGCAACCAGGAGCCCGAGGCTGGCGTGTGAATGGAGGGCATGCGGGTCCCACATCACCCTGCCCCATTGTGTGACACGGCACCCGCCCTGCCTCGCTGCACCCGCCCTGCCTCGCTGTGCGACACGGCACCCGCCCTGCCCCACCCTGCCTCGCTGCACCCGCCCTGCCCCACCCTGCCTCGCTGTGCGACACGGCACCCTGCCCCACCCTGCCCCGCTGCACCCGCCCTGCCTCGCTGTGCGACATGGCACCCACCCTGCCTCGCTGCACCCGCCCTGCCCCACCCTGCCTCGCTGTGCGACACGGCACCCTGCCCCGCCCTGCCCCGCTGCACCCGCCCTGCCCCGCTGTGCGACACGGCACCCTGCTCCACTGCACCCGCCCTGCCCCACCCTGCCTCGCTGTGCGACACGGCACCCTGCCCCGCCCTGCCCCACTGCACCCGCCCTGCCCCGCTGTGCGACACGGCACCCTGCCCCACCCTGCCCCGCTGCACCCGCCCTGCCCCACCCTGCCTCGCTGTGCGACACGGCACCCTGCCCCGCCCTGCCCCGCTGCACCTGCCCTGCCCCGCTGTGCGACACGGCACCCTGCCCCACCCTGCCCCGCTGCACCCGCCCTACCTCGCTGTGCGACACGGCACCCTGCCCCACCCTGCCCCGCTGTGCGACATGGCACCCGCCCTGCCCCGCCCTGCCTCGCTGCACCCGCCCTGCCCCGCCCCACCCTGCCTCGCTGTGTGACACGGCACCCTGCCCCGCCCTGCCCCGCTGCACCCGCCCTGCCCTGCTGTGCGACATGGCACCCGCCCTGCCCTGCCCCGCTGCACCCGCCCTGCCCCGCTGTGCGACACGGCACCCTGCCCCACCCTGCCTTGCTGCACCCGCCCTGCCCCACCCTGCCCCGCTGTGCGACATGGCACCCGCCCTGCCCCGCTGCACCCGCCCTGCGACATGGCACCGACTTCTGGTGTTCCTGGGGGGGTGCTTGAGGCCCCGCTCTGCCCTGGGCCCCACTCCCACGCCATCCCTTCCCCCAAACCCCCACCTCCCTCGGGCAGCATCTGGCCAGGGGCTGGGATGTCCCAGTCTCTCTACCAGTGCAGTCCCAGGAACTGCCGGCTGTCGACAACCAGCACAGACCTTGGGGGCTTGCTCTTATGCAGGTGGTTGTTGGCTCAGGGCCCTTGATAGCATCTCCACCACTGCCTGCCCGCCAGGCGCCAGGAGCAGAAGCAGCCAGCTAATGACAGACCCAAGAGCACATTGGCTGGGCCCCAGAGCACTCAGCTAAAGTCCCGATTCAACACCCTCAGAGCAGGACAAGTCTCAGAGAAAGGAATCAAGATCCATATTGATACTCAGCAGCCAGCGATTCCCGCACCTGCCAGCATCAACCCACTGGAGACCCACTGAGCTACGTAGAGAGACTTACCTTCAATGCTACCGGGGGTCAGCACTGGGGACACCGGCAGAGCCATGCGTTTGGGCAGACCGGGGCTGGGACAGCCGGGGGCTGCAGGTCGGGAGCGAGGGGCACCGGCAAGGAGGGTGTGGGGATGGGGAGCCGCAGGGACAGCCGGGGGCTGCGGGTCGGGAGCGAGGGGCACCGGCAAGGAGGGTGTGGGGATGGGGAGCCGCAGGGACAGCCGGGGGCTGCGGGTCGGGAGCGAGGGGCACCGGCAAGGAGGGTGTGGGGATGGGGAGCCGCAGGGACAGCCGGGGGCTGCGGGTCGGGAGCGAGGGGCACCGGCAAGGAGGGTGTGGGGATGGGGAGCCGCAGGGACAGCCGGGGGCTGCGGGTCGGGAGCGAGGGGCACCGGCAAGGAGGGTGTGGGGATGGGGAGCCGCAGGGACAGCCGGGGGCTGCGGGTCGGGAGCGAGGGGCACCGGCAGGGTGGGAGGGGGGTGGGCAGCCCCAGGGGCTGCGGCCTGGAATTGAGGGGCCAGGCACCAGCGGGGCTGTATGTGGGAAGAGTATAGAACAGGAGCTGCTGCTCTCAGTCTGTCCGTTTTCTCAGCCTCCATGTCACTGGCTCCAGCCCCGTTTCATCTGCACCGGGCGTCGGCTGCTTCCCAGGCAGGCCTGGCCGAGGGCCCGTGGCTGGGCTCCCTGGGGCCCGAGGGTGCAGGCGGCAGGCCCTCACCCTTTCACATAGATGTCGCTCATCCTCTGCCCCGTGATGCTGGTGTCCTGCAGATCCACGTCCCGCGTGTTCCAGACGATGCAGCGCAGCTCGTACCTGGGGGGGGGGGGGGCAGCGCGGGCAGCTTTGGCTGGTTGGAGGCTGGACACAGCCTGGGGGGGCTGGGGGCTGGTGCGCTCAGGCTGCCTATGGGCCTGGGCTCTGGAGGGCTGGCTGGGGTCGCAGGAACATGGAGAACACAGAGGACCCGGGAGCCCCCGGGCAATGGGAGACTCCGCTGACCTCTCCCGAACCCGCGGGACAGAAGGGGAGAGTGTGGTCACACTTCAGGGAAGGAGCTGCAGATGGGCATGGCCAGGGCTGGGGCATGGCCCCGGTGCTCACCGTGCCAGGCTGGGGAGCTGGGGCGTGGCCAGGCTCTGTGGGGCTGCACACTGCCGCAGAGATCCCAGTGCTCTCCTGGGCGTGCTGGGTTTGTGGTGTGCCAGGGTTCGCCTGCCCAGGGCAGCGAGGGATTTGTCCCACTCACCGTTTGGGCTTCCGAGGGGTGATGTCGAAGGCAGGGCCTGGGGGGCCAAAGCTCTCTGGGAAAATGTCCACCCACATCTGCAGCTTCCCCTGCCGAGCAGACAGGAGCAGGCAACTTGTCGACACGAGCTCAAGCCCAGGCCGGCTCCTCGCCCTGCGCCGAGCCCCCCTGCCAGTGTCACCCCTGAGCGCCGGCCGTCTCGCTCCCCCACTGGCCAGGCCAGGGATGTCACAGGGCTCCTCTGGGGCCTGGGGGCTGAGCTCCCACCCGGGCCAGCAGGAGCTGCTGTTCCTGGGGAGGGATCCTCCCGCTCCAGCGCCTGGGGGAGGATGCAGCCTCCTCAAACAACAACAAACCTCCCGTCCTCCCCCCGCGGCTGCATCAGCTCCCTGCAGGGCTCTCGGCCAGCTGGTGTGTGGGGCCATGTGTCCCCCAGCCAAAATAACCCCCACCCTGCACGTACACACACGCATGCAGTCCCACTGCCCAGCTCTCTCACACCCACACACGTTTCCGGGCGTACACACGCGGCGTGAACACATCACGCAGGGAGGGGCAGCCTAGACCCGCACCCACAGAGCCGGGGCAGCCGGGATCCCGGGGCGTCCTGCTCACGCAGCTGTTTCACGGCACAGGTCTCTGAGCTGCCTGCACCCTTCCCACTGGCCCCGTCGGCTGTAACCGTCAGCCCTGGCTCCGCGCTCCGTGCCCGCGCTGGGCAGCCCACCAAGGACACGGGCCCTCATCCCATGTGACAGACCCGGTTTTCCGGGTTTGTCCCAGGAAAGCTGCTTCCCCACATCCTGTTGCAGTGGCTTTGGGGGCTCAAGGTGCTGGTGTGGGGCCAGGCTCACCGCTCTGGTGCCCTACCTGGTCGATGCCGGGCTGGATGCTGTGGTGCAGCGTCCTGGTCTCCAGGTGCTCGGGGACCAGCCCGCAGGTGCGGAGCAGGTGCAGGGCCAGGCGCTCTCTCGGGGGGCCCAGGTGACCGTGCGCAGGGACCTTGCTCTCTGAGACAGGGAAGCCAAGCACAGCAGAGGGACATGGGGTACGGGGGGAAGGGGGGGGGTTCCCATCGCTCCCTTCTGCCAACATCATCTCCCAGCTGCCCCGATTCCCTTAGTATCCTCTCCCACCCCCCATTCACCAGTGGGCCCCTGGGCCTCGCCCACCCAGTGCAGCCCATTCAGGCTGCTCCTTGCTCAGCGTCCCCAGGGCCATGCCCAGCTCGCATTCCCTGCAGCAACCGGGCCTCCAAATCCCAATCCCAGGGCCTGGGTCCTGGCCCCCGCCGCATGGGCTGGCTGCCGGGAAACAGCTATAGAGAAACCCTGCAGTCCTTTGATGGCAGGGACCCCGTGTCTTACCCAGGGGCTGGCAGTGCCCCGGGAACCCTGTGTCCCGCCCAGAGGCTCGCAGTGCCCAGGAACCCGTGTCCTGCCAAGGGGCCCACAGAGCCCTGTATCCCAGCCCCGGGAACCCGTGTCCTGCCAAGGGGCCCCCAGCACCCAGGGACAGGGTCTGACTTGTCTCTCCTGGGGACTCTGGGCACTCACCAAACTGCGCCAGCAGGAAGGCCCTGCCCATGAAGGTGGCTTTGCCTCCGTCTGCGCTGAACTCGGGCAGGGCCAGACTCTTCATCTTAGCAAAGTTCTCCAGTAACTGGGTGGGGAGGAGCTGGTCTCGCCACTGACAGGGGCCAGAACTGGGGGTGGGGGAAGGGAGGCAGCAGGGATGAGTGTGAGGCCAGGGAGATGGGTGCATTTTAACCGGCTACTCTGAAGCTTGGGCTCAGCTCTCTGACCCCACGGGGCCAGCTGTGCCAGGATTAGGGCACACTCTACGGGCAGCAATGTGTGTGCATTTCATCCCTGGAGCTCATGTCAGGGCTGGGCAGTATTGTCCCCAGAGGGGAAACTGAGGCACAGAGTAGGGCTGGGATCGCCCAAGGGTGCCCAGCAGGGCAGTGACATTGCTGGGAGCAGATCTCAATTCCTGGCTGGTTGTCCTGTGCTCTAACCATGGGCGGGGGCTCCCGAGTGACCCCCAGTGCAAGTGAGGCTGGGACTGGTCTGTCCCTGAGCCCTCCTCCATGCTCATCATCCGATTCTCACCCTTCACCATTGCCCTCCTTACTGGCACCCCCATGCTGGGTTCCCCAGTGCTCTCCCCATCCCTAACCTCTGCCCCCCTCGTCCGGACCAGCAGCCCCCTGCAGCTTCCTGGGGAGCAAGGAGATTTGTGTGCACACAGGGCCAGACCCCTGCTGTGGGCTGACCTGCGTATTGCTGGGAGAGGCCAAGGGACCCCATCACTTCTGCAGCAGGGACAGATAAGTACCGGGGTGCATCTAGCCCTGGTGCGCCGATCACAAAGGGCCCAACATCCGCTGTGCAGACCCAGGAGCCTGCCTCTGCCCAGGTCACGGTGGCTGGCTCCCGAGGGCCTGGGCACCGACACAGGCTGAAATCCTCTGGGTGGGGAGGCTCTGCCCCAGCTCCACAGCCCAGATGGCAGGGAGAGACTCCGGCCTTGCCCTGGCTCAGCTGGGGGGAGGCGGGGGAGGGTGCTGGCCACTCACATGCAGTAGGACTGGGGCAGCCCGCAGTTGGCCCGGAAGCGGGACAGGACTCGGTTCTCCAGGTCGATGCTGGTGGCCCCTATCTTCTGGTCCGGGAGGACGAGGTCGTAGTCAAAGAGCGAGATCTGCAAGTCCTTCTCCCGTGGGAGGGTGCACAGGAGCTCAAACATCCTGACGGGACGGTGGGCGGGGGCAAAGAAAGGGACGGGAGCTCGCTCTGCGGCCCCAGGGCTCTTGGCCTCAGCTCCGCCTTCCCTCCTGCCCTTCCACCTGCCTGGGCCAGAGCCCTGGGGGACTGGGGAGGCCCAGAGCCCGGGGAAAGGTCACACCGCACAGCGAGTCCCTGGCAGGAGGAGATGGTCTTGGGGCTTTACTGCCACCAGACACTCCAGCTCTGTAGCTCCGGGCCGGGCCTGGCACGGGCCCAGCCATCCCACCTCTGCCCCCTCTGCACGCAAGCCAGCTGCACACTGCAAGGGAAACGCTTCTCGGCACATTCAGAGCACGGCTCAGCAGGGCCAAGCTCCAGACCGAATGTGGGTTTATGTGCCCTCAGTTTCCCTCTGGGCTCTGCACTGATCGTAAAGAGGTGGGACCGGCGTTTGGCTCCCACAGCAGCCTGGTTAGAGCCCAGAGCCATCACAAACTGACCGGAGCCTGCACCTGTGAATGGCAGATGAGGCCTGGACATTCGCTGCTCCTGAGCACAGCCATGAGGAAGGAGATTCCCCCTCTCTGCAGGGAAGCAAAGCCCAGCTGGAGGAGACAGGAGGCAGGTGGCTGGGGGAAGAGCTGAGCTCACATTGTACATCTACACTGTAAAAACCCACCAGCGGCAGCGAGTCGCAGAGCCTGGCTCGACGCACTCGGGATCACAGGGGTCGTGCTGTGGAGCTAACCAGCCCTGCAGACGTTCCCACGTGGGCTGGAGCTCGGGCTGAGACGCCCCCCCCCAAAGCCAGACTTGCTGCTGCTGTGGGGATTATTTTGCAATGTAGACACACCCAGCGACACAGGGCTCTGACCTAGACAGAGGCCATGTCCACACTACACAGCTGAGGCGACCTGTGTGAGACCTGTGTTGACCTGTGTTACAGCACTGCAGGAATTACTGTGGTTTTTCATGTTCACACTGCCCTGCCCCGTCTGTCGGTGGTGCACGTCCTCACCTGGAGCACTTGCACCAACTTAACAGGGGCAGGAGGGCCGGGTGGGGGGGCTGAGAGCCCAGGCTCTCAGTTTGGTGCCAAGCTCCCAGCTGGAGCCTGGCTGCGGCCCGGGCAGGGGAGCTCTGTGGGCAGTGGGGAGCTGAGAGCCCGGACAGCACCTGGCTCCGGCTGGGAGCGCTGCTGGGGCTCACAGCTGGAACCCCCACCCTCAGTTTCAAAACAGGGACCCTACCAGCGGTGAAATTGACTTCCTTGTCAATTCCATGGCTCCCCCTCTCAGCCACCCTCTGCTAACCTAAGGGGGCTCAGATTCTGTAGCCAGATGACTAATCCATTGCTGCCTTGTTTTGAAAAGGCGGCCTGGTGTCTCTGCCAACGCACTGAGAGCATGCACCCTGGAGGGAAGGGGTGTGCCCACCACTACCGGGTGTGACGTTAGGAGTGTAATATAATATCTCATTGAAAGGTGACAGGGCCAGAAAGAGTTAATGAACTCCCCGACTGACCTGACCCAGGGCCAAGCTTTAGAGACGGGTTAGGAAGAGATGGAAATGAACAGAGCTGTGAACGGCAGCGGGCCTTGTCAGAAAGAGACGGGGAGCTGTTTGCTCAGGGCTTGTGATGAAGCAAACGAGGCTTGTCTATGGCTGTGGCTTTGAGTCAAAGATCAAAAGAGGGAGCCACTTGAGTGCATAGTATCTTTGTCTCTCTGGCTCTTGGAAGGTTGTGGTAACCGGTGTCTGAACTGTCTAACACGGGGGAGGCCAACCTGGGCCCCCGGAGCCACGTGCGGCTCTTCAGGAGTTAAGAGGCGGCTCCTTGTCTAGGCGCCGACTCTGGGGCTGGAGCGACAGGTGCCACCTTTCCAATGGGCCAGGGGGGGCTCCCTGCTCAACCCCTGGCCCTGCCCCCACTCCACCCCATCCTGCACCCTCCCCTGAGCCTGCCATGCCCTCGCTCCCCCTCCCCCCCCCCAGAGCCTCCTGCACCCCACAGAACAGCTGATCAGTTGGTGCGGGGAGGGAGGGGGAGGTGCTGCGCAGTGGGGCTGCCGGTGGGCGGGAGGCGTTAGGAGCGGGTGGGGTGGAGCTGATGGGGGGCTGCTGACGTATCACTGGGGCTCTTTGGCAAGGCACATGGGTTAATTCTGGCTCCTTCGCAGGCTCAGGTTGGCCACCCCTGGTTTACTGGATAAATGACCCTGGGTTAATTCCTGTGATGTCTGGGAGAAGGGAAGTTGAGCCTCTTGTCTTCTCAGGCCAAAAGGCTGCTGGAAATGTATAAAAACCCTGGGACACGATCCTGCTTCATCTCTGATCTGCTCTGGGTTTCAAGAAGGGGAAACCCTGAGCCATAAGGATTGAGATCCCCAGTCACTGACTGGAGTCACTCTGAATATGGACATTGGACTATAACCGATGAACTATTTCTAAAAGAAAAGGAGGACTTGTGGCACCTTAGAGACTAACCAATTTATTTGAGCATGAGCTTTCGTGAGCTACAGCTCACTTCATCTTTATGCATCCGATGAAGTGAGCTGTAGCTCACGAAAGCTCATGCTCAGATAAATTGGTTGGTCTCTAAGGTGCCACAAGTTCTCCTTTTCTTTTTGCGAATACAGACTAACACGGCTGCTACTCTGAAACCTATTTCTAAAAGGACTTTTGTCAACTACAAGCTCATCTCTGCTCCGTATCTGAACCTCAAGAATTGAACTCAAGTCTGTCTGGATATTGATCTTTTAACCAACACTCTCTCTCTTTTCTTTTTTAATAAATTTTAGTTTAGTTAACAAGGATTGGCTATAAGCGTGTATTTTGGGTAACATCTAAGTTATAATTGGACCTGGGTGTGTGGCTGATCCTCTGGGATTGGAAGACCCTTTTCTATGATGAGACAAGATTTTCAGTAATCACTATCATACCTGACAGGTGTGTCTAGATGGAGGCCTGAGGCTGGCTACTTTAAGGGAACTGTGTTGTTTGGACGTCTGGGTGACCAGGGAGGTGATACAGAGGCTGTTTTGGGCTGGCTGGGTAAATCTAAGGAGTGGAATATCCACCAGCGTTTGGGGTTTGTCTGCCCCATTTTGTTTGCAGTTCACCCTAATTGAGTGACCTCAGCTGGCTCTTACAGACACCATCCTCGCAGGCACTGAGAGCATGCACCCTGGAGGGAAGGGGTGTGCCCCCACCTTTTGCCCACTACCAGGCCATGTTCCCTTCGCTCTGACCTGTTCCCTCCAGGCTGCTCAGTGATCCGCAGAGCTCAGGGCGGGGTGGGCAGGGTTTAGACCCTGAGCTGCCCTGGGGCTCTGGAGAGCTGCCGACTGGACTTACCTGCCAAAGACAGGTTCCAGGGTGTTGGGCAGATACTGGTCTCTGTCCCCCAGCTTCTTCTTGCCCAGGGTGACCCTCACGTAGGGATCACACTGCAAGGGGCACAGCCAAGAAGGGGCAGTTAATAAACATCCCCCTAGTGCCACGCCCTGTTCTTGTCACATCCAGGAATTGGGGGGTGGAAGTGGAGCCGGAAAGGGTCTCCCAGGCTGTGTCAGACGGGCCTAGGCACTGGACTGAAGCTTGAGGAGCACAAGCTGATCTCTCCCCGACAGGACCCGGGAACAGGGCCGGCTGGGACACGGCTGTGGCATCAGTCAGAGCTGGACTACTGGGGTAGCAATTAACCCCTTGGAACTGGCCAAGTGCCTCCAGGAGTGGGACTCTGGATTGTCAGGTCCCTTAGGGTACAGCCACATGGCAAACCACCACGCTGCAGGGCTGGTCTACAGGCTCATGCGACAGCGGGGCTGGAGCCCAGGCTCTGAGACCCTTCCCTTCGTCAGGTGTCAGAGCCAAGCAGGCATGTCTACGTGGCCACTCAGGGGGGCTGGAACTATTTTTAGAGTGGGGTGCTGAAAGCGGAACCCATGTATTTGGTTGTTATTACTACTTCAAGCCAGGGGGAGCTGCCGCACCCTCAGCACCCCTAGTTCCAGCACCCCTGCGGCTGCTTTTAGCACAGTAGTGACCCCGGATCTGAAACTCCCGGACGTGGCTTTATTAGGGCACTGTCGATACTCTTCCAGGGCCGTGCACCAGCCCAAGGAGCTTTGTCCCAGTGCCACAGGGAGGGGGTGCTGGGTGGGGGGGAAGCAGTGTGCAAAGCGGGCGAGAAGACCTGGGAATTGGGCAATTACCAGGCCGTTCCTATCCTTTGGCGGGAGGTTAAAGGCCCGGATGATGTAAACCCGGACCAGACACTTCTGCGGTTGGCTTTTGGGCAGCTCCTGGAACTGGCGTGGCGGTGGTGGGGAGCTGGGGTCCTCCGGCAGTGGGTAGATCTGGAAGAGTCCCTGCAAACAAACCAATCCACGTGACTTCTAGCTGCTCAGATACTGGATTGACAGAGTCTTGTCCCCTGAGCATCTGGGGCCCATTCCCTGTTGGGAACGGTGCTACTCGTGCTGTTGTGCTCAGAGACCGGAGCAGGCAGCGGCTGGGTACCGTGCCAGTGGCTAAGCTCAGAGATCAGGGCCGATGGAGGAGGGTCACGGTGCCGGCTGGCATGCCTGGCCCTGGATGGCGGGTGTGACGGGTTTCCCCCAGGGTGCCACTTGGAACTGGCGTACCACTGAGCCTGCCTGACCTACCAGCCTGGGCTTCCTTTCACACTGTACTGCTGAGACAAGCCCTCAAGCCCCATCCAGCACATACTGTGACGGTACCCTATGGAAATATGCTTATGAATGTATATATGGAATAACTAGAATATGTTTTATGCTACATATACCATGTAACCTATCTCTGCAAAGGTTCTGATCTACTGAATCTAGTCATCCTATTTGTATGCATGTATCATTTTTTTATTCACAGTTATGAATATTGGCTGTTGTCAGGGTTCCCTCCCCCTCTGAACTCTAGGGTACAGATGTGGGGACCTGCATGAAAGACCCCCTAAGCTTATTTCTACCAGCTTAGGTCAAAAACTTCTCCAAGGCACAAATCCTTCCTTGTCCTTGGATGAGTACTGCTGCCACCACCAAGTGAGTTCGACAAAGATTCAGGAAAAGGACCACTTGGAGTTCCTGTTTCCCCAAAATATCCCCCCAAGCCCCTTCATCCCCTTTCCTGGGGAGGCTTGAGAATAATCTACCAACCAAATAGGTAAACCAGGTGAGCACAGACCAGACCCTTGGGTTTTTAGGACACTAAAAACCAATCAGATTCTTAAAAAACAGAACTTTATTATAAAGAAAAAAAAATGTAAAAGAAACACCTCTGTAAAATCAGGATGGAAGGTAATTTTACAGGGTAATAAGATTTAAAACATAGAGGATTTCCCTCTAGGCAAAACTTCAAAGTTACAAAAAACAGGGATAAACCTCCCTCTTAGCACAGGGAAAATTCACAAGCTAAAACAAAAGATACTCTAACGCATTTCCTTGCTATTATTTACTATTTCTGTAAGTTTAGATGTATCATTCATTAGGAGCTAGATTACTTGCTTGGTCTCTCTCTTTGTCTCCGGAGAGAACACCCAAACCCAAAACAAAAACCTTCCCCCACAGATTTGAAAGTATCTTCTCCCCTTATTGGTCCTTTTTGTCAGGTGCCAACCAGGTTATCTGAGCTTCTTAACCCTTTACAGTCAAAGGAGGGATTTTATGCTACCCTTAGCTGTAGGTTTATGATAGCTGTGTACTTGCTTGATTTTTAAGTAGCCTTTGTAAAGCATTTGGTCAGCTTCTTGAGAAAGGCATGTGCAAATTAAGTGCCCAATCAAGAAGCACTTAAGGGACAAAGCATCTTGGAAGGCTCCAATCCACATAAGAAGTCTACATGAGGACGTTCAAGGTAGCAGGTAAGCAATGGCTGCTGACTGTAAAAACTGAGTCATGCATGGACATGTGACTTGCCCATGTGACTCCAAAACTCCATCTTAGAGCTGGACATTGCATAGGAAGGGGGGGTGGTCTCCACCCACAAGAAAAAGGACCCAGCAGATCGAGGGACATGATCGTTCCCCTCTATTCGATACTGGTGAGGCCTCATCTGGAGTACTGTGTCCAGTTTTGGGCCCCACACTACAAGAAGGATGTGGAAAAATTGGAAAGAGTTCAGCGGAGGGTAACAAAAATGATTAGGGGACTGGAACACATGACTTATGAGGAGAGGCTGAGGGAACTGGGATTGTTTAGTCTGCGGAAGAGAAGAATGAGGGGGGATTTGATAGCTGCTTTCAACTACCTGAAAGGGGGTTCCAAAGAGGATGGATCTAGACTGTTCTCAGTGGTAGCTGATGACAGAACAAGGAGTAATGGTCTCAAGTTGCAGTGGGGGAGGTTTAGGTTGGATATTAGGATAATCTTTTTCACTAGGAGGGTGGTGAAGCACTGGAATGCGTTACCTAGGGAGGTGGTGGAATCTCCTTCCTTAGAAGTTTTTAAGGTCAGGCTTGACAAAGCTCTGGCTGGGATGATTTAGTTGGGGATTGGTCCTGCTTTGAGCAGGGGGTGGGACTAGATGACCTCCTGAGGTCCCTTCCAACCCTGATAGTCTATGATTCTATGAAAGTCTATTTAAGTCTGTGGGAGACCCCTCCATTTTGTCTTCAGCTTGCTCAAGAGATAGCCTCTCCACCCCCAAGGATACCTGACAGAAAGTGGAACAAAGGACAGCAGCTACAGGGGGTGTGAGTGATTGCTGGACCCAGACGTAAAAGGAAGCTTACTGGGTGAGCTTTTTATCTGTATTCGGTTTTCTTACAGTATTAGACATAGACTTCCGTGTTCTATTTTATTTTGCTTGGTAATTCACTTTGTTCTGTCTGTTACTACTTGAACCATTTAAATCCTACTTTCTGTATTTATTAAAATCACTTTTTACTTATTAATTAACCGAGAGTATGTATTAATACTTGGGGGGGGGGGGGCAAATAGCTGTGCATATCTCTCTATCAGTGTTACAGAGGGCGGACAATTTGAGTTTACCCTGTATAAGCTTTATACAAGGTAAAACGGATTTATTTAGGTTTGGACCCCATTGGGAGTTGAGCATCTGAGTGTTAAAGACAGGAACACCTCTTCAGCTGCTTTCAGTTTAAGCCTACACCTGTTAGGGGACGTGGTTCAGACCTGGGTTTCGGTTTGCAGCAGGCTAGTGGGTCTGGCTCAAACCAGGCAGGGGCTGAAGTCCCCAGCTGGGAGGGCAGGAAAGCAGGGGCAGAAGCAGTCTTGGCACATCAGTTGGCAGCCCCCAGGGGGTTTGTGTGATCCAGCCCGTCACACATATACACCCAACTGCAGCTTCACACACAGATGCTGAGTTCAGTTCTGCATGGGAATGCTCAGCTAAGGAACTGCCCAGGACTCAAGTGTCCATCCCCCTCTGGAGTGCAAACCCAAAATTGTACCATCTTATGTTGCACAGAGAATTGCACAGCATAAGCTCATGAAACTCACTCCCTCCCGCAATGTGGAGAGAGATTTGCAACAGCTTTTTGCCCCCCAATTAGGAATTCCACACACTGGGCTTTTGACAAAACAAAATCAAGTTGATTAACTACAAAAGATAGATTTTAAGTGATTCTGAGGGATAGCAAACAGATCAAAGCAGATTACCTAGCAAATAAAAGCCAACACACAATCTGAGGTCTGGGCTCAGCCCTCCAATCTCAATCTGGGCTCAGCCCTCCAATCCCAGCTCAATCTTTTTCTTTCTCAGGTGTTGCCAGCAGCCTTCTTCCTTGGGTGGGGAGTTAGTGAAGAATGAACCAAGATGATGTCACTCCCCTGCCTGAAATAGCTTTTGCCCACGGCGGGAACCGTTTGTCTCCAAATTTAGTACCCATGCCAGACAGTGAAAAAACACTGGTATTCCAAGATGGATTCCAGTATCAGGGGACTTGGTCACACGTCTCTGTAGGGCCATAGCAGCCATGAGTCAGAGGCTGATTGTAACATCCTCGGAAGCCTCCCCAGGGGGAGATTAGCATCTTCTAAGACCTATTGTTCTCTCTAATGGCTCCTCCTGACAGCCAGCCATCTAGGCTGATTGCATTCTGTCTGGTGGGCGCTCCCCAGGTGTAAACACACTTGTAATAGATGCATAGACAATATTCCTAACCTCAGATACAGCAACGATACCGGCATACAAATAGGATAATCATGTCCAGTAAATCATCACCTTTCCAATGATCTCTCACAGGTCTTATTACATCGTGGTTATGCCATAATCATATAATAACAATCTCTCTATGATGAGTATGGGGGTGTAATGCCACAGCGGGGTCTGGGAGCTTTGTACTCTGAAGATGGCACACACCGCACTGGGTGAAGGTTGAGTATTTGTCACTAGACCTCAGCTGACCAGCCCCTTTGCTCCCCCGTGTCCAGCTCCTCTGGTGGCTGGACACAGAGACACTGGGCTGCGGAGGGGCAGCTGTTCCTGGGGGTAGGACCTTGTTGATACGCCCTGGGAGCTTCGCAATGAAACCCCCCAAAAAGCCAACCACCTGGCGCCTGGTTCTCACCTTGAATTCCCCAACTACCAGGGGGTCTTCGCTGGCCGCCTCCCGCCCCCGCCCGCGGTACAGCCTGAAGGTCTGGCAGAAATCCTGCAGGCCCTGGAACTCCGGCACGGCCTCCAACTCACAGTGATAGACCTGCCAAGGAACCACAGGCTCAGGCTTTGGACACTAACAGCTTGGTCGTGCAGAGTCTGTGCCATGGGGTCAGCGAGGGCTGGTACTGAGCCAGGGAGGAACAGGATCCCCCAGAGGCAGATTTCTACAGCAGGAGCCTGGACTGTCCTCCACTGGCACCATTGTGAGTGACCAGGCTAGCAGGGTGTGCCTGATTGTCCTCTGTTGGATGCAATCAGAACTGGCCAGCTGTGAATGCGTCATACGCCCCATCCGCCGACAAGAGACCCACTGTTAGCTGTGCTTGTAGGGCAGGGGCTCTGAGCTCTCTCCATGAGGCTGCTGAGAAGCCCGGAGAGCAGCACGGTCACGAGGCCATGTATTTGTTACAATATCTTAGAGTCTTATAGAGCCCCACCGACTGGTCTGGGAATGACTGATCCCTAAACCACTTCACCTGTCACAGAAATGCAGCCACTTCTGGGGTGGAGCGTGGCAGCTGTATGACTGCAATGTACATACAGTTCTGGACAGGGAATGAGGAAGGACTTGGCATCCTGTTTGTGTGCCAAGGCCTATCTGGCTGCGAGCATCACAGCCTCTCCGCTGTGACTACTGTGGAATCTAGCTACTGAGGGAAACCCCTTGTGGCCAGCCAGGAAAAGACCAGCTCTGATTCCCCACAGAACTCCCGGGGCAAGGGGAGAAATAGCTCCCTTGCCCAGCTGTCTGAGGGCCAGACTGGCTGGCTGTGGGGACCCCACTGGCCGGCAGAAGGCAGGTTCCACCTGGGTCAGGGCAGTCATCATCCCCAGAGCAGAGGGGAAAAACCTCTCTGCAACCCCCGGGCCAGGTTCTACCATGTGCGACTGCCAACCAGGCGCACACCTTCAGGCTGTCCAGCCCTGTCTGCAGGTAGTCTCCGCTCTTTGCCAGATCCCCCGTGGCAGCATAGAACTTGCTCCACCAGTCGACACACTCCTCCTCCTCCTGGGGAAGAACAGAAGGGAAAGCAGCATGAGCCTTGCTAGACAGTGGGAGATGCAGGCATCTCTGTTGCACTGCTGCTGAGAGCTGCTACCCCACTGGGCATGAGGGGCTGCTGCTCCAAGTTCCTTCCGACCCCTCTGTGAAACCCACCTTCTCTGCTCTTGGTGTGGTTCGAAGCCACGACTCAGCAGCCATCCTGCCCAGCATCTGCAGAGATGAGGAGAGACAAATGTGTCACGCCCAAGGAGCTTAATACACCTTATGACACGGCACCCCGTGTTCTTCACAGTGATGTTATTATGATATGATTATGACATAATGATGATGCATTTTGTACAAGATGGGAAAAGTTTTCATTGGTTTTCATTCATTGCTGAATATGATTATCCTATTTGTATGCATCTGTATCTGAAAGTATGAATATTGACTGTGTATCTGTATTTCAAATGTGCTTACTCTGGGTGACACCCACAACTAGCCTTTCAGGTACAACAAGGAAGAAGCCAGACAGTGCTGATGGCCCATCAGCAAAGACAATGGACCATGGAAGAGCTGAGCCTTCCTGTGAACGCTCCAGACAGCCTGTAAGTAATGGCTGCTGTGACTCACAAACTATGCAAGGCCATGTGACCAGATCACATGACTCTGGACTCCATTTTGGGGTGTCTGTATTTTTCCACAAACTGGTTTGGGAACCAAGTTTAAAACAAAGGGTTCCCGCCAGATGCAAATGCTATATAAGACAAGGAGTGACATCATCTGTTCTTCTTCACTTCCCACACAAGAGGACTTCTGGAAACACCTCAGGAATAAAGACTGAACTGGGGGAAGTGCTGGACCCAGGCACAAAATGGGAAGTGACCGCCTAGGAAGGATTACTGTGGAAAGGGATCTGGGGGTCATAGTGGACCACGTATGAGTCAACAGTGCAACACTGGTGCCAAAAAAGCGAACATCATTCTGGGCTGTATTAGCAGGAGTGTTGTAAGCAAGACACAAAAAGTAATTCTTCCGCTCCATTCCATGCTGATTAGGCCTCAACTGGTGTATTGTGTCCAGTTCTGGGTGCCACATTTTAGGAAAGATGTGGACAAATCGGAGAAAGTCCAAAGAGCAAGAAAAATTATTAAAGGTCTAGAAAACATGACCTATGAGGGAAGAATGAAAAAAATGGGTTTGTTTAGTCTGAAGAAGAGAAGACTGAGAGGGGACATGATAACAGTTTTCAGTTACATAAAAGTTTGGTACAAGGAGGAGGGAGAAAATTGATCTCTGAGGATCGGACAAGAAGCAATGGGCTTAAATTGCAGCAAAGGAGGTTTAGGTTGGACATTAGGAAAAACTTACTGTCAGGGTGGTTAAGCCCTGGAATAAATTGCCCAGGGAGGTTGTGGAATCTCCATTATTGGAGATTTTTAAGAGCAGGTTAGATAAACATCCATCAGGAATGGTCTAGATAATACTTAGTCCTGCCATGAGTGCAGGGGACTGGACTAGACGACCTCTCCAGGTCCCTTCCAGTTCTACGATTCTATCTTCTCTTATCTTCTAAAGGGATTTTTAGCCTGTGTATGAAAACCTGGGGAACCCAAGCTGCAAAGCAAATACAGCTTGTGCCTTAAGAATCTGCAAGCCTGCTTGTACCATCACTCAGGGTGAGAAACTGCTAATTCATATTCAATCTATCTAGTATGTTAAGCTCAGTTTGCATTTTTGTTTTATTTCTTATGGTAATCTACTTTGATCTGTTTGCTATCACTTATAATCACTTAAAATCTATCTTTTAGTAGCTAATAAACTTGTTTTATGTTTTAATCTAAGCCAGTGTGCCTTGGGGAAAATCTCAGCTTGGTTAACACAAGTGTGCATTGTTCTCTTCACATTGAGGGAGAGGCAGACCAGCTATTAAACCCATATACTGGCCAAAATGTGAACACGGCAGGATGGTACAGCTCTGGGGTCCTCGGCTGGGGAGATGGGCATAGGTGCCAACTCCGTGGGTGCTCCGGGGTTGGAGCCCCATGGGGAAAAATTAGTGGGTGCTCTGCACCCACCAGCAGCCAAGCTCCCCGCCCTGCCTCACCTCACCTCCTCCTCGCCTCCCACCGAGTGAGCCATGTCCCCGCTCCTCTGCCTACCTCCCAGCGTTTTCCACCCGGCCACCGCCAAATAGCTGTTTGGCTGCTCCGGGAGAGGGGGGAGGAGCGTGAACATGGCACGCTCAGGGGAGGAGGCGAGGACGAGGTGGGGCTGGGGCAGGGACTTTGGGGAAGGAGTTGGAATAGGGGCAGGGAGGGGGCAGAGTTGGGGCAGGGATTTGGGGAAAGAGTTGGAATAGGGGCAGGGAGGGGGCAGAGTTGGGGCAGGGGCTTTGGGGAAGGGGTTGGAACGGGGGCATGGAAGGGGTGGAGTGGGGGCAGGGCCGGGGGCAGGTCGAGCACCCATGGAAAAGAGGGGAAGTTGGCGCCTATGGAGATGGGGGGGTTTGGGGCTCTCCACTGTTGGTTCATGCAGTGGCCGGCCAAAGCCTGCATGTAATTGCAGCTGGGTGTGTCCCTGCCTGTGTGAATGCTGGTGGGAGTGTGGGATCGGCAGCGGTCTGCAGCTTGTCACAGCAGCACAGTGCAAGAGGGAGCCCAGGCTGGACAGACAGAGGGCTTAGTGGCACCCCAGTTCCAGGTTGCACCCCGTGGGGACCCGTCACACACCTGATCAGCTCCTGCCTGCCCCACCAGATGCTGCCCTGCTGCTGGGCTCCTGATGGCTCAGGACGTGACCCCCCCGAGTCTCCTTCGGAGACATTCTAGGAGCCATCTCACATCTCTCAGGTAAGTGGAGGACTGGCCAGGCCAGCTGGAGGGTCTGCAGGGCCCTTGTGAGGAGTGGTAACCCAAGGATCGAGCATGGGAATAGGGTACCTTTTCCTTCAGCTGGCATTTTGATCGTTAGCTTTGGCAGGGCTTTAACAGCATCTGTGTTAGTGATCCAGGCCCAGCAATGTTCATATGAATGGCCCGGCGTTATTGTAGGGGAGAGCTCTGTAGATAGGTCACTGCAGCAGGGTCCCACATGGCTCAGGGAGCCAACATGGATGGGCAGGAGTGTCCTGCTGCTGGCTGTCTTTTCAGCTTCCTGGAGGAGGGGCATCTGAGGTGGGGAAACTGAGGCACAGTGAGTGCATAGCACTGGTCCAAGTTTACAGCAAGTCTGTGGCAGAGCTGGGTATAGACCCCAGATCTCCTGACTTCTGTCCCCCCTGCTCTAACCCCTAGATGATACTGCCTCATAGGGCCCTTTAGACTGGTTAAAAGCTGGCTATGCGAGCACAAAGCCAATGCACCTTGGAGTGAGGGGCAGCACTGGGGCTTCCTGTTAGAAGTGCAGTGAGGGGAGCCCTAAGGGTTAAAGCAGAGCTGAGGCCCGGGTCACCCCTCGCTGTATCTGTCAGTGGTGCTAGACCAGGAATGCCTATGGCACCGGGTGCCATTCCCATGAGCGTTGCAGAGAGAGGGGACCCAGCAAACAGGTGGCTCTGGGCTGCTGGAGAGTAGCACTCACCTTCGCGATCTTCCCCTTGGAAGCTACTGTGTGGGGCAGGGAAGGGAGGGGGAGAAAAGAGACACGGAATTAATGGCAACATCGAAATAGCCCCAGGAGTCTCCCAGCTCCTACAGCAGGAATGGCTAGGCCACACCAGCACTGCATGACCACACGGGGCCCATCTGGCCTGAACGTCTATGAATTAGCCCTTTAATGCCACAAATGAGGAACAGAAACAAGGACTCTTTACGCTTACTGTGGGGCCTGGACTAAGCCATTGGTTACCACGTAATCTTGCCACCGCTGGAGGTCAGGAGTCCAACTGGACTCCCGTGACGGGTCAGTGTGGTTATTCAGAGCCCAGCCCCTAGATGGCATTTCTTTACATTGCAAAAGTAACCCGGCATTTAGCAACTGACCGGCACAACTCATGGGAAGCCAAGGCTTCTCGCAGGCAGGCTGTTCAAGGCGAGGACTGATTGGCCTGGGCACCTCTATGTGTGGGGAGCTCAGGGCTGGGCTAGCAGGGGGCTGCGGCTTGGGAGGGAGGGCCACTGGCAGAGCTGTGGGGCGGTGGGTGGGCACCCCACGACTGGAATAGCAGGCGACTGCGGATCCCAGGTATGTGCTCAAGGGGAATACATCTTCCTTTAGTTTTAATGTTGGGGGATGTGCAGTCCTGGCGCTGCAGGGTTAAAAGATTCTGTGGGGTGATGGCGGGGGGGGCGGGGAGGGCGGAGGGGGCAGGGGGGGTTTCTGCGTTAGAGCACAGTGGCACCATGCTGGAGCCCGGCCTGGCAGAGCCGATGGCGCCAGACGGTTGGCTCTAGGGGAACACGTGGGGTTTGGCAAATAGTCCCACAGGAGGGCGACTGGCCGTGACAGACCGCGAGGTCCCTGCCAGCAGTGGGAGAAAGCCAGTGTTCCCCAGAGGTCCTGGGAGCTGGGCTGGATGTGGGGGATGGTGAGTGGGACTCATTGGTTGGCCTGTACCTGGGGGTGGCAGGCTGGGATGGTGCCCCTCTGCTGACGGCTCACACATGTACTGGCGCAGGGATCTCACGCTGGCCTGGCCCACCACTGGCTTGTACCCAAACTCACGGTTGTCCACGACCTTCAGCTCGATGGGGGGCATTAAATCTTCTTCCATGGGTAAGTGCTGCGGGGCAAGTAGGTCCATGAGCTCCATGGGGAGGCAACAGAAGGCGCAGGCAACTGGGCCACCACCTAGACACGCAGCCATGGAGCACTGTAGACAGACAGACAACGCCAGCCACAGGGCTAGCGAGGGTGTGGGCCGGTGGGATCGAGTGGTCCCTGGAACTCTCCAGTCATCTCTGACTCCCAGCCAGCCACGTAGGCAGGCGGGAAGGGAAGTGGCTGAGCAGCGGTGGGTGGAGCCGCCCTGCCCCATGCTCCTGCCCTGCTCACCACTCTCATGAGGAAGACATTGATTGGGAAGTTGGGGTTTTCGCGGAGGTCTCTGATGGGAGCCGTCTGGATGGCCTCTCCTGCACACTCCACCACCAGGCTCGGCGACATGATGCTCAGCAGGTTATAGCTCTGCAGGCCCCGCAGGCCCCAGGCCAGGATCTGGAGGGGAGAAAGAGGCGAATGGCGTGGTTGTACCATGGATGGACGTCACGAAGGAGGGCTGGGCTGGGCCCAGCTGGGCCAAGTCTGTGCTCAGTGATTCAGCACCAGTCCCACTGGCAAAGACACCAGGGGTGAAGCTGCCGATGTGGCTCTGGTGTGAAATCTGGACCTTTCAGAATCAGAACAGAGCTTAGAAGCCAGCCGGGCCAGAAACTCACTGGACGAGAGCCCTGGCCATCCCCTGAGTGTATTGGACGCCCAGCAGGGAGAGGAATGGGCTGGACTGCTCTGGGGCCCAGGGAGCGATGGAGGGGCTGGTGACAGAGGATCCCCGGCACAAACTCCCACTGATGTCCTGCCTGGCCAAGCAAGGTGGTGGGTGGGAAAAGGGAGACACTGCAGCCTGTGTTTGTGCCAGGCAGAAGGGATGGTTCTGGGTGACAGGAGAGTTACAGTCAGGAATGAGGGGCTGGCGTTAACCAAAGGGAGAAGCAGGGTCTGGAGGGAAGTGACATGGTCCCATCGCTCGACGCTCATACCTTGGTGACTAGACTGGAGGGGCAACCTCGCCCTGGCCCCCCCGGCGATAAGCGGGCGGGACTTCCTGGGCATCTCCATTCCCATCCTGATGAGGAGGAGCAGCAGCTTGTCCTCTCAGGAGGGGAGGCACTTGCAGGTCATTCGGGGCCATGGACCTCTGCCCAAAGTGCTGGTTTGATCTTTGTAGCTCTGCCTGCAGCAGTCCCCATGCGGGGGGCCTCCCAGCTCCAACCCCGCTGTCCCCCAGACCCTGCTGGCTGGAGGCAGTCAGGCCCTCCTGTGGGGTAGAGATAGTGGCTGACGCCCAATAGCTTGGCAGGGTCTGTGGCAGTAACAGGCATCACCTTTGGCAACGCAACGTGCCCTCCGCAGCAGGGGCTTGTTTCCTCCTCCCACCAAACAAGCTACTTCTGCCCTGGAGTCCACGTGAGCAGAGGGGCCCTGGCTGTCACACTCACCTCAATGGCCATCAGTCTCAGTGTGGGCCGGATGCCGCTAGGGATGACGTAGACCCCGTTCTTCCAGGAGGGGGCGGGAAGGTGGCCTGGTGCACCATCCTGGGCGGGGAAGGACAAGGCTGTTGTGTAATGCTTGGCTCTTTCTTTGTACAAAACGGACGGAGGACTTTTGTGCCGGGGAATGACCAGGCCTGGCAGCCAAGGGCAATTCCTCTGGCTTCCACATCGTGCCCCATGCCAAAGTGACCCCTCCAGCCCTCGGGGACCTGCTACATGGGCCAGGGGGCTCAGTCTCTGTTGCTCACCATTCCTGGGAATGCCAGCAAGGAGCCTGAGGAAGAGCGTAGCTTTTGTGTTGGAGACACTTGTTCGGTGGAAACTCTCCTGAGATTCTCCACCAGGATGAGTGATGTGATGTCTGCCAGTCCCAGGGACATCTCATCTGTCCCCCGTGCTCGGGCAGGACCAAGTAAACCTAGACCAGCCCTGACAGTGTTTGCTCACTTGTTCTTCAAAACCTCCAGTGATAGGGATTTCACAAAGCCTGTTCCAGAGCTCAACTATCCTTAGAGTTAGAAAGTTTTTCCTAATATCAAAACTAAATCTCGCTTGCTGCAAACTAAGCCAATTCCTTCTTGTCCTACCCTCGGTGGCCATGTCAAACAATTGTATACAGCGTCGTTTTAGCTGTGTCGGTCCCATGATATTGGAGAGACAAGGTGGGTGAGGTCATATCTTGTATTGTACCCACTCCTGTTGGTGAGAGAGACAAGCTTTCAAGCCCAGAGCTTCAGGTCTGGGAAAGGTTCTCCGAGTGTCACAGCTAAAGACAAGATCGAACAGATAGTTTAGCAGAAATAGCACATGTTCTAAGGAACTCCTGTAGTCACAGGACAAAGCGGGGGTAAGTGGGTTACAGATTGTTATAGAATTGTAGGGTTAGAAGGGACTTCAAGGGTCATCTAGTGTAACCCCCAATAAACCATTAATCCAGAATTGTATTAAGTCTTAATAAACACACGGAATTTATAGTTTATTACAACAATTTGTAACCCACTGATCCCCCTATTTGTCCTGTGACTTCAGGGGTGTTAACAGGCCACTTCACCTTGAATGGTCCATTCCAACGTGTGCTAACTACTTACGCTAAACGATCTGTTCAATCTTGTGTTTAGCTGGGACACGTGGAGAGCCTTTCCCAGACCCGAGGATGAGCACTGTGTGGCTCAACCGCTTGGCGCTCTCACCAACAGAAGTTGGTTCAATAAAAGATATCACCTCCCCCACCTTGTCTCTCTAATGGAAGACAGTTAATCACCATCTTCCTTATAACAACTTTTTACATATTTCAAGACTGTTATCAGGTCTGGAATACTGTCCAGTTCTGGGTGCCACACTTAAGGAAGGACGTGGACAAATTGGAGAGCATCCGGAGGAGAGCAACCAAAATGATACAAGATTTAGAAACCTTTATCTAGGAGGAAAGGTTAAAAAAAATGAGCATGTGTAACATTGAAAAAAGCAGACTGAGGGCACCTGATAACAGCCTTCAAATATGTTAAGGGATGTAATAAAGATTCATGGATTCCAAGGCCAGAAGGGACCATTGTGATCATCTAGTCTGATCCCCGGTTTCTCAGAGGCCAGAGACCTGCCCACTATAATTCCTAGAGCAGATCTGTTAGAAAACATCCAACCTTGATTTTAAAATGGTCAGGGATGGAGAATCCACCACAATGCTTGGTAATTTGTTCCAATGGTGAATTACTCTCGCTGTTAAAAATTTACACCTTATTTCATAGAATCATAGAAGATCAGGGTTGGAAGAGACCTCAGGAGGTCATCTAGTCCAACCCTCTGCTCAAAGCAGGACCAACCCCAACTAAATCATCCCAGCCAGGGCTTTGTCAAGCCAGGCCTTAAAAACCTCTAAGGAAGGAGATTCCACCACCTCCCTAGGTAACCCATTCCAGTGCTTCACCACCCTCCTAGTGAAATAGTGTTTCCTAATATCCAGCCTAGACCTCCCCCACGGCAACTTGAGACCATTGCTCCTTGTTGTCATCTGCCACTACTGAGAACAGCCAAGCTCCATCCTCTTTGGAACCCCCCTTCGGGTAGCTGAAGGCTGCTATCAAATCCCCCCTCACTCTTCTCTTCTGCAGACTAAATAACCCCAGGTCCCTCAGCCTCTCCTCATAAGTCATGGGCCCCAGTCCCCTAACCATTTTTGTTGCCCTCGGCTGGACTCTCGCCAATTTGTCCATATCCCTTCTGTAGTGGGGGGCCCAAAACTGGACACAGTACTCCAGATGTGGCCTCACCAGTGCCAAATAGAGGGGAATGATCACTTCCCTCGATCTGCTGGCAATGCTCCTACTAATGCAGCCCAATTTGCCATTGGCCTTCTTGGCAACAAGGGCACACTGCTGACTCATATCCAGGTTCTCATCCACTGTAATCCCCAGGTCCTTTTCTGCAGAACTGCCGCTTAGTCATTCGGTCCCCAGCCTGTAGCGGTGCATGGGATTCTTCCATCCTAAGTGGAGGACTCTGCACTTGTCCTTGTTGAACCTCATCAGATTTCTTTTGATCCAATCTTCCAATTTGTCTAGGTCACTCGGGACCCTATCCCTACCCTCCATCGTATCTGCCTCTCCCCACAGTTTAGTGTCATCTGCGAACTTGCTGAGGGTGCAATCCATCCCATCATCCAGATCATTAATAAAGATGTTGAACAAAACCGGCCCCAGGACCGATCCCTGGGGCACTCCGCCAACTAGACATAGAGCTGTTGATCACTACCCATTAAGCCCGGCAATCTAGCCAGCTTTCTATCCACCTTCTAGTCCATTCATCCAATCCATACTTCTTTAACTTGCTGGCAAGAATACTGTGGGAGACCATATCAAAAACTTTGCTAAAGTCAAGGTATATCATGTCCACCACTTTCCCCATATCCACAGAATCAGTAATCTCATCATAGAAGGCAATCAGGTTGGTCAGGCATTCCAAGTTCTGGCAGCATGAGACCTTCAGCATGTGTCATTCAGATTGAAGTCCCCCATGATAATGTATTTTTTCCCCTACACAGTGTGGATGGGTGCGTAAGGAAGCAGTTATCTTGTTCATTTGTGGGATTTGGTGGTTGGTTGCAGACTCCAACTAATACCCCATCTTGCACTTTAGCCATTAGAACATTGATCCATAAGCATTCAAGAATGTTCTCTTCCAAATAATCAGCGACTCAGAAACAGATAATGCCATTTCTGACATACATCTTTTGTCCACTTGCTCCTTCCTAAATAGGTTATAACCATTGATTTTAACATTCCAGTCATGGGAATCATCCCACTGCGTTTCAATAATAAAGAGGACGATGACCAATTGTTTGCCATGTCCACTGAAGGCAGGACATGAAGTAATGGGCTTAATCTACTGCAAGGGAGACCCTTTTTTGCACCATCACACAGTTCACTCATATTCAACGTGTGAGCCACTATAACCCCCAGATCCCTTTCACCTAGCCAGTTATTCCCATTTGTATCTGTGCATTTGAGTTTTCCTTTCTACGAGCAGTATTTTGCCCTTGTTGCCATTGAATTTCATCTTATTGATTTCAGACCAGCTCTCCAATTTGTCAAGGTCATTTTGACCTCTCGTCCTGCCTCCAAAGTGCTTGTGACCCCTCCCCTCAGTTTGTACAAACACCTTCCCCCCAAATAAAACACGCGCCCCTTTTACCTTGGGATTCAATAGGAGCTCAAAGGCAGCTAAGAGCTCGCCCGCTTCCTTCTGCTGCCTTGTGATTGGATACCACTGGAGGTGGGGGAGGTGTCGGGATCCAAGATCCAGACATACTAGTGGGGAACACATGCTCCTCCCCAGGAAGTCATCCTTGTCCTAATATAAAGAGGAGACATGATCAGATCATGTGAGTCATGGGCCTGCAGATCCCCTTCACCTGCTCCTCCTTTACCCACTTCCCTGGGATCTCGCACTTACAATGATATCCCGGTCAAACAGCTCCAAAACCACCAGTGGCGGGTCCTGCTGGGTGGCCTGGGGGTCTCCATAAATCAGCACATGGTCAAAGATTAGGGTCTGGTCCCAGCTGGGGCTCAGGGTGGCAGCCAAGGTCTGTGTGCGCTGGCTCATGTGCAGGAAGGACACGTGGGCATAGGGATCTGGGGGAAGGAGACGGGAGAGACGGGTGGTTCAGTCCTGTCAGAGCGGGCAGAGTGTCCCGTCCGGACACAGCGCCATGGGAGAGATGTAGAACTGGCCTATCTGAGCAGCACCTGTGCACCCCTTGGACACAGTGTACGCCCAGCAGCCGGGAACCCGTAGGGCCACTGTTTGTACAGCGTAGGTCATTCAGAGCTCCCATGCCCAACAGAGGGGACCTGTCTGGCCTCGGTGGGTCATAGCAGGGGTGGCACCACGAAGATTTGCGTTATGATCTGAGGGTGCCAGGAGAGGGGTGGGGTAGAGCAGGGAAGGTCAGAAGCTACATGTGTTGAGGGTCATGGGGTTTGCCTCCGGTCACCTACCAGAGGAGCTCTTGCCCGCGCTTGGTGTCAGATCCCGGGCTTGGTAGATGTAGCAGCACAGTTGGTAGTAATTGGGCTCTGGAATATGAAGAGTTCACAGGTCTCACCCACACTCCTCCTTACCTGTTATGCAGAGGTGCCCTGCGGTGTCCCCCCACTCCTGCCATCAACCAGGGCCCAGCTGCAGAAGCTTCAATCCCTCACTCTGGCCATGGAGCGGGGCCCAGGAGGAGCCAATAAATCGCAGGGGCCCTGAAACAATCAGTGGATGGAGGGACAGATTTGGGGGGGCCACCTTCCTGCTGGGGCTCTGCAGCTGGGTGCGATCCCCTCCATGCCAGTAACTCACTCTGGAAGACACAGGTGATCAGAGGAGTGTTCAGCTGCAGGATGTTCTGGGCTGGGGACCTCTTTTCTCTCTCTCCTTCCTCCAGGAGTTTTTTCTCTTGCTCCTTCTGTTTCTCTTTCTCCTCCTCCTCTCCTTCCCCCTTCTCTTGATCTTCCAACTCCACGCCCTGAGCAGAGAGCAGCCCTCAGCCCCTGGGCACCCTGAGCTGCAGGATCTCCAGCTGGAAGTGCTGGGCCCCGGGTGGAGCTCTCACTGACCAGGATGCCCTCGCACCTCCTTCCGGCTGTAGGTTTCCAACTCCACTGGGGTCTATAACCCCCACCCCTGGCTATACATCCTCACGAACACAACAACCACTTCCTCCCACCTCTGTTGTAACTATCCCCGTCATCCCTCTCCGCTCCTCTCTACGGCTGCGTCTCCCTGGGGCTCAGGAGCAGCCTGCCTTGGGGCTGTGAGCTGCCTTGGGGCAAGTTGACCCTTATGTGTCAATCAGCCCCCTCTGGCCTACGGAGACCCTGCTTTGTGCCAGGGGTTTGTGCTAGTGGCTGGACAGGTGCTTTCTGGGAGAGGAAAGAAGAGAGGCTCCAAGTGGAGACAATGGGCCAGAGGCTGCACCCCTCCCTCTCCAGCCTGGGACCACCCATGGGCATAAGGCTGCACGATCAGGTCTAAGGAGCAGCCAGGGGTTTCCAGCTGAGATCTGCCTGCCTCGGGGAAGCCTCCTGTTGGCTCACTCTGCAAGACTGCTGCCTATGAGCCTCCCAGTTCCCGTCTGGCTGTGGTAACAGGCACAGTGCAGATACAGTGGGTCTGGCCAGCCGTTGTGGGGAGGTTGCAGCCATTCTAGCGTTTGGCCAGCTGGGGACAGGATCTTACCATGTGGGCTAGAACAGTGGCCAAATGAACAGTCAAGAGCGATGCCCCTCTGCTGCCCGGCCTCTTACCAGGGAGCCCTCCAAGAGGAAAATGGGAGCCACCCTGGTGGGCTGCACGGGCACGAGCTTCCTCCGCCAGCAGCGCCGCCGGTAAGTGTCATGCGGCCGGGGCTGCAGGCGGAACTTCCAGCCAAAGAAGGAGGCGTATTCCCAGGTGTCCTCTTCCGCCGGCTTCCCTGCGGAGTGCTGAAAAAACGGGGGAAGAGCCGCACAGCAAGGATCCAGCTCAGACTGAACCCTGACCCTCCGTAAGATTCCCCCGAAGCAATTCCCCGCCCCGGCCACCAGCTTTCACCCCAAGACATTTTGGAGCTTCCCAGCTCCACTCTGCAGGCCCCAGAGGCTCAGGTACAATCCGTGAGCCTGGAGGGGCGTCTCCAGACAGCTCTGTGGACTTTGGTGGAGCCCCGGTGATTTGCAGAGGAGCCAGGCCGCCTTACACCAGCTGAGGGTTTGTCCTCGCAGTGCAGTGCTCCTCTTTGTCACAAAGGCTCTCCAGAGCGTGTGCGTCTGAAGTTCCCTCACCCCGGGGTGCTGGGAGCAGCCCCTTCCGAGCCAGCCCCGCAACAGGGACCATGAGCACAGCCCCTGCCCTCAGCCGCTCCCACCACGTACCAGCCGGAGAAAGGAGGCGATTTCCTGCTCCTGGCTCTGAGCGTTCAGGTCCCGACAGCGTCTCCGCAGCCAGCGCCGACGCCGGTGTGTGTGGTACGTCTTCTCTGCAGCATTCCAGGCCTGGGGGGTTCCGGTGGGGGGGATGCCAACGCCGTACTCCCAGCCTGAGAGAGGAGCCCGGCTGCCAGCAGGACCGGGGAGGAGGCCCCAGGCAGGCATGCTCACACCCTGGCGAGCAGACCCTCCCTCCTGAAACCAAGCAACCTCCTGCCTGGCCTCTCCTGCTGCCCGGGCTCACGCCCCAACCAGCTGGGCTGGACAAGGTGCTGATCCTGTGACTGAGGCTGGCAGGGAGAAGCTGCACCCAGTACAGCCCTCTCTGTCCTACAGCAGGGACAGCCTAGGAAATTCTCCTCCCCCCCGCCCCGCCACCATGTGCCCACCAGCCCAGCTCTGGAGACAGCTCCTCCAAGGGCGAGAGGGGGACTCAGTCTCCATGGCCTGTCTGCTGAGGCTGCCAGCAAGATGGGCAGCTTGTGCCAGCGGTGGTGATCCTGTGATGAGGACGCTTGTCTGCTGGAAACCGGCTAAACTCATTACTCTGGGCTGCTCAATGGGCCCACAGACCCTTCAGGATGTGCCCAGGGGAACACAGTCAGCACTAAGCCCCACAAATCTGGGTGGGCAGCAGCTTGGTCCTGGCTCTCTGACCACTCCACATTGCAACCCCAGCAGCCACACTGATTCCCCTGGAAACAAGCACAGAAAGGCCACTTACCGGCCTCATCCACAGCTCGGTTCACCTCCACCCTCCAGCTTTCCTCGAAGTGCCAGCCCTTAGGGCACACGATCCCTTCCCTTGGGGAGACAGCGGCTCCACCCTGGAAGCGAGACAACAGGGGAAATGCGGAGCTGAGCATGTTCGCTGGAGGTGCCCCAGAGCTTTCAGAAGGGTCCAGCAGCCACGGTGGGGGCCAGACGCTCTGGAGAGCCCAGCCCGTCGGGGGCAGAGCCCGTTGACACACCCAGCCCTGAGTGTAACAGAGGGAGCTGCTGGGAGCTGAGCCCCTTTGCAAATCATGTCCTCAGAGACCAGGGCCCAGGGAAAGTATCAGCACCACGGAGACCAAAGCCTCTGGGCATCCCCTGGAAGGTAGGACGCAAACCAGGGTGGGCAGGAAAGCAGGCTCAGGCTGCAGGCTGGAGCTGGCATGTATCCTGGACAGGGGCTGAGGTTCTGGTTTGACGGCACAGATCAACGAAAAACAACCTCCAAGACGACCCCTCCCACCAGCCAGTGCTGCCCAGGGCTCCCTCCTTTCCTCACCGCATCGGTGTTGGGAGAAGGGGCTGGGGCCCACTCTTCCCCTGGCTGCCGGCTCTCATTCTCATACACCTCCTCCAGCACCTCACTGTAGTTGGTTTCAGTATCCAGCAGCAGCCTGTGTGGGGGGCCGGGGCAGAGTTAGGAACGCAGGAGTCTCATCTCATGGCTTTTCCAAAGGCTCTGCGTGGATCCTCCTGTCATCTCCTGTTCTCTCCCATCAAACCTCAGGGAGCTGAGTGCCCAGAGGTCCCTCTAGTCCAGTACCTGGCACCTCCCTTTGGAACCCTCTACCAGTGAGGGAGGATGTTCCTCCTGACCCCAGCTGGCGATCCTCTTACAACTTGAGGCCTGATACAAGGTCTGAGAGCCCTGGGGCAATAGTCCTCGCTAGCATGACTGCAGACACGATCCTGACTGGGACATGCCTAATCTCTCCTGGAAAGAGACTCATCTATTTGCTTCAATAGTATCCTGCAGCAGCGAGTTCCACAGTTTACTCGTGCAATCAGCTCTCCAGGCCCTTCACTAGCTCAGCTCTCCCCATCCTACTCAAGCACTGATGGGGGGACTCAGCTGGAGTCACATTTAACCCTTTAACCACCTTCCCACTAGCCAGTGTCTCAGGTTAACTATCTGTCGCATAGCAGGATGTTTCCCAGACCCCATCTAGTGCTGTTTCCTCCTTTTGCCATGTCAGGTGTGTCAGAGAAAGGTGTAACCACACCTCCGAGCACCCCTCACGGCACTGTACTACACACATGGGAGGTTTCTCTCAGAGCCCCTGGAAATCCTCCCCCTCACATGGTTTTTGGGCTTCTTCCTGGCCTGGTTGTCATCGTCAGGGAGGAGACGGCCCCTGTGAGGTGCTTTCAGCAGGACAGCATGTCACACGACTCACCTCCTCTGTGGCTCAACTGCCCAGTCGCCATCCCAGTGCCAGCCCTTGGGCAGCTGGAACTTGTCCCTCGGGACACCAATCTTCCCGGTTATGTCCGAGGAGCTGGGGTGCTGCATCAGCCCTTTGGACCCCCACTTCCCAAAGATCTTCACCTGGTTCTCATACTGAGCAGGGCCCAGGGGAGCGACAGACACAGACAGAAGCAGGTCAGTGCAGAGGCAATTCCACGGACACCAGGCGGAGTCCAGGGGCGGGGTGAGCGCTGGGTATCTCCAGCAAGTGCGGGGTGGCAGAGGGGCTGAGCGGAGCTGCTGTGGAAGGTGCGTGTGATGTGCGTGAGCTCTTTTGGGCTGGGCTTTGGGGTCACAATCGATCGGCCTGCTGGGGGGTGTGCCCAGTGTATGCAGCATTCTCTGTCTGCACCAGCACCGTCCTCATCCAGCAAGGGAATCCCGCATACCTCCCTCCCCACAGGGGAGCCATGGCAGATTATCCCTGCCCCAGGAACCAGAGGCCTCTCGCCCCAAAGCTGCCCTGCTCCTGCTCACCGACTCTGCATAGACCCCGATCTTCCCCTCAAAATGCCTCATGAACTCCTGGCTGTCGGACACCAGACTGAGCCACATCCGCATCCGCAGCTGGCCATGGATGGTGTCCTTCCCGTCACTCTGGGGGCTCTGCAAGAGGAAGGCAAAGGGGCCGCGCTGCACCCGCTCCAAATGCAGCCACCAGGCGTGGGCAGGGCCGGCTCCGCCGGCTCCCCGCAGCCCGAGGCGAGCGAGAGGGGCGGAGATCCTGGCCCGTCTCCTACCTTCAGGAAGAGGGTGTGGGTTTTCCCACACAGCTTGCCACAGGCGCAGGGACCGGCCTTGGAGAACATGATGGTGTGAGCCTTCACCCGGGCATAGGCCACCCGCTTCTCCTTGCACAGCATCCAGATCGCCACGTCAGGCATGCTGGCTTGGGCCTGGGCGTGGCAGCACGTCAGGAGAGAGAAGAGACGGCACAGATGCTATTGCAGGATACTCCTGGGCTGCTCTCCTTCCCATGGCAGGGGCTGTGCCAACTCAGCCCCTTAGGGTCCCCCCTCATGCCAGCCTGGCCCCCCTGCTAGGCCTGTCTGCAGGGGCAGCCCCCAGGGTGACCAAAGAACCATCCTGCCCCTCTGCGAGCTCTGCAGCACTGACTCAGCATCACGCCTAGCTCCCAGCGACCCAGGGAACGAACAGCAAGGTCAGAGACCGCAGAGCGCGGGCCCCATGGCTAAGCATGCCTCCCTTCTCCTCCGGAACGGGTCTGGAGGATGCTCAACCCGGGAGAGCTACAGAACTGCCGCTACGGGACTGCCACTGCAGAACTGCACACGTCTCAGGAGGCAGCAGACACTAGGGGAGAGGCTGGTGGGCATGGCCGCTTGGGGATGGTGTCTGGGGGAGGGGCGCAAGGCCTTGGCATACCTCCGGAGTCACCGAGTTGATCCTCTGCAGCCAGTCCTCTACCTTGAGGATCAGGGTCTTTGGGTTAGTCCCAGTGCTCAGCCTCTCTGCAGACCTGGCTACTTGGTGGAGGAGCCGACCACGCAGGTCCCTCAGCTGTTGATCCAGGACTGTGGCTGTCATCCGACCTTCCAAACTGGGCAGCAGCCTTCTGCAAGGAGCATCAACAGGGAGAGGTCAGAATTCCCTCACTGCCAACAGCTACCCAGGGCAGAGAGAAGGGGGGTCTGAGAACTGACCTGCCCCTCAGCTCACAGGTGGAGAGATGAGAAATGTGGAACTGACCCACGGCATCATGTAAGTCAGAACTGGAAAAGACGTGGCCAGCCCCTCTCCTGGCCAGGCAGGATTGCTCCCTGCCGCACTTTGGCAGTGTTTTGTCCAGTCCAGTTTTACATGTCCCAAGCGATGGACATCCCACCCCGGTCCCACATCCTCACAGATCTCACTGGCAAGAAGCTTCCCCTGACAGTCAGCCTTCGGTTTCCATTTCTCAGTTCTGTCCCATCGCTCCTACTTACCCCGCGTTCCCACACTAAACAACCCCCTTTCCTCCTTGGGGTTCGCACCCCTCAGACTTTTCCAGACTATTATCACGTTCCCCACGCCCCAGACACTGCTTAGCTCAGGTGTAACCCTGTTAGCTCTCCAGCCCCATTTCTCCTAACTCCTCCCAGCTGGAAAATACCCTTCTGGAGATGAAGACATGTCATGAGGACAGAGCCTGAGCTCCACGCTCGGCTAGGAAGCCAATAGATGGTGCGGACATGGACAGACACTGGAGATCCAGCATGGGAGAAAGGCACTGAGAGAGCTTGCACCATAGTCTGGCAATCAAAAGCCCAGAGTTGCCAACCTCTGGAGACAGGATCGTACGATACATCCTTCTCGTACAGTTCTGGAGCCCCTTCGGTAATAAATGATACTTTGCCCTTCTACGGCATCTTCCCCGGGAAGATCTCAAGGCCAGGTGCTCGCAGATTGCGATCTCTGTCCCACTGGTGAAAATCTGGAGTGACTCCACTGAGGTCAATGTTGCTACTAGGGAAACTGAGATAACACGAGGTGTTATTCCCATTCAACACAGTGAGGATCTAAATCACAGAGATTAAGGGCCAGGTTTCCAAAGGCGCTCAGCACATTGGGGGCGTGTAGGGTGCTGCACACTTGGAAATCTGGCTCTGAGGTCTGGTGTAAGGCTGGCCCATGCTGTGTTCAGGGTCACCCAGAGCCAGTGACAGCGTGGGGAATGGAACCCAGGAGTCCTGACTCACCGTCTGGGTACCATCGGCAAAGCACAGAGAGATCCTGGAGAGCTACAGGAGTGCAAAGCAATTTATTACTTTATTACACATCCTCAGAGATAAAAGCTGTTCACACTCCTGACCTGCCCACACGGGGGTGTCTATACTGCAATTAAAAGCCCACGACTGGCCTTTGCCAGCTGACCTGGGCTTGCGGGGCTCAGGCTTGTAGGGCTGTTTAACTGCAGTATAGGCTCAGGTTGCTGCTGGAGCTCTGGGACAGTCCCATCTCCCAGGGTCCTAGAGCCTGGGCTCCAGCCCGAGCCTGAATGTCTACACTGCAACTGAACAGCCCCTTAGCTGGAGCCCCGTGAGCCCTAGTCAGCTGGCCCGGGCCAGCCATGGGGGTCTAATTATAGTGTAGACATACCCAGGGAGACCAACACTTAGTGCCCTGGCTCACTTGCAGTCCTCCAGCAGCTCTTCCAGCAGCTTCTTCCAGATGTTACCCAAAGATGGATCCTCGGCGTTTCGGACGGATCTCAGAGCATCCAGATTCAATTTCTGATGGAGAAGGAAATTAAGTCAGACTTTATCTGCGGCTCATCCTGCAACCGGTGGGCCAGGGCACAGAGCTACAGGGCAACTAGGGCTTGATTCAGCTTCCAGTCAAGTCTACAGGGAGTCGTTCCATTGACTTTAATGGACATTCTTCCCTCAGGACAGATCCAGTATTTGGGTCCACCTCGAGCTGTGAAGGGGAGGAGCTTAAAGAGGAGCCACAGGAAGAAAGGAGCGAGGAGAGCCTGTGCACGAGGGGTTTGGGTGTGGCTGGCGTGGGAGCTATACGAAAGTTATAATAGTCATTAGAGGTAGAAAAGGCCTGTTAGTGCCCATCCAGGCCATCTGCTGTGAATGCCGGATTGTTCTCTACTGTACACATGCCAGGGTTTGGTCGAGTCGAGTTTTTATTGTCTTCCACCCATACGTGCTGGAACTAGGGGTCCTGCCATACCGCATGGCTTGAAGTGGTTTCCATTGTATCCAGGGTTTACAGTTTGGTTCACTGGCTCCCAGCCCCCCTGCTTCCATCCCTTTCCTTGGGAGACAGACGATTCTACAGTCTAATACATCCTGCTGTTTAATTCCACCCCTCACTCCTCACTCCCCCTCCTTGTGCCCCTAACCAGCCCTTCTCCTTCCTTGGCATTTTACCCCGTAACACACTTGCAGACTGTTATATTCCTGCCCGCAGTCACCACTTAGCCAAGCGAGGGCCAGTTAATCAGTTGAATCGTCCCCTGCAGGCTCATCCCTCCAGCCCCTTGACGGTTTTTGTTGCTCCTCTCTGAGCTGTCTCCAGCCTGCCAATATCTCTCTGGCGTTGAGCTGTCCACAGCGTTCCAGATGTGCTCGCATCAGAGCTGTCCCCTGCGGGCTCTGTGACGGGGTGCCCCTCTGCATGCAGCCCCAGAACTGCACAACCCCTTTCTGCTCCTGTCCCTCATCCCAGATTCATGCCTAGCTTTGCAGCCTGTTCTCGGTGATTTGCCCTGCTCCCTGCAGAGCCAGGACCTGCACTCACCAGCCTGTCCCGTGTGGAGTGCATGATGTTCAGGGTGTCCATGTAGTAGCTAGCGTCCTCCCAGAAAGAGGTGATGGCCACCATTGGCTTGGTGTCGTACCACGGCAGATAGTGATAATGGTTTCCTGGACAGCAGGAAGGAAGGTGAATGAACCACTTGGCTCAGGGGAGCTCAGGCATGTTCCTTAGGGAGATGCCGGGCAGAAGCAGGCTGGGTGAGTTAATATTAGCAGCGTGCACCCTATGCAGCTTCTCTCCCCTGCTGCTGGCCCTGGGTTTGTAGGGCCTGACACGTGTCACTCTGTGAGGGCCCCATGACAGCTTGAGGAATAGGTCTGTGTCCAGTTATGAATTCCAGGTGGTTGTATGAACACGGTTTGTAACTGTAACCATCACTGGGGATTAGGTCCCATGAACTAGACAGGGAGAGAGGGCTTGTCTGCACATGTCGTTATTCCAGAATAGCCTCTGATCTGTCAATTTACAGCCTGCCTTAAGTATAGACAAGCCCTGAGGAAGCTCTGTTGGGAAAGGCATGATAAGGCCATCAGGAGCTATCACCACTGCATGGCTCTCGCCGAGTGAACCATTGCCTTTGCGTGGACTCTCTACACAGAAACCTGTCTGGGGCAGGGGGCTGGAATCCCCGCAGTCTGGGATGGTGGAGAGCGGCAGCATCTCCACTTGATTCCCTGCCCCAGAGGGGCTGAGACCGCTTTAAAAAGGAGTGCCTCTCCAAGCCAAAGGAGCAACTGGGGAGTGTAGGTGAGGGGTGGGGCTGGGACACTGGTGTCAGGGTCTGGGTGGCTGGACTGTGGGTTCCTACTGCCAAGGTGGATGTCAGATACAGGGTCTGCACCTGGGACTATGCCCAAGGGACTCAGAGCAGGGACACTGACCACTCACCACTCAGACAACCCAGGGGGTTAGCAACACATGGGATGCAATGGTTGGATCTCCTCACAACATAGAATTATAGAATATCAGGGTTGGAAGGGACCTCAGGAGGTCATCTAGTCCAACCCCCTGCTCAAAGCAGGACCAACCCCAACTAAATCATCCCAGACAGGGGTTTGTCAAGCCTGACCTTAAAAACCTCTAAGAATATAAGAACGGCCATAGTGCATCAGACCAAAGGTCCATCAGGCCCAGTATCCTGTCCTCTGACAGTGGCCAATGGCAGGTGCCTCAAAGGGAATGAACAAACAGGTTATCATCAAGTGATCCATGCCCCATCATCCAGTCCCAGCTTCTGGCAAACAGAGGCTAGGGACACCATCCCTGCCCATTCTGGCTAATAGCCATTGATGGACCTGTCCTCCATGAATTTATCTAGCTCCCTTTTGAACTCCATTATAGTACTGGCCTTCACAACACCCTCTGGCAAGGAGGTCCAGAGACTGACAGTGCATTGCATGAAAAAATACTTTCTTGTGTTTGTTTTAAACCTGCTACCTATTAATTTCATTTGGTGGCCCCTTGTTCTTGTATTATGAGAAGGAGTAAATAACACTTCCTTATTTACTTTCTCCACACCCGTCATGATTTTATAGACCTCTATCATACCCCCCTTAGTCGCCTCTTTTCCAAGCTGAAAAGTCCCAGTCTTATTCATCTCTCCTCATATGGAAGCTGTTCCATGCCCCTAATAATTTTTGTTGCCCTTTTCTGAACCTTTACTAATTCTAATATATCTATTTTGAGATGGGGCGACCACATCTGCAGGCAGTATTCCAGATGTGGGCGTAGCATGGATTTATAGAGAGGCAATATGATATTTTCTGTCTTATTATCTATCCCTTTCTTGATGATTCCCAACATTCTGTTCACTTCTTTGACTGCTGCTGCACATTGAGTGGATGATTTCAGAGAACTATCCATGACTCCAAGATCTCCTTCTTGAGTGGTAACAGCTAATTTAGACCCCATCATTGTATGTGTATAGGAAGGAGATTCCATCATCTCCCTAGGTAACCCATTCCAGTGCTTCACCACCCTCCTAGTGAAAAAGTTTTTCCTAATATCTAACCTAATCCTCCCCTACTGCAACTTGAGACCATTGCTCCTTGTTCTCTCATCTGCTACCACTGAGAACAATCTAGATCCGTCCTCTTTGGAACCCCCTTTCAGGTAGTTGAAAGTAGCTATCAAATCCCCCCTCATTCTTCTCTTCCGCAGACTAAACAATCCCAGTTCCCTCAGCCTCTCCTCGTAAGTCATGTGCTCCAGCCCCCTAATCATTTTTATTGCCCTCCGCTGGACACTTTCCAATTTTTCCACATCCTTCTTGTAGTATGGGGCCCAAAACTGGACACAGTACTCCAGATGAGGCCTCACCAATGTCGAATAGAGGGGAACGATCACGTCCCTCGATCTGCTGGCAGTGCTCCTACTTATACAGCCCAAATTGCTGTTAGCCTTCTTGGTAACAAGGGCCCACTGTTGACTCCTATCCAGCTTCTCATCCACTGTAATCCCTAGGTCCTTTTCTGCAGAACTGCTGCCCAGCCACTCAGTCCCTAGTCTGTAGCAGTGCATGGGATTCTTCCATCCTAAGTGCAGGACTCTGCACTTGTCCTTGTTGAACCTCATCAGATTTCTTTTGGCCTAATCCTCTAATTTGTCTTGGTCCCTCTGTATCCAATCCCTACCCTCCAGCATATCTACCACTTCTCTGGCTGGTGTGTCCAGAGACTGGGACTGGCCCCAGCCCAGATAGAAGGGGCTCCTGGCAATCTGCCCCCCAGGAAGAGAGCTCGTCAAACATTTTCCAATAAACATTTTTCTATTGGAAAATGCCACTTTGTCAAAACTGAACCTTTCTGTGAGAACGGGGTGATTTTGACATCATTTCATTTAGGAAAAAAATTGACTAGAAGTGTTTCAAGAAGCTCAAACCAGAACATTCTGACCTTATGGGAGCAGAATGTTTGGTTTCAAAATTGATATTTTTGTAATATAAAATTAAAGCAGTCGAAATCAGAAGGGAATGTTTCCGTTTGATTAAACCGGAACACTTCAACTGACCCCAGTGACATTTTCTGGATAATTTCACTTTACAGAAAAGTTTGGAATTTTTTTGTTTTCATTCTGACTTGGAAGAGGAACAACCACTGAAATGTCTGGATTTCCTGCAGAACGGAAATTCTGCTCTCTCTGAATCTGGCTCTTCAATCCCTCCATCTCAACAGAGCTCTTCCTTCTCCTGACTTCCTCCCTGCTTTCCCACCCCATCTTGCGCTTCCTGGCCAGCCTGTCTCGTCTCCCCTTTCCTTGCCTTGCTCCTACCGTCAAACACAGCTTGGCTGTACTGGGTGGTTGAGGCACAGGGCTTGCATGTCACGTCAAACTTGTTGCCATAGTTCCCGATGCTGACCTCAAATTGGATTAGCTCCTTGATAGCGGGCAGCATGGTGGCTGAATAGAAGATGGCACACAGGCCATACTTGCGCCGGGACAAGTATCGCTGGCAAAGGAAAGACCCAACAGGCAGGGTTAGGATGGGGAGGGAGCAGGTGATGGTGTCTTGGTCACTATCACCTGTCCCTGCTGGTCATCAGCAAGGACCCAACCTGAGACCCGCTGCAGCAAAAGCACCAGCCTCTGCTGTTTGAGTTAAAGGAGTGACAGCCCTAGCTGATGGCAGTAGCAGGCTTGTATCCTCTGTGTGGGCCAGTCACCAGCAGGAGATGTGATCATACTGTGCCATTCTATACCTTGGGGGAGCATCCTGGAACCCCCATATTCCTCATTTTCATATAATTGTGATTTTACATATAAAGCAGGCCTTGTAAGGTATCAGGGGAAAGGTTATGATCTGCTGAAAGTCATTTCTCTGTCCATAGATGTGTATCATTAACGCATATGAAGTTGTGAGAATTGTGTTGTATGGTGGTCACTCAAACATGCTGTAAGTTGGGGAATCAGCGAGATATTAGCTATCCAGAGGCAACATCAAGGAAAGAATCAACGCCCGGGCGGGGTGTCAAACAACCCATCAACAGCCATTGTCCAGCAAGGGAGCGACAATGCAATGACTCACCTGCATGAGGCCACACCAGGGGAATTGCTCAACCTTGCATAGTTGCCAACTTTCCCGCGGTAAATAAGCACCCCGACTTTCACAATAAGCCAAAAATCAAGCAAATCCCATTTCAAAACAAGGCCAAAACAAGCCAATCCCTAGGAACCCCAACACCCTACGTCACTAGATTCCCCCAGCATGCAGTCTGGGACTGTGGTGGGCCCGCTGTGCACCCCTGACTCTCTCCGCTCCTTGCCCCTGTTTGCCAGGAGCTAATAAAACAAAAGAAGCAACAAGCTACAACAAGCAACAAGCTACAAGCCAAAAACTAGCCAACAAGCAACTCACAAGCCAATTAAGCCAAAAACAAGCCCAATTTCTGCATTTTTTCCGCAGGTTTGGCATGTCTGGAACCTTGCTGGGTGACTCAGCAATGCCCCCAGACATGTCTGGACTTGTGTTCTCCAAGCACATGGACGAGGGTGTAAAACAGACAGAGTGGACACACACTGGGCCTTCTCCTGGCCCCACCTACGCTGCAAGCAACCAAGACACTGAGAAGAAGACAAGACTCCAACAGAGGAGACCGGCCCAGGTTTAAGGAACAAACCTGTATATTGAGGACTGCAATATCCAATGGGGTGAGAAAAACTGCTTCATCTAGATGTTACTCACTCTAATCGGGTTGAGAGTTCAGACTGCGTGCTGATATTTTACTTCTTTTGGTAACTAACTCTGACTTTTTGCCTGTCACTTAAAATCTACCTTTTATCATCAATACATTTGTTTAATTGTTTATCTTTACCAGTGAGTTTGTATGAAGTGTGGGGCAAATCTGCTCAGGTTTGACAAAGGCTGGTGTCTGTCCACTTTCCATTGATGAAGTGGTGACAGTATATTCCTGGGGTACAGTGCTGGGAGCTGGAGGGATTTGGCTGGTGCCTTTCTCTGTGTGATCCATGAGTGGCTCTGAGAGCATTCATGCAATTTAGCTGGTGGTGGGGGCTCCACATGCGGTTGTGCTGAGTGATCACAGAGCCTGGAGGGGTTTGCTGCTGGTCACTAGCCAGGCATTGTGAGAGAGAGCCCAGGCTGGAGAGAGTTCAGGAGGCACAGTGGTCCCACGATCCCAGGCTGCACCCGGGGATATCCTGTCACAGCGGCGCAGCGAGCAGTGTGAAATACACAGCTTGTTGTACTGAGCAAGATTTGCACTTCATACACTGATATAAAGGCTTTAAGTGTGGTGGCTAAGGACAGTCAGGAGGAGGCTACCGGTTTGTTATTTTCTGTTTGCTTGTTTCAGGAAAGGGAAGTAGGGACAGAAAAGCAGGAAAATGAGTGAAAGCAGAGAAGTGATTGCGAAGGTGGAGCTTTTTAGGCTGCAGGTTGCAGAAAAAGAAAGAGAACACGAGAGAATATTGCTACTAAAGAAACTGGCCATGGAGGAGAAGGAAAGAGAGAGAGAGAGAAAGAGAGAAAAACCACAAACTGGACTTGCTAGAGAAGCAGAACCAGAAACCACTGACCCCAACCATTCCCATCACTCCAAAAATCCGCAGTTGGGACCACCGATGGCCTGCATACGAGAAGACCAATCTCTGCACTGCAGTTGGAGGCAACACCACCTCAGGAAGGGATGGGGGTTTGATGCCTGCCAGGGAGAGAACTGTCCAGGTTGTTAGCGGCCAGCAAATTTCAGCTGAACCAGAGACAGACCCAGCTCTAGGGAGCAGAGAGAAATGGATCCCAGAGAGCCCGGAGAAGGGGCAGGGAATCTCAGAAACCACTGAGGTGGGTGAGGATTCCTGTGACTCTGTAACACAGGGAAGCAGGGTGCTTCCAAGTATGGGAGGGGCTGAGACAAGCTCCTTTCCAGCAGAAGGCGACATGCCCTCAGGCGCAGGGGCAGGAGAGGAGTTGTCAGTGATTAAGGAAACTGTCCCAGTTGTTAGCTGGCAGGGTTTTGCAGCTGAACAAGGGACAGACCCATTTCTAGGGAGCACAGAGAAATGTGTCTTGGGAGGGGGCCCAAGGGAGGAAATGGGGGAAGGAACAGTGGGGGTACAGGAATGTCTCCACCCTAGACACTTGGGGCAGGATGCCCAGGACACTAGCAGGATGGCTGGTCAGCATCTGTCACCCAGGCACTCAGCCCATGACCCAGGTTTTGAGAGGGATTTGTGTAACTGACCTCCTGGAGGGGAGCAGTCACACAGCTGACTTCCCAGGGACAGAGAAAGGGGTGGCGGAGGGCACCCCAATCCAGGTTCCAGTTTTTCAGGATGCTATTCCTGATAACTGTTTGGAAAGTAACTGTGTCTCTTTACATCAAGATGCAGCTCCAACGCCTGTGACAGCAGAGGAGTTGGGACCAGGAAATTGCCAGGTGGTCGTTTGTGAGAATGCAAATGACCCTATGGGTGGGGATGGTGAGGGGGGGGTTCCCCAGGCAGGTGAGAGTCAGGGAGAAGTTATGGGAAAGCTGATGAGAAAAGGTGAATCTGATCGAAGGTTAAACACCCCTAGCCCAGAGAGCAGGGATCACAGCCCTCTAGGGGGCAGGGAAGGACTCAGTGCAGGGAGGGGGAAACACAGGGTAACCCCCAAAAGGGAGCTGGATTTTCTGCATATGTACAGTTCAGGGGTTGGGAGACCGCTCCCCAAAGGGCCAGCCAATGTGCAGGATCCCCCTGAACACCTATCTTGCCAGACCCTGAGGCACCAAAATTCCAGAAACATGATTAAATTAAGAACCCAGGCAGAGGGGAACACTGGAGGGAAAGAAAAGCAAGTGACTGATGACACAGGAAAGAGTCAAATGACACCCTGGGGTTCCTGTTCTCTAAGTCACATACCCACCAGGAACACACACGGCCTCTGATCCCGGTGGGGAAAGAACCAGACTCATGGGATCACCAGTGATGGGACCTTTGGAGGGAGGCTTTGCCGAACCTCAGGCTGCAGCCCTTCTGTACTTTCCTAGGCACACGGGGATTGCCAGATGGGATCAGGCCCCATCTAGCTCTATGTCCCACAAGGGCCACCACCACCTGCTTCAGCAGAAGGTGCAAAAACCTCACAGTCACAGATGTGGGATAATCTGCCCCCACGATGGTCTCATTCTCACCCTGGAAAGTTAGTAGCTACACCCTGAAGCTTGGGAGGTTTTATCTCCCTTCCAAAAAGGTATTACAGCGCTTTATTTTGTCATTCCCCATCTACATTTCCTCTGAATGAGGAGGCCAAATGTTGTCTCAGATGTCCCTGGTAGCAGAGGCTACAGAGCTGCTGAGAGGTGCGTTGGTGGGGAGGGACCAGGGATGGTTGTGGCATGGTCAGCGTAACTGGGTGAGATGTGCTCCAACCTCTTTCCAATATTCTCCCAGCACCAAGAGGACAGATTCTGGGGCCCTGCCTTTCTCACGGATACAAGACATGTTTTGTTGTCAAGTTCAAGTCTGCTCTGAGACGTGGCAGTAAGAACCGCACGGTGAGTTTATTATGGTTCCTATCTCAAATGGGCTCAGGGGCCAAGTGAACATGTGTTTCTGTCTAACTGCTGTGGGCTCCTGGAAGAGCCATTGGGAAGCTCCCAGGGCAATCACTGCTCATACAGGGCTGGCTGGGATGCTCACACAGCATTACAATTCATAGATGATGTGCAGCTTCCCTTCTGCTGGAACTGTTTCCTGAGAAGCTTTGTCCCCCTGCTCCCCTTCCCAGCCCCGTTCACTGTTAGGCCATGGCTGGCTGGGGTGTTGGGGTCACATACTCAGTCAGGGCTAGTTACCTCCACCCTGGCAATAGCTTCTGCAGGGATCTCCTCTATTTCCTGTTCGGGGGTCCTATCCATGCTGGTGTTTAATTCCACTAGAATCCGACCTCGATAGGCCACCCCTTCCTCCTGGAAGACAAATGGGTCCTCAGAAGAGGAGCGGGAAGGGGATAGAAGAACGAGGGAATGGGAGACCCTGTAAGAGGGGTAAGAGAAGAGAGGGAGGAGCACCGGGAAACCTTTCTCACTCTTTTTCCAGGCCTGACATCAAGCGCAAACAGCACAAACAACTGTCTGAGCCCCTCACTGAGATGTTTACGGGGGCTCCATGCAGGCCAGGCTCTGCAGCTCATGGGACAACTCAGGGCAGCAAGAGGCAACTTATGGGCCGAGCAGGAGGAGAAAGGTCTCTGGCAGATTTCTTCCTGTTGCAGATTGCCCCCCTCCCAGGTCTGCCCCTGCTCCTTCACACCTCTTCGCCACCCCTCCTAACTTCCCCTTCAACAACAGCCAGAGGTAGCTCAAGCTGACGATGCAGGCTGGGAGCACTAGTAGGCTGGAAGTGGCCTGCTGTCCCAGGAGCGACCATGCCTCCGTGCCTTGTGCTCAGAGGGGAAGGCGGAGGACAGACACTGTGTGTTTGGGGAGATGGGCTGTCACCTACTGGTCACCCTCTCATTCCCCCGGTACAATTCACCGGTCTCTGGAGCAACTTGGGGAACTGTAGGGTGCTCCCGTCAGTGAGGGGCCAGGGTCAACCCAGTGCTGTGGTGGGCATGCCAGATGCCATGCTACGACCCACTGGCATGGACTCATGGCAACCCCAGGGCTTGGGAGTCATGAGGACCCTGCCCCCAGGCCATGGTCTTCCTGGGATCCAGGCCATGAACGGAAGGGAGACACTTACGCTCCCAGAGTTGAGTTTCTCATTCGGGTCGTGGAGGCTGGTGAATTCCTTGGGGCTCCCGTAGAGGGTCAGGAAGCTGGGTCCAAAGCATGGCAGGAACCCGGAGAAATCCCCTGGAACCAAGAGAGGAACCTGAGAGAAGAGAGCCCAGAATGAAGCCAGCTCTCGATGGGCAGTCAGAGCCCCTTACCTTCTATCTCAGCCCCCGTGGAAGACACCTCGGACAGGCTAATGTACGTGGTCCCAAGGATGTCCGTTTTTCTTGCTCGGTCCCTGGAAGTGCAGAGCAGACAGCAAAGAGCCTTTCTGTGGCATTGGAGCGGGCTGGGGGGACTGCTGAACAAAAGGCCCACCAAGCTCTGTGCGCCCCTACCAAACCCTGGGGTCTACAAACACTGTCTTCTGCCTACCCAGTCCTTGTCGTCAAGGGGCTCCGAAGCCTGGGACCAGGGCATTTAAAACTTGGCCAAGGCTCTGGGATGAGACTGCGGTCCACACTGGCACTGCTGTGGCCCAAGGGAACTGTCTGCTGTAAGGATCGTCAGGGCAGGAGACAGAGCTTCCTTTGGGGCCAGCCGCAGAATGAACTTCCCCGGAACCAACGGCCATCCAGACCTCCCCCTTCCCGCTGCAAGGACCAGGCACACTTCCCTGACCTGCCTTCTCTAACATAACATGTCTATGTATTTATGAACCCCACATGGGTCCTTCCCTTCCACCCACCACAGTGTCCCTGCTGGCTCTTCCCTCACCAGACTGGCCAGCCTCACCCCGTCCTGCTCTCCTCAGTTACTCCCCTTCCTCTGGGGGTAATGCCAGGATTGCCTGCTCCAGGCGGGGACTATCCAAAGTGCTGCTTACCTGTTCAGAATGGTTAGCTTGATCTTATCATACATGGATGGTAACTGCAATGGGAAGGTGGCAGGTTAGAAGGGCATACGTCCCTGGGGCCAGGCCCAGTGTGCCATTTGACACAGCAAGGCTCTTCCTTCCCACAGTTTATATGGCAGGGCTGCCCTGCTTTTGTTGGCATACTAGGAAGGATGTTGCCGTGTGGACTGGTGCCAAAGCCATTGGATGCCCTATCTGGCTCTTCAGCTGTGGGAGCTGGGGATGGTCAGTGGACAGAGAAGCTGAAGCACTGTCTAGGGGGAGCAGAGGGAGGCACCCGTTATGGGGAACTCCCCCTCTTGAAGGGTTACTAGCTCCACAGAGCAGGTGCCTTCCTTCCTTCCCCTCCCTGCAGACAGGGCTTCCAGCCTCATAGAATCATAGAATATCAGGGTTGGAAGGGACCCCAGAAGGCCTCTCCCACTGCCGCTCCACTACAGCAATCCCTAGTTCCCAGTGTCAGGAACGTGTGCAGGGCAGAGACCCAGCCCCCACAAGAGGGAAAGGACATGACCTTCCACAAGCTCTGTGTGTCACTTCTCCTGCCCCCCTGTCAATACTCCTTGGACTCTGGGCTGCAAATGCTGGCCCCCCCAGGGAGAGCCACTATTAGGGTGTCTATGGCAAGAACTCCCTTAATCCTCTTTCAGGAAATAAGAATTTGGGTAACTCAGGGGGAAAGAAGGGATGCGGGGGAGATATTCAATGCAGATTGTCAGGGCTCTGACAACATCCCCTTCCTACCGAGTCATCCATCTCACCTGAGCAGGAAAGAACAGCACCTGGTTCCACTCTGGGTTGGCATTTCTTGGCATCACTCTGGTGCAGTGCTGAGAACATTGAAGGACACTATTAGCAACCAGAAATCAACACCTCTCCTTCCAGCTACACCCTCTGCAGGTCAATCCCTTCCTTCACCCATCTCAGTTCCCTGGGTCATATTTGCCCCCCGCAAACAAGCGTTTGCTCTCCAGGCAGCACTGCAGAGCCTTAGCAGCAATGGGGTTTGGTTCTGTCTCATGTACCGTCAGCTCCATCACCAGTTGCACTCCCATAATGGGATCATCAGGACTGGCGTTGACTTGGGGAGGCTTAGAGAAGTCACAGGAATGAGGCATCCTTATGTGAGGGGCCCTGCCTGGCATTTCTCAGTGTCAGAATCCCACCGTCGCTTTGCTCCCCACAAGATCATTGGGAGAAGGGCAAGGAAAAGCAACCCTGCTCTCTCCATCTCAGCACATCAGACTGTCCTAATGGCAGGACGTATCTGCCGACACAGCAGAGGCAGCTCCTCCAGGACTGTTAACACACAGAGTCAGGGTGTCACAGGGCCTGTCGATCAATCCTGACACGCAGGGGCTGTTGTGATAATTGGGCCGACGCATTTACCCTTACTGTGAGTTTAACTGTAAAGGTGAGTGTACATTCATAAGATCTTACAATGAACTATAACATCAAGCACTCATGGGAATAGATACAAGAATGGTGGACAGAAAATCTATTAATCTAAACCAAGAAGGCCACATTGATATAATCCAAGGACAGGAAATTCTACTTGTCAAAAACAGATGATGTGAAGCCGGATGTTAATGAACCAGAATTGGTGTTTCAGAGTAGCAGCCATGTTAGTCTGTATCTGCAAAAAGAAAAGGAGTACTTGTGGCACCTTAGAGTGTGTTGGATATTAGGCCTAATTAGTGGACAAAATAATGAGGGAATGGGCTATTGCACCCAGCACTCCCTTTCTGAAAAGAGGTTACTGGAGCAAGCTTCACCATCTTGGCTACGACCCCCGCCCTGGGACCATGGGCCTTCATCATCGTCCAAGGCCCCAACTCCGTGGGTGCTCCAGCCCGGAGCACCCATGGAGAAAAATTAGCTGGTGCTTAGCACCCACTGGCAGCCAAGCTCCCCTCCCTCCCCCCAAGTCCCTCCCGCCCGCCGCAGGCCCCCGCCGATCAACTCCTCCCCCTCCCTCCCAGGGCCTCCTGCATGCCGCGGAACAGCTGTTCAGTGGCGTGCAGGAGGCGCTGGGGGGGGGGAGGAGTGGGGATGGGGCGTGCTTGCAGGAGGGGATGGAAAAGGCAAGGTGGGGTGGAGCGGGGGCGGGAAGAGGAGGGGTGGGGCGTTGGGGGAAGGGGTGGAGTGGGGGGCGGGTACTGGGGCGGAATGGGGGAGACTTGGGGGAAGGGTGGAGTGGGAGCAGGGCCTGGGGCTGAGTGGGGTTTGAGCACCCCCGGGGAAAATTAGAAGCTAGTGTCTGTGATCATCCTGATCCTGAGAAGTGTGCTGATCAGACCAATCCTGAAAGAGGGACCCAGATGACATTGCCACCCCTGCCGGCTTCAGGAGAATCTCAAACACCACCTGGGATGTAAGACTGTCTCTCTCTCTCTCCACTTTGTGTGTCCTTTTCCTGTCCTGCCTTAGTTCTTCTCTTTCCTATCTCTCTCCTTTTACCTTCTGCTTAACAAGAGACTGGCTTAGCCAGCCAAGCCTGGATATTTTTAGCACTGCTATAAACCTGTGACCAGAAAGAGGCAGCTAAAAGCAAAGGCCTAACCATCGCAAAGCTGGTACGAGTTTGCCAGGCCTCAGAGTGCCTTGTGCCTGTGTTTCTCCAGCAGGGAGGCTGCAAGTGAGAGTCAACACCAGAGAGAGAAGCTGCATTTTCTACCTTTCCTGTTCTTTCCTCTCCCCTTTTGTGTGTGTTTTTCTTGGTGTGTCTTCTTAAGAAACAGGATCAGACTTTAACAACAGCAGCAGCAAGGACAGCTCCAACCCTTCTCAACTTGCTTCTTCTCTTTTCCCCCAAAAGGACAGTTATTACCATCTGAGAGACTGTCAAACAACGGTGCTTTTCCTTCAAAAACTGACTTCAGCAACAACAGTGACATCTCCAGCCTATGTCAACTAACTCTGGGCTTGTCTTCAAGCACAGCACTGTAGCTGCGCCCTGTAGTGGTGTAGTGAAGACGCTACTATGCGGATGGGAGAGCTTCTCCCGAGGGCATAGTTAATCTCCTCCCCGAGAGGCGTAGCACTGTCTACACAAGGGGTGAGGTCGGTGTAACTACGTTGCTCAGGGATGTGGATTTTTCACACCCCTGCGCGACGTTGTTATACCGATACAGACCTGTAGTATAGCCCAGGCCTTCTCTTTTACTCAAAGAGACAATTTCAGACTTTAACCAACCACAGCATCCACAACTCCAGCTCATTTCAACTACTTTCTTCTCTTTTACCCCTCCCACTACAAAACCCCCAAATCAGTTATTACCGTCTTTAAAACCATCTAAGAGACTGTTTGCAGTGATGTTATAACTGTGTTGGTCCCAGGATATTAGAGAAACAAGGTGGGTGAGGTCATATCTTTCCTTGGCTCAACTTCTGTTGGTGAAAGAGACAAGCTTTCGAGCTACAAGGTGCTCCTCTTCAGTACAGAAGAGCTCTATGTAGCTTGAAAGCTTGTCTCTTTCACCAGTGGAAGTTGGGCCAATAAAAGATATCAACTCCCCCACCTTGATTCTTTAAGAGACTCTCAGACAAGATGGATTTTCCTTCTAAAAACTTTCTCCAGTTAAGGGAAAGGGAACGAGGATTGTTGTTAAAATTAAAGCCTTACTTAATACTTTATATTTCAGATGCTTTACTTGTGTTTCCTTCTCTTCTGTATCGTCAATAAAACGTTAAAAGAATTTGTAACAGTGTGTTTGCCACACTGCTGAGCAGGCTGAGGTCTCTGTGTACCAAACCTTGGACCTTATTTAACATGCTTAATGTTGGACAGTGACTGGCTCATATTAACACCTTTGGCCCATGTATTCCATCCGAACTAATACAACAGGGCCCAGTTTGACTCTCAGCCCGCAGGGATGGAAGTTGTTTGGCTGTGCGGCTGCAAACAAATCTTGCTTGGACTCCAATAGAGCAAGTTCGCTATGGAAACTGCCGCAGGATAATAACTACCAGCCCGGCCGTGGTACCAGGAGTGCACTGGGTGACTCGAGCACTCGTGTTACTATACGAATGGGATAGGGATTCAATCCGTGGTGTTGTGTAGAAATTCCTACTGCTAGGTTTACTTTACAGGTGTATCCACATGTCTGCTGGACGGCCCGACGGCATCTGTAACAAACGGGCCCGCGTGTGTCTGCCGCCTACCGGGTGCAATCAGTCCTGCTCAGCCGTGTGTAACAGGCTCTTTACTGTACTCCCAACAGCTCATGGGGATTCTCCTTTAGCTCAAGGGGGGAGGCTGAATTCTATCACCTCCGTTGCCGTGGCACTTCTAGGGGCCACACATTTGTTACTGCACTGATGTGTTAGAGTTTAGAGTACAAGACTGGCTGTTGGTGAGGAGACTGAAGTTGCCAGATGCTCTCCCAGGAGGTCACTTTTCTGACCAGAGCAAGCCGTCAAGAACACTATCCCCGATAATGTCACGGCTAACCTGGTGGCTGAACTTTGTGACTTTGTCCTTACCCATAACTATTTTACATTTGGGGACAATGTATACCTTCAAATCAGCGGCACTGCTATGGGTACCCGCATGGCCCCACAGTATGCCAACATTTTTATGGCTGACTTAGAACAACGCTTCCTCAGCTCTCGTCCCCTAACGCCCCTACTCTACTTGCGCTATATTGATGACATCTTCATCATCTGGACCCATGGAAAAGAAGCCCTTGAGGAATTCCACCATGATTTCAACAATTTCCATCCCACCATCAACCTCAGCCTGGTCCAGTCCACGCAAGAGATCCACTTCCTGGACACTACAGTGCTAATAAACGATGGTCACATAAACACCACCCTATACCGGAAACCTACTGACCGCTATTCCTACCTACATGCCTCCAGCTTTCACCCTGACCACACCACACGATCCATCGTCTACAGCCAAGCTCTGCGATACAACCGCATTTGCTCCAACCCCTCAGACAGAGACAAACACCTACAAGATCTCTATCAAGCATTCTTACAACTACAATACCCACCTGCGGAAGTGAAGAAACAGATTGATAGAGTCAGAAGAGTTCCCAGAAGTCACCTACTACAGGACAGGCCCAACAAAGAAAATAACAGAAAGCCACTAGCCATCACCTTCAGCCCCCAACTAAAACCTCTCCAGCGCATTATCAAGGATCTACAACCTATCCTGAAGGACGACCCAACACTCTCACAAATCTTGGGAGACAGGCCAGTCCTTGCCTACAGACAGCCCCCCAACTTGAAGCAAATACTCAACAGCAACCACATACCACACAACAGAACCACTAACCCAGGAACCTATCCTTGCAACAAAGCCCGTCGCCAACTGTGTCCACATATCTATTCAGGGGACACCATCACAGGGCCCCTAATAACATCAGCCACACGATCAGAGGCTCGTTCACCTGCACATCTACCAATGTGATATATGCCATCATGTGCCAGCAATGCCCCTCTGCCATGTACATTGGGCAAACTGGATAGTCTCTACGTAAAAGAATAAATGGACACAAATCAGATGTCAAGAATTATAACATTCATAAACCAGTCGGAGAACACTTCAATCTCTCTGGTCACTCGATTTCTGATCTCAAAGTGATTATCCTTCAACAAAAAGACTTCGAAAACAGACTCCAACGAGAGACTGCTGAATTGGAATTAATTTGCAAATTGGATACAATTAACTTAGGCTTGAATAGAGACTGGGAATGGTTGATTCACTATAAAAAGTAACCTATTTCCCCTTGTTTATTCCCCCCCCCCCCGCTCCGGAAACATGTTACCTACCGTTTTCCCTGCAAAACTAACTTCCACGGAAGGGTCAACGCAGATCCTTTTGTCGACATGCATATGGAACATGGACCTAAAGTAATGCAGAAAGGAGTCCTCCACTGGAGAGGGAAGAGAGACGTATTCGTGTCAGATAGCTTTCGGCTGGCACAATTAGCTCCTGCTGACCGTCTATGCTTGACTGGGAGACCCAAAACCTCCCCTCGGCTGAGGGACGGGATTCGAGGGTAACAAGGGTCTACAAGGGCAGAGGAAGCTGATGACATTGGAAAGCAGGCAGGCAAAGTGGGGGGCAGGCCACCCTACAATAGTGGGCAAAGATCCTAATGCATTTGCCTCCAGCCCCTCTAGGAGCTGTCACTGCAGAGGGGTGAGCCACAGGGACTGTCAAACCCTTGTGCTTCCTATGTTGTGGTAGCAGCCATAATTGTGCTAGGTGCTGCGCAAACATCACAAGGCCCAGACCCTGCCCAAGGAGCTGAAATGACCGAGGAATAGTCCCTGGAGTCCTGGCTCCCATCCACCAGCTCTGACTCCCAGGCCATGGAGAGGTATCCTCTGCGCTATATGACACATACTTTGGGGTATATCCTCAGCTCTGTATATGCGGAGCTGAAAGGTGGCCATGCATACAGGCATCGCGGCAGGCTTGAGAAGGCTGGACTCGACATCCTCGCTCTCCATAGGCTTGTCCAGCTCCTGAGAGGAGAGAAGAGTGCTGGGAATGTAGACAGGCCCAGAACACAACCGCAAGACAGTCCCACCAGCAGAGCAATGGAAGAAGCAGAGGAGGGGATGTGGTGTGTCTGAGACCAGGCGTCTCACTGCTCCAGAGAGAGCCAAAGGCATGTGGTGAGCAGGTTACTTTGCAGCCTGTGCGGTGTTAGGGTCAGATCCTGATGCCCCTGGAGCAATGAGGGCTCTGCCAGGGGCTCCAATGGGAGGAAGACTGGGCCCTTGTGCTGCGGCCGGGAGCCAACTTGGGGCACTTGTGTATGAATGGCGGCCTGCAGGGGCCAGAGAGCACGGCCTGGGGTGGGCAGAGCACGAAGCCAGGTATGGAAGGGTGAGAGTGCAGACGCAAAGAGTGACCTGATCTGCAGAGACACTGAGCACCCACAGCTGCCTCGACGTGCCGCGGGAGCTCAGCGCTTCCGACAACGCAGGGCTCCTCTGCTGAATCACTCTCGACTCAGGCTAATCACTGCTGAGCCTTGCTGGTCGGTGGCCCAGTGAGTTCCAACAAGGGCCCGAAGCATGGGCGGCTGGTGACCCGGCCATTGGGGGAGGCTAGCCCCCGGCCCCTCCCCTTGTGCCCAAGGCCCTGCCCCTCCCCATCTGACCCCCCTTCTGCTTCCCCTCCCCCGCAGGAGCCCAGGGCACCCCCACCGCAGCCCCCAACCCCAGTGCCGGGCCGCCAGGGGGCGAGGCCCCAGCCCTGGTGCTCCGGGTGGGGTGGCCCCGGCACCGGCTGCCCTGACTCCCTGCGGGAGGCAGGCCAGCCAGCCCCAGCCAGCCCGGGCCAGCCAAGGCAGAGTGCTCTGGGATCCGCAGGAGGGGGCCTGGCCTGGGGGCGGGGTGTGGGCGGGGCCACGCTAGGTGGTTCGGGAAGGCACAGCCTACCCCTGCCCATGATACCCGCTGCCCATGGCCTGAGGCGGGGTCCTGGAGGGAAGCCTTGGAACAGCCAAGGCAGGTGCAGGCTGTGTTCGTGTTTTGCAGATATCAGTTTGCAGATATCAGATAACTGCAGATATCAGTTTTGCAGGTATCAGTCAGATATGTTTTGCAGAGATCAGTAGACCCAAGACCGTGGGAGGGAACTGCGGTGGTTTGGGCATGGACTCAGGATGGGGTAGGAACTCAGCGGGATCACTGCCGGTGTCATGTCCCTTTCACAGGTGGTGTTTACCGGTGCCTGGTCCCCGGCTCCTAGGACACAAAGGCTGACTTTCAAGTAGCCTCTCAAGCCCGCATTCAGATGAGTAGGGTGGTAAAGGCTGAGCCATTTCCAGCTGAGAGCATGGCCTGGGAGAGAAGGACAGCAGCGTCTGCTATTTGTGCAACTCATCGTATTCTTCCCACCCCACACTCAGCTTCTTTCCAGTCACAGCTTCCAGGGCCACAAGGGACCACTGTGACCCAGAGAAGCTGGCTAGGAGCCAGCAGCATGCCCTGGTTGCCAACAAGGCCAATGGCATATTGGGCTGCGTTAGTAGGAGCGTTGCCAGCCGATCGAGGGACGTGATTGTTCCCCTCTATTCGGCACTGGTGAGGCCTCATCTGGAGTATTGCGTCCAGTTTTGGGCCCCCCACTACAGAAGGGATGTGGACAAATTGGAGAGAGTCCAGCAGAGGGCAACAAAAATGGTCAGGGGGCTGGAGCACATGACAGACGAGGAGAGGCTGAGGCAACTGGGCTTGTTTAGTCTGCAGAAGAGAAGAGTGATGGGGGGAATTTGACAGCAGCCTTCAACTACCTGAAGGGGTGTGTGATCTTTCACTCCATATTAAGAAAAGGAGTACTTGTGGCACCTTAGAGACTAACCAATTTATTTGAGCATGAGCTTTCGTGAGCTACAGCTCTCACGAAAGCTCATGCTCAAATAAATTGGTTAGTCTCTAAGGTGCCACAAGTACTCCTTTTCTTTTGCGAATACAGACTAACACAGCTGTTCCTCTGAAACCTGTCACTCCATATTCTTTATGAAAATATGCTTATGCTATGAACGGGTCATAACTGAGATGTACTTTATGCAAGATGAGTCTTGTAAGGTATAATTGGAAAGGTCGTAATTTACTGAATGTGATTATCCTATTTGTATGCCTGTATCATTTCTGTATCTGGAGTTAGTAATAGTGACTAGGTATCTGTATTTCAAACAGCCTTCACCTACCGGGAGAGTCGTACACATGGCCAACCTCAAGCTGTGGAGAGGGAAATGGAGCATGTTAGGGGATAACAATAACAACACCACCCGGCATTCCTCTAACACTCTCCCTCTCAGGATCTCCATTCAGGTGGGGAAAGTGAGGCACAGAGCGGCAAAACGATGTGCCCAAACTTAACGGCAGAGCCTGGAATAGAACCTGGACCACTTGACTCCTTGTTCTGTACTTAAAAGCACGGCACAAGGCCGCGCTGACGCTAAGGGCTGGTCTATACTTACCATGCTGCTGCGTTTCACTGGTAGCCGTTCTGCTGGAGCACTTCCTGAAGACGCTACTACGCTGACGGGAGATCGTCTCCCTTTCACGGAGGCGCTCCGCCTCCCCAGGGGGTGGTAGCTATATCGACAGGAGAAGCCCTCCCACCGACACAGCGCGTCTACACCGGGGGTGAGGTCGCTGTAACTTATGTCACTCACGGGGTGACTCATTCACACCACTGAGTGACATCACTTATACCGACGTGAGCGATAGCTCAAGCCTAAGAGACACAAAATCAGAGGCAAAGTAGAGCTAAGCTAGCCGCTGTTGTTCTGGTTCTGCTCATTCCTATTGTGACGTGATGCTCCATATTCTGTATAGAAATATGCTTATGATGTGAATGTGGCATAACTAAGATCTACTTTATGCAAGATGGCTCCTGTGAGATCTCATTGGAAAGGTTCTGATTTACTGAATGTGATTATCCTATTTGTATGCCTGTATCATCTCTGTATCTGAAGTTAGGAATGCTGACTACGTAACAATTACAACTGTGTGTGTACTTGGGGAAACACCCACCGGACAGCAGGCAATCTTTCTGAATGAGCCATTTAAGAAGGACAATACAACTCTGGAGACACTAATCTCCCACCTCCCTGAGGAGCTTCCTGGGATTGCATTGACACTACAAGATCCGGTGGTAATGTCACCTGATGAAAAATACCCCCTTAGACATGGCTGGTACTTTTCCACTGGAAGCAAAGGCTTCCCGCCTTATGTCAATTCTATTCAAGGCTGGGAGGCAAGGCCAATGGGATTCTCCTCCATTGCCTACCCAAGAAGAAAGACTGCTGAAAGTACCTGAAGAGACAAAGGAACTAAGCTGAGGGAAAGGCAAGGGCTGAGTCCAGAATGAGACAGTCTAAAGAGTCTAAAGAGAAATAACTGGAACTCTGAGCTACAGAAATTCTGCATCCTGCCCAAGTCAACAATTAGGGTGAGAAATTACATGTTTAACCTGTTTCCTTAGTGAATCAAGCTTAGTTTGCGTGTTTTGTTTTATTTGCTAAGTAATCTGGGTGTGTGCTGGAAAGGGGTTAGAGAGCCTGGCACAGCAACCCAGTGCAAGGGAAACCCCAGGCTGGCAGGGTTGAGTGGGATCCCAGCACATCAGGTGGCATCCTGGATTGGGGTAGAGGTCTAAGCCATCACACCTGTCATGCGTGGTACTGGGAAATGGGGTGGGGGAATTGGGCTGGCTCCTAAACAAGATTTAATGAAAAATCTTGATGTTTTAACATTTGCTTCCATTCCAATGCAGAACAAAACTAAGACCTTTTAAATTGGGGAGAGGGATTGACCAGTCCGTCCCAGAATGGCGAATAGCTGGCCGTCTAAGGCATTCCCTTCATTCAGGCTAGGGACTTGAACCTTAGGGCAGGTCTACACTATGGAGCAAAGTCAACCTAAGTTACACAACTCCAGATACGTGAATAACATAGCTGGAGTTGACATACCTTAGGTTGACTTATTGCGGTGTCTACACCGCGCTGGGTCGACGGGAGAAACTCTCCCGTTGACTTACCTTATGCTTCTCACTCCAGTGGTGTACCAGAGTCAATGGGAGAGCGATCAGCAGTCGATTTAGCAGGTCTTCACTAGACCCGCTAAATTGACCCCTGGTGGGTCAATCACCACGTGTCGATCCCCCGGTAAGTGGAGACAAGTAGCTAAGGAGACAAGTACCTTAGACTCCTACATCCCAGGTGTGTTCTAGACAAGTAGCTATTCTGGCAGTCTCTTGCTCTGGTTTTGACCAGAAATCCCATCCTGGACCTGAGAAACCTTTCTGGCAAAATTTCAGTCAAAATAGATGTGTTTCTGTGAAAATGTCCAGTTTCAGAAAACCAAGATTTTGTTAAAAAGTGCCTGACCAGCTTCAGTCAGCAGTAGATGAAGTCATGGTTCAGGGACAGCTGTTCACACCCAATTCCTGGCTGCCTAGAAAAGTGGTGACTGATTAGGAGAGAGACAGGGACAAAAATCTAGGAACATACGTTACAGAGGACAAGACAGACAATTTCATCCGCACGTTACCACAATGTGCCAGAGGCAGGAGCAAGGTAAGGGGGAGAGTGTTCATAGGTAAAATTTTAATGAATGACTGGAGTAAGGATAAGTTATTGACCCACTTGAGAACTGTAACCAATTGTGGAGATCGCTACTTGGAGACAACGGACGATTCCTAAAGAGCCCCTTGGGAGCAGGGCTGGCCAGAAAACAAGAATCCCATTTCACACATTTTCACAGTTTTGGCCTTTGTTTTGTTTTGCACTGGGACAAGCAGAGCCCTTTGAAACCTTTCACCAAAACCAGAGCATGAGTGCGCATCACTAGAACAGCCCACTGGTTAGGGCACTCAGCTGTGATGGAGGAGGAAGTAGCTCAGGTCTGCTCTGCTCTGCCTGATTCAGAGGAAGGACATGAAGGTGGGTCTCCCATACCCTAGGTAAGTGCCCTAACCACCTGGCTATTGGCTATTCTGAGATGGGCTGGTCTCTCTCTCTCTCTCTCTTGCTCCCTCCCTTCCAGGAAATTCTCAACCAGCTCTACTTGGGAGTGAGCATTGCCTGTACGCTGGTTGCCACACCCATGCATGCAACATCACCAGGGAAATATCACCAGGAAAATATCTACTGGCATGGTCCAGTCAGCTGGCTCTGCCAAGATTATTACATCAGCTGTCACTCACCTTGAACACTCCAATGATGGAATCCGCTCGCACTGCCCTTGAGTTCAGCACCTAACAAAGAAACCCAAGACTTCGGTTCACCATTCTTGTGCTAGGAGGTAAAGCCCCCCTCTTCACTCCCACCCCCTGAGGGACAGCATGATGGATCTATTACCCACAATTCCCAGCTCTGAGGCCTGAAGGGTCTGTAGGCCTGATTCTTCAATGCCTTGCACCCTGTCTCATCACTTACACCTGTGTAAAATTCTACAAAATCAGAATTCTCCACGCAGCTTGCATAGGAGAAATGACTGCATAAAGTGCAAAGCAGAGAAGAATTGGAGTTCAAGTCTTGAAAGCTCTAAATGGCAACTAGGCTCTGTGAATATAAAGTCCATAGATTTATAAATCTAAAGGTCAGAAGGAACCATTGTGATCATTTGGTCCTGCATAACACAGGCCACCAGACTTCCCTGCATTAATTCCTTCTTTGAGTCCAATAGCTGTGGATGAACTAGAGCAGATGTTTTAGAAAAATATCCAATCTTGATTTAAAAATTGTTAGTGATGGAGAATCCACCATGACCTTTGATAAGTTATTCCAATGGCTAATTACACTCAGGGGTAAAAATTTGCTCCTGTATTTGCCTGGCTTCAACTTTCATCTATTGGATTTTGTTATACCTTTGGCTGCTACACTGAAGAGCTCTCTATTCTCGAATTTCATTTCCTCATGCAGGAATTTATAGACTGTGATCAAGTCACCGGATATGTCACACGCCCCTTAACCTACCCTTTCGATAAGCTAAATAGATTAAGGTCCTTGAGTAGGGTGATCAGATGGCCCGTTCTTATAGGGACAGACCGGTTTTTTGGGACTTTTTCTTATATAGGTGCCTATTACCCCCCCCCCCCCGTCTCGTTTTTTCACAGTTGCTATCTGGTCACTATCCTTGAGTCTCTCACTATAAGGCATGTTTTCTACTCCTTAAACATTCTCATGAACCTTCTCCAATTTATCAACATCTATTTTAAAATGCAGGCACAAAACTGGACACAGTATTCTAGTATTGGTCTCACTGGCACGGAACTGGCCATACTGGAACGAGAGATTTTGAGCTGCTCTATTTTCCTAAGCACAGCACTGAAAATATTGCTTTGACACCATTAACTGAAAATAGGGGGAAGAACTAAAAATTTTTTGAGTGACCAGGGAGATTGAAGTGTTCTCCTACTGGTTTTTGAATGTTATAATTCCTGATGTTAGATTTGTCCTGACATCCTCGAATTATAATGTTCAGATTAGAACACTTCAATCTCCCTGGTCACTCAATAACAAACTTAAAAGTTGCAATTCTTCAACAAAAAAAACCTTCAAAAACAGCCTCCAATGAGAAACTGCAGAACTGGAATTAATTTGTAAACTGGTTTCAGAGTAGCAGCCGTGTTAGTCTGTATTCGCAAAAAGAAAAGGAGTATTTGTGGCACCTTAGAGTGCTGGTAATATCTGACCTTAAGTGATCGCTCTCGTTACAGTATGTATGGTAACACCCATTGTATGTTCTCTATGTATATAAAGAGAACTGTATTTTCCACTGTACTCCCCACTGTATTTTCCACTGAATGCATCCGATGAAGTGAGCTGTAGGTCACGAAAGCTTATGCTCAAATAAATTTGTTAGTCTCTGTGACGATGTGACTCAGCAGGGAGGGGGAGTGTTGACCTGGGAATGTGCCCTGGGGATGGGAGACCTGAGAGCCTGTCACCTGAGCCAGGAGGGGGAGGGGGAGGTGACACCTCTGCCCAGGAATGTGAACAGAGGCTGCAGCAGGGAACCTGCGGGGTGAGGTTAGTTGGCAGTTTGGAGGCTGGGGGGAGGAACACAGGGAACCCCAGGGCTGGGGTCTAAGCTCCCTGCTCCCCCAGAAGGACGTGATTGAGGGGTCCTGGTTGTACCCACAAGCTCTGTTGTGGACTGTGTTCCTGTTGTCCAATAAACCTTCTGTTTTACTGGCTGGCTGAGAGTCTCAGTGGATCCCAGGAAGAGGGGTGCAGGGCCTGGACTCCCCCACACTCCGTGACAACTGGTGGCAGCGGTGGGATCTACTGCACCCCGTGAACGGCGCTTCCTGCAGTAAGTGACTGGGGAACAGTAAAACGAAGGGGAATTGACGGGGACCAGGCGTGCTGAAGATTCAGAGACGGTTTCGGGGGCGGTTAACCCCTGGGAATGTGTGACCAGAGAGAAAGACTTTTGCAGTAACAGGGTCCCCCGGGGGATTGCAGCGAGCAGTCCCAGGGGCGGAGGAGTCTGCAGCTCGACCCTGGCAAAGAGGTGGTGACCTCAAGAAGGACTGGCACACTAAGGGCTTTTCCTGGAAACCGTGGGAAGCTGCCCGGCCTGCGAGTGGCCAGCAGGGAGATGTACGCTAAACGCCTTAAGAGTGACCTGGTGGAGCTGTGCAGGCAGAGGGGGCTGCGCATCGGGAGGTCCACCAAGGAACAACTGATTGCCCAGTTGGAGGAGAGGGATCGCTTGGATGACCCGATCCCTATCCCTGAGGGGAGCCGCCCGGCAGACGCAGCGTGGGCCCTGGGGCCTGACCGGGCTGGGAGGGGTCAGACTGCTGCCGAGGACATCCCGAGACCCTTCCTACCTATGTCTGGGGGGAGGGGTTGGGGGAAGCCCAGCGAATACCGAGGGCACCCTGACCCCAGCACCCAGCAGGGGATCCTCCCGGCGGAGCTCCCCATCCCTGGAGCGGAGGCGGCTGGAATGGGAGAGGGAGATGAAAATGAGGGAGCTGGAGGATCATGAAAAACAACGTCAACATGAGCAGGAGGAGAAGGAGAAACAACGTCAACATGAGCAGGAGGAGAAGGAGAAACAACGTCAACATGAGCAGGAGGAGAAGGAGAAACAACGTCAACATGAGCGTCAGGAGAAGGAGAGGGAGCGTCAGGAGAAGGAGAGGGAGCGCCAGGAGAAGGAGAAACAAAGACAGCACGAACTGGAGCTGGCCAGGCTGAAGAGCAGTGGGGCCCCGGCTGTGGTGAGTGAGGGGGGACCCAAGACTGCAAGGAACTTTGATAAGTGCTTCCTGGCCCAGCGTAAGGAGGGGGAGGACATAGATAGCTTCCTGACGGCCTTTGAGAATGCCTGTGAGCTGCACAGGGTTGACCCTGCAGACAGGCTCCAGTTTCTCACCCCCTTACTGGACCCCAAAGCCGTGGAGGTGTACAGCCGGATGACAGGGCCGGAGGCAGGGGACTATGAACTGTTCAAACAGGCCCTGCTCCGTGAGTTTGGGCTGACCCCCGAGATGTACCGGAGAAGGTTCCGGAGTCAGCGTAAACGCCTGAGGTCACCTACCTACAACTGGCCAACCGGATGCAGGGGTATGCCCGCAAGTGGACAGCGGGGGCCCGAGCTAAAGAGGACCTGCTTGACCTAATTGTACTGGAGCAGCTGTATGAACAGTGCCCTTCCGACCTGAGGCTGTGGTTGGTGGACAAAAAGCTCGAGAACCCCCAGCACGCAGGGCAGCTGGCCGACGAGTTTGTGAACAGTCGGTCAGGGGGTAGCCGGGAGGAGTCCCAAAAGAACAGGCCCCCCCGATGCAGAGAGAGAGTCACCAGGGGGCCTCCCAGCGGGGAAATAGGGAGAACCCCCTCCCAAGGGGAACGCCTGGCGTCGGGCCCCTCCGACCCGCTCGAGGGGACCAACGTGACCTGAGCTGCTATCACTGTGGCCAGAGAGGCCACGTACGGTCCCAGTGCCCTGGGCTCAGGGACAAACTGAGCAGACCCAACCTACCCAGGGTTAACTGGGTAGGGACCCAGCTGGACGAGGGGCAGACGACTCAGGCAAGGGGGGCTGCCAGTTTACCACCTGCCCCGGAGGGAAGAGTACCCCAGGCCAGCTCCACCAGAGGGCTGGAGGCTCTGGACTCAGGGCGCTCAGTTTACAGGGTGGGCGCGGGGCTGTCCCTCCGGAGAGAGTGCCTTGTTCCCCTGGAGGTGGATGGGAGGAAGGTCAATGGATACTGGGATACGGGTGCGGAGGTGACGCTGGCCCGGCCCGAGGTGGTGGCCCCAGATCGGGTGGTGCCCAACACCTACCTGACCCTGACAGGGGTGGGTGGGACCCCATTTAAGGTGCCCGTGGCAAGGGTACACCTGAAATGGGGGGCCAAGGAGGGCCACAAGGATGTGGGGGTACACCACCATTTGCCCACTGAAGTTTTGATGGGGGGAGACCTAGAGGACTGGCCAAGCAAGCCCCAGACCGCCCTGGTTGTGACCCGTAGCCAGAGCCGGCGAGGGCCACTGCTCCCTGACCTCGGGGAGGGTACCGCACCGGAGGCGCAGGACCCTACCCTGGTGGGAAGGGAGGGCCGAGGGGCACGGCTCAGAGAGGCTGAGGCCTCAGACCTGGCCACTGAGGGGGAACCGGTCCCCATCCCTTCCCCAGCTGCTGAGTTCCAGGCCGAGTTGAGGAAAGATCCTCCTTGCGGAAGCTCAGGGACCTGGCCGACCTCAGGGTGGTACGGACCATGAGGAGAGGCTGCCAGGAGAGGTTCCTGTGGGAGAAGGGGTTCCTATACCGAGAATGGGCTCCCACAAGGGAAGTAGAGTCCTGTGGGATCAGGAGGCAGCTGGTGGTCCCCCAGAAGTATCGCCGCAAGCTCCTGTACCTGGCCCATGACATCCCCCTCGCAGGGCACCAGGGAATCCGGCGCACCCGGCAGAGGTTGCTACAGAACTTTTACTGGCCCGGGGTCTTTACCACGGTCCGGCAGTATTGCCGATCCTGTGACCCCTGTCAGAGGGTGGGGAAGGCCGGGACAAGGGGAAAGCGGCTTTGAGACCTTTGCCCATCATAGAGGAGCCTTTCCAGAAGGTGGCCATGGACATCGTGGGGCCTCTCAGCAGGACGACCCGGTCGGGGAAGAAATACATTCTGGTGGTGGTAGATTTTGCCACCCGCTACCCCGAGGCAGTGCCCTTAGCTTCCATTGAAGCAGACACCGTGGCCGATGCGCTCCTGACCATTTTCAGCCGAGTGGGGTTCCCCAAGGAAGTCTTGACAGACCAAGGCTCCAACTTCATGTCGGCCCTGCTCCGGTGCTTGTGGGAGAAATGTGGGGTCCGGCACGACTGGGCCTCAGCTTATCACCCCCAGTCCAACGGGCTGGTGGAGAGGTTTAACGGGACGCTAAAGATGATGCTGAAAACCTTTATGAACCAGCACCCACAGGATTGGGACAAGTACTTACCTCACCTGCTGTTCGCGTACAGGGAGGTGCCACAGGAGTCTACCGGATTTTCGCCTTTCGAACTGTTATATGGAAGGAGGGTGAGGGGCCCCCTGGACCTGATGAGAGACGAGTGGGAGGGGAAGGCCACTCCCGATGGAGAGTCAGTGGTGGAGTATGTCCTGATCTTCCGAGAGAGACTTGCTGAACTCATGGGCCTGGCCAGGGAGAATCTGGTCAGAGCCCAGAAGAAGCAGAAGGTCTGGTATGACCGCACGGCAAGGGCCCGTGCCTACGCCACCGGGGATCCGGTGATGGTTCTCATCCCAGTGAGAAAGAACAAACTACAGGCCGCCTGGGAGGGCCCTTTCAAGGTCGTCAAGCAGCTCAATGAGGTAAACTATGTGGTGGAGCTGTCGAACCGGGCGCACCACCGCCGGGTGTACCATGTGAATATGATGAAGCCATATTATGCCAGGGGGAATGTGGTGTTGGCCGTGTGTGGACAGTGGGAAGAGCAGGGAGATGACCCTTTAGTGGATCTATTCCCTGGGACTAGAGCTGGTTCCCCCCTGGAAACAATTCCCCTCTCGGATCAGCTAACCCCTGCCCAGCAAGATGAGGTCAGGGAGGTGCTGCATCCGTACCGACAGCTGTTTTCCAACCAGCCTGGACGCACTAATCTGACTGTCCACCGGGTGCAGACAGGGTCGCACCCGCCGATAAGATGCTCCCCCTTCCGAGTCACAGGGAAAACTGCTCAGGACCTGGAAAGAGAGGTCCGGGACATGCTGGCTTTGGGGGTGATCCAGCCATCTGCCAGCCCTTGGGCCTCGCCGGTGGTGCTGGTCCCCAAAAGGACGGGTCGGTCCGGTTCTGTGTGGACTATCGGAAGCTCAATGCCATCACTGTATCGGATGCCTACCCCATGCCCAGGCCGGACGAGCTCCTAGACAAGCTGGGAGGAGCTCGGTACCTTACCACCATGGACCTTACAAAGGGCTACTGGCAAGTGCCGCTGGATGCAGATGCCCGGCTGAAATCGGCCTTTATCACCCCTCTGGGGCTCTATGAGTTCCTGACCCTGCCTTTCGGCCTCAAGGGAGCGCCGGCCACCTTCCAGCGCCTGGTGGACCAGCTCCTGAGGGGGATGGAGAGTTTTGCCGTGGCGTATATTGATGACATCTGTGTCTTTAGCCAGACCTGGGAGGACCACGTGTCCCAGGTTAGACAAGTGCTGGACCGACTCCAGGGGGCTGGGCTGACTGTAAAAGCGGAGAAGTGCAAGGTGGGGATGGCGGAAGTGTCTTACCTGGGCCATCGGGTGGGGAGCGGCCGCCTAAAGCCGGAACCAGCCAAGGTGGAGGTGATCAGAGACTGGCCCGCTCCCCACACCAAAAAGCAGGTCCAAGCCTTTATTGGGATGGCAGGATACTACCGAAGATTTGTGCCTCACTTTAGCGCCATAGCCACCCCCATCACTGAGCTATGCAAGAAGGGGAAGCCAGACAAGGTGGTCTGGACCGAGCAGTGCCAGGAGGCTTTCCGGGCGCTGAAGGAGGCTCTGGTCAGTGGCCCAGTTCTGGCAAACCCAGACTTTGACAAGCCCTTTGTGGTGTTCACCGACGCCTCCGACACGGGACTGGGGGCGGTGTTAATGCAGGAGGATGAAAAGGGGGAGAGACACCCCATCGTGTACCTGAGCAAGAAGTTGCTACCCCGGGAGCAACACTACGCGGCCATCGAGAAGGAGTGCCTGGCCATGGTGTGGGCCCTCAAGAAACTAGAGCCCTATCTCTTCGGGCGGCACTTCACCGTGTACACCGACCACTCGCCCCTGACCTGGCTGCACCAGATGAAAGGAGCCAACGCCAAGCTCCTGAGATGGAGCCTGCTCCTGCAGGATTACGACATGGACGTGGTCCACGTGAAGGGAAGTGCCAACCTGATAGCGGATGCGCTGTCCCGGAGAGGGGGCCCCGAACTTCCCCAGGTCACTGGTCACAGTGACCCCGCTCAGTTCAGTCTCGAAGGGGGGAGAGATGTGACGATGTGACTCAGCAGGGAGGGGGAGTGTTGACCTGGGAATGTGCCCTGGGGATGGGAGACCTGAGAGCCTGTCACCTGAGCCAGGAGGGGGAGGGGGAGGTGACACCTCTGCCCAGGAATGTGAACAGAGGCTGCAGCAGGGAACCTGCGGGGTGAGCTTAGTTGGCAGTTTGGAGGCTGGGGGGAGGAACACAGGGAACCCCAGGGCTGGGGTCTAAGCTCCCTGCTCCCCCAGAAGGACGTGATTGAGGGGTCCTGGTTGTACCCACAAGCTCTGTTGTGGACTGTGTTCCTGTTGTCCAATAAACCTTCTGTTTTACTGGCTGGCTGAGAGTCTCAGTGGATCCCAGGAAGAGGGGTGCAGGGCCTGGACTCCCCCACACTCCGTGACAGTCTCTAAGGTGCCACAAGTACTCCTTTTCAATTTATAAACTGGACACCATCAAATTAGGCCTGAATAAAGACTGGGAGTGGCTGGGTTATTACAAAAACTAATTTCCCTCTGCTGATACTCACACGTTCTTGTCAACTGTTTGAAATGGGCCACCCTCATTACTACTACAAAAGTGATTTTTCCTCCCTTGGTATTCTACTGTTAATTGAATTGTCTCGTTAGGACTGACCCCCTACTTGGTAAGGCAACTCCCATCTTTTCATGTACTATGTATAAATATACTTGCTACTGTATTTTCCTCTCCATGCATCTGATGAAGTGGGTTCTAGCCCACCAAAGCTTATGCCCAAATGAATTTGTTAGTCTCTAAGGTGCCACAAGGATTCCTCATTGTTTTTGCTGATACAAACTAACACGGCTACCACTCTGAAACTTGTTAATCTATAATTGCTTTGACCTACTCTACCCTTGTACCAAGACTCAGGTTACAGTGTCCTGTGATAGCCATGTATGGACCATGATTAATTCTTATGCAGTCAGAAGACACCACTGAGCATGCTCAGGGAATGCACAGTAATGGCCCATTAACGCTGATTGACATCAAGATTGGTGCATCAGCAAACAGACTCAACATCCAACTGTTAGAAGAAAAGACTTAGAGGGCAGGGTGCTTCAAGGTTCTCCAGCGCCAGGAGAGCAAAAGTGGGGACTCGGGTCAACTGGGTAGAAGAGACGTGATGCGAGGTGTGTCCTGCCCTTCATCTGGCCTATACCTGGAGTAGCAGGGAGGGTCCTGCCAGTGAGCTGTGAGATGCAGGAAGCCAGCTCCAGAGGTAGAGGGGTTCTGGTCTCACTATTGTACCTGTATGTTTATGGTCTCGTCAAAGACCTGAGTAGGCGTCTCATGGAAGTTCTGGAAAAATATCTGAGGAAAATGAGGAGAGGTAAATTTAGCGCAGTCCCAAACCTGCCTGCGCTCTCTGGGGAGCTCAGGGTCCCACTCCCATGCAGCGAGGGGTTGCCAGGTTTGGCTGGACATATTCCTGGAGGTTCCATCACAGGACATAATCTTTAATGAAAGATTAACCTTTAATTCCTGGAGACTCCCGGACAATCCTGGAGGGTTGGCACCCTACATGCCCCACCGAGGAGTGCAGTCCAGACACTGCCCTGGGAAGGAAGACTGTAACTCACAGGAACGTCCGCATCCCTCCTCAATCACGCCTCCAACTCCCTCAATAACTGGTGCCCTGGGACCATCCTACATTGACTTTGGGATTGGCTCACAGACTAGAGAGCCCTCTCCAGCACAGGCTTGGTAAGTCCCCAAAAGCAGGCGTGGAACCACAAGATGCTCACCCACCTCATTAAAATAGGGGTTGTTCCCCATTTTGATTCTCGTCCTGTACACGTGGTCTCCAATGAAGACCTTCACCACGGGCTTGATGTTGTTTCCCTGGAGCTGACGGCCTTCAATGATCCTCACACGCACCTGCAGTGAGAAATACAGTGGTATGATTTAAAGGGTCCCAGGGCAGGGATGTTCTGTTCGCCCAGCTGGGCTCCACTGTTGGAACTGGTCCCAATGCCATCCTGACCTGAGGCACCATTGGAGGCGGGACGTGCCAATGACAAAGCAACCCCAGAATAATAATATCCATTTCTGTTATTTCCCAAGGCATCCACTCCATCCAAGATAGCAGGATGAAGCCCATGGATGAAGGAACATAGAGCTGGGATCCTCGTATCCTACGATGGAGAGGGAACTAATCCTGGTACACTAGGTCTATCGCTGTGGGGAAAGGACTGACTTGGCCATTGAGACCCATGTACGGACCACCTTTACTGTTGGGCCTGGGCTATATCGGGGGGGAATCTCTCTTTGACAGATCTCATCTTGGCATGGTTCGCAATACCTGGAAGTCCTGTTTTTTGTCTGCGAGTTCTCTTCTGGGATTTATTCGGCTGCTGATTCCTTCCCTCTGATGATCCTTTCCTGTAATACTCCGGATGGCTGTGGTGACCTCGCCGTGTGCCCCTGGGGATGGTCAGAAAGGGAATGGATTGGTCTGGGGTGGATGACTGGAAGAATCATCCTTTCCCACAGACCAAGTCAGAAGAAACATTCTCTGCTCCTTCTTTGGCAGTTTTGTCAAGGAAGGTGTCAGACATAGGAGCTTTAATTCCACTTGTTTGACACATTGTGCCTGTGATTGCAAAGTGTTCAGGGTCAAAGCAGTTAAGTGAGAATCTGTTACACAGACAACTGGACGTGAGGAGGCTAAAAGCATGTCCCATTATAAATGCCCCATTACATGCAGTGTGCATGATCTCCTGAATACACACGTTGTGCCCAATGCGGGGGTGAGCTCTGATCTTCACAGGGATCAGTTGTGAGTCCTGCTGCACACCTGCACAGATGGGTAAGGGGTAAAAGGAGATCCCGTAAATCCCTGAGCAGGCTACCCATGTTGCTGGAGGCTGTGCAGGCAGTCAGGGGCTGCATGTGGGCTAGGCGGGGGGAAGACTGAATGAGTCTGGTCACTGCCCCTCACAATTCGTCGGTTCCAAAGCCAGAAGGGACCACTGTGATCATCTCATCTGACCTCCTGTATAACACAGACCAGAGACCTGCCCCACAATAATCCCTAGCACAGATCTGTTAGAAAACCACCCAGTCTTGATTTGAAAATTGCCAGTGATGGAAAATCCACCATGACCTTTGGTAAGTTTTTCCAATGGTGAATTTAATTACTATTGCTGTTAAAAATGTATGTCTTATTTCCAGTGTGAATTTGTCTAGCTCCAACTCCTAGCCATTGGATTGTGTTATGCCTTTCTCACTAGACTGAAGAGCCCATTATAAAATATTTGTTCCCCATGTAGATACCGACAGACTGTGATAGCTCAGTGGTTTGAGCATTGGCCTGCTACACCCAGGGTCGTGAGCTCAACCCTTGAGGGATCTAGGGCAAAAATTGGGGATTGGTCCTGCTGTGAGCAGGGGGTGGAACTAGATACCTCCTGAGGTCCCTTCCGACCCTGATAGTCTATGATATGTCACCTCTTAACCTTCTTTTTGTTAAATGAAATAGATTGAGCTCCTTACGTCTATCACTATAAGGCAGGTTTTCTAATCCTTTGATCATTCTTATGGCTCTTCTATGAATCCTCTCTAATTTATCAACATCTTTTCCGAATTGGGGACACTAGAACTGGACAAAGTGTTCCAGCAGTGGTCGCACCGGTGCCAAATACAGAGATAAAATAAGCTTTTGACTCCCACTCAAGATTCTACTTTTTACGCGTTTGGCCACAACATTTTCCAGGGACCTTATGCATAGCCCCCCAGTTATTTTTAGTCACTGTTTCCCAGGATAGAGTCCCCCCCGTGCTGAAAGTATGGCCTACATTTTTTGTTTTATATTTAGCCATATTAAAACACATATTGTTTGCTTGTGCCCAGTTTACCAAGTGTATCCAGATCACTCTGTATCAGTGACCAGTCCTCTTCATTAGTTATCACTCCCCCAATTCCTGTGCCATCTGTTAACTTTATCAGGGATGATTTTATGTTTTCTCCCAGGTCACTGATAAAAATGTTAAATAGCGTAGGGCCAAGAACAGATCCCTGCAGAACCCCACTAGAAACACACTTGCTTGATGATGATTCCTTTTGTACAATTATATCTTAAGACCTATCAGTTAGCGAGCTTTATATCCATTTAATGTGTACCATGTTAATTTTATATCATTCTCATCATAAAGTTAGTTTGACAGGATCTATTTTCCATAAACCCATGTTGATTGGCACTAATTATATTACCCTCCTTGAATTCTTTATTAATTGAGTCCCATAATAGCTGCTCTATTACCTTGCCTAGGATCGATGTCATACTGACAGGTCCATAATTACCCAGGTCATCCCATTCACTGTTTTTAAAAATTGGCACAATATTAGCCTTTCTCCAGACTTCTGGAACTTCCCCAGTATTGCAAGACTCATTGAAAAAACAACATTAACAGTCCAGTGAGCTCCTAAGACAGCTCTTTAAAAACTCTTGGATGCAAGTTATCCGGAGTTGCTGATTTAAAAATTTCTAATTTAGTCACTTCTGTTTAACATCCTCATGGCATACTAGTAGAATGGAAAGAGTATTATCATCACCATATGAAGAAATTACATCCCAAATATGTTTTTATTTGTCCCTAATGCACACCAGAAATATTTATTGAACACTTCTGCCTTTTCTGCTTTATTACTTATAATTGTACCATTTCCACTGAATAATGCACCAATACCATTGTCAGGATTCTTTTTGTTCCTAATATTCTTAAAAATCTTCTTTTTATTGTCCTTAACTCTTCTGGCCATAGATTTCTCCTTCTTTCCCTTTGCTTCCTTTTACAATTTTCTACAATTAATAGCTTCTGATTTATATTCATGACTATCAACTTCCCCTGTCTTCCATTTGTTATGTATATTTTTTTATTTTTCATCTCCGCCTTCACTTCCCTGCTAAATCAGGTTGGTTTTTTTAAACTGGTATGGCTTTCTTTCCTGGTTGTGGGATTGTGGCTTTTGGGACATCTGTTACAGTGTTCTTAAACAATTTCCAATGATCTTTCATATTTTCCTAATTAAATTCTTCCTCCCAGATTATTTGGATCATAATTGTTTTCAGTTTTGTGAATTTGGCTCTTTTAAAGCACCAAGTCTATCTATCTATCTATCTATCTATCTATCTATCTATCTATCTATCCCCATCCACCCCATCTATCTATCTATCTATCTACCTATCTATCTATCTATCTATCTATCCCCATCCACCCCACCTCTCTCTCTCTCTATCTATCTATCCCCATCCACCCCACCTCTCTATCTATCTATCTATCTATCTACCTATCCCCATCCGCCCCATCTATCTAATCTAATCTATCTATCTCACTTGTCAGGACTTTATTCTGTTTGCACATTATATAGATGATCAGATCATGATCCTCTCTACCAAAGCTACGGTTAATTGTTAGTCCTGTAATAAGTTCCTCTTTATCTGTTAAGATGAGGTCTAATAGAGATTTCCTCCATGTTGGATGCAGCACGTTTAGAGTTAGGAAATTGCCATCTATAATATTGAGAAATTCCAGGGATGTTCTGGTACTGGCAGCATGAGACGTTCAACAGGTGTCACTCAAATTGAATTCCTGCCCACTGTGTCAGCCCATGTCCAAGTGTTGGTGCAGAGAGGGAAGCAGGCTATGTTAGCCAAAGGGGGGCTACTTCACTTCCCCATGGGAGCACGGGGGAAGTAGGGACTAGATCGTGACTCCCAAAGTCACAGTGTGGCCCAGCCCACAGAGATTAGAGTTGGCAAAGGACCTATCAGATCATCTTGCCCATCCTCTCCGGAGCCAGGTGGCGCTGTCCCATGTGCCCCATTCTCCAGGGTGTTGTCCAGTTCAGTTTTACATGACGTAAGTGATGGCGCCTCAACCACTTCTCTTAGGAGATGACTCCTCAGGGCACAGGGAGGAAATGGGCATCATAACGGTCTCGGGAACTGGTAGGAACGGTCACATACTCATCATGGGGTGGGGATGTGTGAGATGGAGTCAGGTTGGGGGTACTTTTCCCCTCCCCCCCCATGCTTTTCCCCCAAACTCAAGAAAGCTCCCCTCACAAGAAACCAAGGCCAAGTTGATTTGGAAAATATAAACAGGATAAATTACATTTACAGCACAGGACTGACCCGCCAACAGATGCTCACTTACCTTCACCACTGGCTTTTTGTTTTCCTGACTCCCCTATTGCCTTGAGTCCTGGCGGGGTGTAGGAGGCACTTAAATTGATGGTACACTGAAATTCAACGACAAATAGAATTAAAGCCCCTCTATTGGTTTGAGAGGAGCAGCCGTGTTAGTCTGTATCTGCAAAAAGAAAAGGGGGACTTGTGGCACCTTAGAGACTAACCAATTTATTTGAGCATGAGCTTTCGTGAGCTGCAGCTTTGGGTGTAGGTGTAGTGACACTGTTCCCAGTGGGTACCCTACCCAGAGTTCATTGCAGAGTTGCACCTAAATACCATGCAGGCTCTGTTTGTTTCCAATACGCTAATGGCCCCAAACACTGCACGTTACTCTAAGGGTGCAGGGGCTTTTCCTTTAGTGCAGAGGTCTCCAAACTGTGGGACGCGCCCCCCCCTAGGGGGGCACGGAGGAATGAGCATGGGTCAGCCCCCATGAGGGGGCAGGGAAGGAGCGCTGCCAAGCCCCGCTCCTGGCCCTGGCCCCAGCTGCGGGCCCTGCGCCTAGGGCTCCGCTCCTGGCCCCGTGCCTGGGATCCTGGCTGCTGGCCCTGGGGCTCTGCTACCAAACCCACCCCTGCTCCCAGCTGGGACCCCAGCCTTGGCCCTCTTATCCCTGTCCACATCCCCTCCTCCTGGAGCTGCAGCCCTGCCGCAAGGTAAAAAGATTGGGGGCCATTGGGGTAACCTGTGTGTGTTGGTCCAATTCTCTAGGTGCCCATCCTTGCCCCCCAAATGCCCTGAGGCAGGGTAAGTGCGAGGAGGCTGGTCCTAGGGTCCCCATCCCTGTTACCATTACCCAGCATGCCCAGTGCTGTCCCGCCATCCTGCTGCCCAGCCTGCTCCACGGGACCTGCACAGCACTGCAAGAACTCAATCTTTCTCCCGCACCCCTGGCTCTCTGTCTCTCATGCTCACCCTCCCTCCAGGGGGAGACTGTCAGGAGATCTCCTGCGCTCCCCTCAGGAGGGGGAGACAGTTGGGGGATTGCCTGCACTCCCCTCAGGCCGGGGGACACAGTCAGGGCATCTCCCGCACTCCCCTCAGGCCGGGGGACACAGTCAGGGGATCTCCCGCACTCCTCTCAGACAGGGGAGACTGTCAGGGGATCGCCCGCACTCCCTCAGGCCGGGGAGACAGTCAGGGGATCACTCACATTCCCTCAGGCAGAGTTGTCCTCCTCTCATCGTCCCAGCGATCGCATTAGTCAGTCTTTCATCCCCACAAGGTTCGCCCAATTACAAGGCTCAACATTGTTGGCAAGGTGAGCACACTGCAGTTCTCACCATCTCTCATCTACCTAGCAACAAGTGTGGCTCCCTTTCTCATCAGACTCATTAACCCAGGTTACAATCGTTAGACCCATTTTACAGATGGGGAAAACTCCAGCAGGAACCATCCCTCTACTGATGATCAATCCAGGAGAGACCCATCAGACCCTAATACTGTCTAGGAGGATGTGAGTATGACTGTAGCTATGTGCATGGATGTATCTAGGATTTGATATGCTGTGATATTCATAACTTTGCTGGTAACTTGAATAAAATTGATAAAATATATTAGACCTTGTTCTTGTGAGTGTCTGTGTTACTTTCCTTGGTCTTCATGTGTTCCTGTAAGCTATAGATCTGAAACAAGTGGCAGTGGTAACTCTATTGAACTTTCAGAGTGGGAGCCATGTTAGTCTGTATCAGAAAAAACAACGAGGAGTCCTTGTGGCACCTTAGAGACTAACAAATTTATTTCTGCATAAGACTTTCATGTGTTAGAACCTACTTCATCAGATGCATGGAGTGGAAAATACAGGAGCAGGTATCAATACATGAAAAGATGTAATTTGCCTTACCAAGTGTGAGGTCAGGCTAACGAGATAATTCAATTGACAGCAGGATACCAAGGGAGGAAAAATAACTTTTGAAGTGGTAATGAAAGTGGCCCATTTCAGACAGTTGACAAGAAGGTGTGAATAACAGTACGAGAAAATGAGTATTGGGGAAAATTAAGTTTAGATTTTGTAGTGACCTAACCACTCCCAGTCTCTATTCAGGCCTAATCTGATGGTATCCACTTTGCAAATTAATTCCAGTTCTGCAGTTTCATGTTGGAGTCTTTGAGAGTAGCAGCCATGTTAGTCTGTATTCGCAAAAAGAAAAGGAGTACTTGTGGCACCTTAGAGACTAACCAATTTATTTGAGCATAAGCTTTCGTGAGCTACAGCTCACTTCTTGTTAGCCTCTAAGGTGCTCCTTTTCTTTTCATGTTGGAGTCTGTTTTTGAAGTTTTTTTTGTTGAAGAATTGCCACTTTTAGGTCTATTACTGTGACCAGAGAGATTGAAGTGTTCTCCTACTGGTTTTTGAATGTTATGATTCCTGATGTCAGATTTGTGTCCATTTATTCTTCTTGCGTAGAGACTGTCCGGTTTGGCCAATGTACATGGCAGAGGGGCATTGCTGGTACATGATGGCATATATCACATTGGTAGATGTGCAGGTGAACAAGCCCTTGATGGTGTGGCTGATGTGGTTAGGTCCTATGATGGGGTCCCTTGAATAGATATGTGGACAGAGCTGGCACTGGGGTTTGTTGCAGGGTTTGGTTCCTGGGTTGGTGTTTCTGTTGTGTGGTGTGTGGTTGCTGGTGAGTATTTGCTTCAGGTTGGAGGGCTGTCTAAAAGCAAGGACTTGCCTGTCCTGCAAGATCTGTGAGAGTGATGGGTCGTCCTTCAGGATAGGTTGTAGATCCTTGATGATGCGCTGGAGAGGTTTTAGTTGGGGGCTGTAGGTGATGGCTAGTGGCGTTCTGTTACTTTCTTTGTTGGGCCTGTCCTGTAATAGGTGACTTCTCAGTACCCTTCTGGCTCTGTCAGTCTGTGCCTGTATTTTCCACTCCATGCATCTGATGACGTGGGTTCTAGCCCACGAAACCTTATGCCCAAATAAATTGGTTAGTCTCTTAGGTGCCACAAGGACTCCTCGTTGTTTCTATTGAACTTGAGAGTGTAGCCACCAGAGCCGAACTCACAGTGGTGCAAAACAACATCGCTAAATTCACGTTAAATAAAAATAGGCTACACTATTGTGATAATTAACCCTACAAATTTACCCTAATTTCAAATTCAACTGTAAAAAGCAAGAGTGAGTTTATAAGATCACCATTACTTATAAGAACAAACATCGCTGGGCAAAAGTAGGAAAGGGAGACAGACAGACTGAATTAGTCCCAACAAAGAGGCCTCCTGATATAACTCAAGGACTGTTTTAAGATCATGCCTGGTAACAAGAGGGATGGGTAATTCTGCTCACCCATCCCTTTGTGGGTCTGTCAGCTCAGAGATCCAGGGGAGGGGAGGAAGGAGCTCAGGGCATTGTCAAAGTTGAAGAATTCTGATCCTGCTGATCTAGCTTAAGGGCCCGAGGTGGACTGGTCAGGCCTGGGTTCCCCTACTCACCCCCTGATGGAATTGGGCGTGGAGAAAAGGTAGGCCCCCAGTCACCGGGAATAGACTGTCAGTCCCACTAGGCTGTGAGCCCAGAGGCTGTGCCATGCTTGGCCAGAGGGGGCACAGTTACACTGACACCCCGTCTCACAGGGTCCTTAAAAAAAGAGACTTTGGGGAGAAAAATTGGCTACTGGAGTGAGCTTATCATTATGGCTGCCACCCCGCCCATCTCCTGGGACCCTGGGACGCCACCATCATGATGCCGAGCGATGTCCTAACCAGACCGGGCCAGAGAGAGGGACCCAGATGACATCACCACTCTGCCGGCTCCAGCTGAATCCCAACCTGGGATGAAATGGGATCGGGCTAACCGCAGCTCCAGACAGCTCAACTAACTTCTTTTCCACCCAAGGACAGTTATTACCATCTTCGATGCTATCTAACAGACTGTCAAACACCGGGGAAGCGCGAGGTTTCCCTTCTGAAAACTCTCTCCAGCGAACGGGACCGGGACCAAGGGATGTAGTTCAAAGGAACACCTTACTTAATGTTTTGCATTTCAAAGGCTTTCACTGTTCCCCCTTCTTTTCTGTACCTTTAGTAAAAGGCTAAAATGTTGTTTCCTTGTGGGTTTGCCATGGTACAAAGCAGGCTGAGATCTCTGCATACCAAACCCCGGACGTTTTTGGACACTGTTTGACCTTGGACAATGACCGGGTTACGTTAGCGCCTTTGGCTCATTTATTACATCTAAATTAAAACAACAGGATGCCCCTTCTCCAAATCCTTCTTACTTACGCCTGTCGGCTGGTGGCCACTATCCAGGAGGGGCAGGTCCTTCAGGGTGAGTACGCTGCTTGGTTTTGCAGCAAGAGATGTTAGAAATACAGTAGCGGAGCCCAGATCCCTGGAGGATAGAAACACCTGCTTGTCAGTAGCACTAACATTCCCCCGGCCCCAATGCCAGGAAGGGAGTCTCACCTTGATGGACTCAGTGAGGGTCACAAGATGTCAGAAGGGCAGCCAGTGCTTTGTTTTGAAAGGATGGAGGAACCCTGTGGCCCAGCAATTAATGCCATACAAAAGACTTGGTTAGATTCCTCAGTGCCAGACTCCCCTCTTTGCAGAGAGAGGGTCCTGGGCAGGGGCAGGTACATTCTGATTTTGAGGGGGTATTTGGGGGTAGAGCAGAATTGTTACTGCTTGGAAATGACCATTTAGTCTTTGTCTTGCCCAGGAAAGGCAGCAAAGCTTAGGTCAGGGGTAGCTGGCATGTGTTAAATCCAAGCTACATGTGACCATATTCCTAGTTGAGACCAAGCTTTAGAAGAAGGAGCAACAAGAGAACCTCATCTGGTCTCCTTGGCTGGAAAGCAAATACTGTATTATGTGTGGGAGTGTGTGCATGTGGATACGAAAGGCTGCAGAAGGATCAAGAAGGGCCCTCCCCCAAAGAGCCCAAGAGGCTCCGTCTTTACTTGCTGTTTGCAATTCACCTTTTTGTAGCCAAGTGACCCCACTCCCGGAGTTGTATGTCCACAAAGGAAGCGCTGTCCAGGGGCCGATCAACCAGGAACCACACCAGCGTCTGCAGGGGAAACAGTACAATATACTGTACACTGTGGGTCTGATCCTGATTTCACTGACACTGGAGTTACTCCCGATTTATACTGGAGTGACATCTGAATCGATCCCCAGAGAAGGCCAAGGAGACAAAGATGAGCAGGTCTAGAATTGTTGCTCAGGTTAAACATATATAGCGCCCACGGCATTGCAACCAATGGGGGATACTCATGAGTTCGAAGAGGGAAGCCGGGGCTGGCGGTCAGGAAAACCCCAGGTGTTGTGAGAGGGCCTCCAAATCAGTTGTGCTGCCCCTTGCAATTGCATGATGAAAAACAGCTAGAAGACCAGCCCCTTGGGGGCTGTTGATTGGCCCCTGTTGCATATCTGCTCTCTCTGGGTCACTGGTTCCCTGTGGGCTCAATTTTTACCTCTTCTCTTACTAACTCATGTTGCTCAGTCGCCTGCTATTCTGGGTATGTCTACACTGCAAAGAAACACCAGCAGCAGTGAGTCTATGGACCCAGGCTCACCGGGCTCAGGCTACAGGGCTAAAAATAGCCAGGGACATGTTCTCACTCTGGCTGGAGCACTGGCTCTGAAACCCAGTGAAGGGGCGGGTCTCAGAGCCTGAGTGTCAATGTCTACACAACTATACGTAGCCCTGTAGCCCGAGCCCTGTGAGCCTGTATGTGTAGACTCAGGCTCCGTGACTCACTGCGGTGGGATTTTTTTTTTTTTGCAGTGCAGATGCACAGTGGCCTGGAGGACTTAGACTCATAAACTTTAAGGCCAGAAGGGACCATTGTGATGGGGGGAGGGATAGCTCAGTGGTTTGAGCATTGGCCTGCTAAACCGAGGGTTGTGAGTTCATAGAATCATAGAATATCAGGGTTGGAAGGGACCTCAGGAGGTCATCTAGTCCAACCCCCTGCTCAATCCTTGAGGGGGCCATTTGGGATCTGGGGCAAAAATTGGGGATTGGTCCTGCTTTGAGCAGGGGGTTGGACTAGATGACCTCCTGAGGTCTCTTCCAACCCTGATATTCTACGATTCTCCTGCACATTACAGGACACAGAACCTCACCCACCTGCTCCTGTAACAAACCCCTAACCTCTGGCTGAGTTACTGAAGTCCTCAAATCATAGTTTAAAAACCCCAAGCTACAGAGTATCCATCATTTACTCTAGTTCAAAGCAGCAAGTGACCCGTGCCCCATGCTGCAAGGAAGGCGACCACCCCCACCATGCCCCGGGTCTCTGCCAATCTGACCAGGGACAATTCCTTCCCGATCCCAAATATGGCGATAAGTTAGATCCTGAGCATGTGGGCTAGGCCCACCAGGCAGATACCTGGAAAATAATTCTCTGTAGTAGCTCAGAGCCCTCCCCATCTAGTGTCCCATCTCTGGCCATGGGAGATATTTGCTGCTAGCAGTCACAGATCGGCTACATGCCATTGTAGGCTGTCCCATCATACCATCCCCTCCATAAACTTCTCAAGCTCAGTCTTGAAGCCATTTAGGTTTTTGCCCCCCACTGCTCCCCTTGGGAGGCTGTTCCAGAACTTCACTCCTCTGATGGTTAAAAACCCTTGTCTAATTTTGAGCCTAAACTTGACAAATGTGCTAGCAGCATGGAGTCTGCCAGGCTGAAACAGAGGCCTGAGGGGGCTACACCCATGTATTCACACCCTACACACTAGTGTAATAATCCTTGTACAAGGCATGCTTGGAGGTATCACCTGAAAACTCATAATTTGCTGGTCAGTATTATCATGGTAAAGTGAATATAGTAACATTATATGTAAAGTTATGAACATAAGCTGAAATAATGATTGAAGTATGTTTTCCAGATAAATCTGGAGAGTGGTTAAACCAGTTTCTCAAAGACAAAAGGGCAAGCTGACACACCAGCCAGGTATCAGCAAAGCTAATGGGCCTTTACCTACCAAGTGGCCGGTCTTTGGCAAGGAAGGGGGGCAGGGACAAAGAGATCTGCATCTTAGCAAAGAAACAGCATGAAGTCTCCTTCTTCCTGCAGACTGCCTGTCTCCTGGTTTTTAGCTGGAAATGCTTTTCAAAGAGGGACTAAAAACTATAAAAAGGAGGGGGCAAACACCCCAAGTCACCCCCCTCTCTCTCCCTACCTATCTCATTCTCTGTACCTGAGAAAACAAAAGAAGCAGCCATGGGACCCTGGGGAAGGGGAACTGACATGAAGAGTTTGGTCAGTAATGCTGCTGGAAGCATGTGGTGAGAAACCTTGCTTTGGAACTAATAAAGTTTGTTACATTAGACACTAGAAAGTGTTTTATCTGTATTTTTCTTGTAAGCCTTTCTGACTTTTATGCCTCATTGCTTGTACTCTCTTAAAATCTCACCCTTTGTAGTTAATACACTTGTTCCATTGTTTTATCTAATATAGTGTGTTTAAAGTGCCTAGATAACTCCATTGAGGGTGGCGAGTTCTGTGTATATTATTCCCTTGAAGGAATAATGGACTTAATAGATTTGGACTGTCCAGGAGAGGGCTGGGCAGTACAAGATATACATTTCTGGGGGAAAATCCAGGACTGGGGGTGTGCTGGGGTCACCCTGCAGTATAACCACGGCTGGTAAAAGACAAGAGGATAACCCAAGTGTGGCTGGCAGGCTGCAGTACACATAATCTGGGAGTGACTTGCATGCTGGTGGCTGTTTGAGAGCAGTCCACGTTGGAGGCTACAGCAGCAAGGCACTGCAGAGGCATCCCAAGTTACAGGACAGGGGTGACACAGTTGCTCATTGGTCTGGATTGTACCCTGGTAGGTCCCACCTATTCCAAGCTTTTCTTTGACCATCCTGTACTTGTAGTACATATTCATATATGGTTCAGTCATGGATTGCAAAGGTTTCGGGGACCTATATGATAAGGTCAGGTTCTAGGACCCTGTAGAGAGCCGTTGGGCTGGTGGCAGGTGCTGGGAATAATTTCTGCTGACTCACCTGACAACCAGATGGGAGAAAGCTTGGGCTGAGTTTTCTGTTTTGTTATAAAAACCATAATACATGCAAACCCCAGGGAGATGGTAAATTCAGAGCAGTGTATATGTGTGCGCTTGCATGCACATGCTGTGTTAGGAGCAGAGTGGGAACACCACCTGCTTACAGGGTCTTACCTCATTCCAAGTAGGATTCTGTTCCTTCTGTATGACTCTTGTACTTCTTGTGACATCTAAGAGAAATTAGACATACTGTGTATTCCCCCAGCTTGCAGCTCCATGGAAGTGGTGGTGTCCGAAAGTGTGTGTGAGGAGGGAACACAGCCCATGTTTACTGTGTTCTCTGGGTCAGGTATCTTTTTCTTATGATATCCAGTGTTGACCCCAGCCTGCTTTTGCAGGGAACAATCTTGCACTGGGAGGGAGACGGACTGGATGAGTGAATTGGTCTTTTCCATCTCCAGGCTATTTCATAAATTCAGAGATTCCAAGGCCAGAATGGACCACTGTGCTCATCTAGTCTGACCACCTGGATACCACAAGCTAGAGCACAGCCCTGAAGGTCAAATGCCATACAGAAGTCTAAACTTCCAAAAGTTTCTAAGGGATATCGATGGCCAGTTGCCATTAATTTTAATGAAATCTCGGCATCCAAATCTCCCAGGGGGCTTTGAAATCTCAGCCTTCATGTCTATGAATCTACGCTTTCTTCTCTTGTTTTCGTTTTGACCTGCTCTGTGCTTTGGGCAGACCCCTTAAAAATGCTGCTCTGAGCCCCTTTAACTCCTGAAGGCACTCCCCTTGGGAAATCCTTGAGACACTCCTCTCCCCAGCCCGTCACTACCCGAAAGTCTGTGGATCCTGTCACAGGGGTGAGATTGGCCCTTTCAGAGAGAGCAGGGCCAGTGTACTTGTGTCACATCGGCTGACCCAGATTCAACTTTAAAAGAGGACACCTGGGTCTGGGGAAAGAGAGGCCAGGTGAGTGAGAACTCGGAGGCTGACGGAGGGCTGTCAGGGTCCCCTGGGAGGGGAGGCAGTGAGCGCCTGAGAGGAACTGTTCTAAAACGGGGCCTCCAGGGAGAAAAGCCCTGGGGGGTGGTGCTCTTGAAAGAGAGCACAGAAGCAGGAGTCAGGAGCTGCAGGACTTCCTGGGGAGGGGAGGCCATGAGAGTCTGAGAGGGAAAGGGGAGAAATCCCTTGGGAATTGTAGCCAGGGTGAGATTTTGTTTACGTTTGGAGAATAAACATGCCGAAAAGAGACGTGGGTGTGGCGGAGTCGTTACCAAGATGGGGAGAAGCCCTGCCTTGTTACAGTCCCCAGCTGCACAGTTCATGCACGGAGGGGCTTCTTGTCTTGTCCTTCTATACTTAGTAGATTCATTTCCCCTGTGTCACTCAGCCAGGAAGAGGAGGAGGCCCTTAATGTCCAGAGACCACTTTGTGATCCTCAAACAAAATACACCCGAGAAAGGCAGAGGAGGATCAGTTATCTCCTGGAAAATGCTAAACAAACTGCTGTTACCTCTGAAGCTGGCAGACACGTGTGAGTCGGGTGTGGTGAATTTTGCAGTTGGGATGTTAGCAGACAGAATGACGAGGTGTAGCATTTCTGCTCCCTTCTTCACGGCAAATGGCTTTATTCTGCAACGATGCAAGCCCTTCAGTCCTTTCTTATTTCCCCTTCACTCTGCCCCATCCCTGTTTTTGTCCCGCTGGGGGGCTGTTAGTAGTAATAGCTCCTGTGTTTACAGCTTACCTCCTAATGCCACTTGGTGGTTTTGTCTCAGAAGTCCTGTCTGGATGGAATGCGATTTCCGTTTCCAGGAAGTAGATCAGAACAAGGAGTGACATCATATAGAGGAAAGGGTCAAATAGCGCATCCAGGAAGTGATGCCATAATAGGAAGGAAAGAGGCTTCCATTCATAGGCCAGCTATGTTCAGCTGTTTAATCATGTGATATGGTTTTTGAGATAAAACCTGACGTGCTGACCACTTTGGGTATTGGTAATACCTGGACACTTTCTGGAATCTTGAACAAATTCCCACTCTGGTACCTGCATTCAGCCTGCCGTTTCAATTGGATGCAATGTTTTTTTCACTGTCTGACCTAAGACATTCTGTAGTGTTGATATGAGTTTTTAAACAATGGCCAAGCTACTCTCCAGAGTTGGCTACATTTAATTGATGGGCAAATAAACCATAAGCACCCTCTTTCTTAAAATGAAGCTTTGCTCTGTATTTTGAGTCACTTATAACATTTTGAAGACTTGATATAATAATAAGTAATCATTTTCAGACAATGTCCTTTCCTTCCCTGAAAATGTACCTAGTTACCAAGGGTGTGAGGCTTAACTAATGTTCAAGTGCTTTGAGATTCCTGGAGATAGAGAACAGCAATTAGTCAACAGAAGATCTAATTATTTATTACTGCTTATTTCAGCAGCTTGTGGAAACTTCCTAAGCAGAGTTATAGGCTGCTGGGGATCCATGCAAACCCTGAGGGAGAAATTCTGCCACCTTGAAGTGGAGGGGTATTTTGCCACTGACTTCAATAAGGTCTGGGTTTTCAGCCTGACCATCTAAGTTCCACTGTTTCTCCGTATCATGGGACATGTCTTGCTTCAGGTAGCCAGTTATGTGGCTGAAACAAGATATGTGCTGGTATTTAAGAGCATAAGAACGGCCATACTTGGTCAGACCAAAGGTCCATCTAGCTCAGTGTCCTGTCTACCGACAGTGGCCAATGCCAGGTGCTTCAGAGGGAATGAACAGAACAGGTAATCATCACGTGATCCATTCTCTGTCGCTCATTCCCAGCTTCTGGCAAACAGAGGCTCGGGCACCATCCCTGCTCATCCTGGCTAACAGCCATTGATGGACCTGTCCTCCATGAATGTATCTAATTCTTTTTTGAACCCTGTTATAGTCTTGGCCTTCACAACCTCCTCTGGCAAACAGTTCCATGGGTTGACTGTGTGTTGTGTGGAAAAAATACTTCCTTTTGTTTGTTATAAGCCTTCTGCCTATTAATCTCATTTGGTAACCCTTAGTTCTTGTGTTATGAGGAGTAAATAACACTTCCTTATTTACTTTTTCCACACCAATCATGATTTTATAGACCTCTATCATATCCCCCCTTAGTCACCTCTTTTCCAAGATGAAAAGTCCCAGTCTTATTAATCTTTCCTCAAACGGAAGCTGTTCTATACCCCCAAACATTTTTGTTGCCCTTTTCTGAACCTTTTCCATTCCAGTACATTTTTTTTTTTTGAGATGGGGCGACCACATCTGCACACAGTATTCCAGATGTGGACGTAGCATGGATTTATAGAGAGGCAACATGATATTTTCTGTCTTCTTATCTATCCCTTTCTTAATGATTCCCAACATTCTGTTTGCTTTTTTGACTGTCGCTGCACACTGAGTGGATGTTTTCAGAGAACTGTCCACAATGACTCCAAGATCATAGAATCATAGAATATTAGGGTTGGAAGGGACCTCAGGAGGTCATCTAGTCCAACCCCCTGCTCAAAGCAGGACCAATCCCCAACTAAATCATCCCAGCCAGGGCTTTGTCAAGCCTGACCTTAAAAATATCTAAGGAAGGAGATTCCACCACCTCCCTAGATAACGCATTCCAGTGTTTCATCACCCTCCTAGTGAACCCCCTCTTTGGAACCCCCTTTCAGGTAGCTGAAAATCTCCTTCTTGAAGATCTCCTTCTTGAGTGGTAACAGCTAATTTAGACCCCATCATTTTATATGTATAGCTGGGATTGTGTTTTCCAATTTGCGTTACTTTGCATTTATCAACATTGAATCTCATCTGCCATTATGTTTCCCAGTCATCCAGTTTTGTGAGATCACTTTTATAGCTCTTCGCAGTCTGCTTTGGACTTAACTATCTTGAGTAGCTTCGTATCATCTGCAAATTTTGCCATCTCACTGTTTACTCCTTTTTCCAGATCATCTGTGAATATGTTGAATAGGACTGGTCCCTGTACAGACCCCTGGGGGACACCATTATTTACCTCTCTCCATTCTGAAAACTGACTATTTATTCCTAATCTTTGTTTCCTAACTTTTAACAAGTTCCTGATCCATGAGAGGACCTTCCCTCTTATCCCATGACAGCTTACTTTGCTTAAGAGCCCTTGGTGAGGGACCTTGTCAAAGGCTTTCTAAAAATCTAAGTACACCATATCCACTGGATCCCCCTTGTCCACATGCTTGTTGACCGCCTCAAAGAATTCAAGTGAATTGGTGACGCATGATTTCCCTTTACAAAAACCATGTTGATTCTTCCCCAACAAATTGTGTTCATCTGTGTGTCTGACAATTCTGTTCTTTACTATAGTTTCAATGAGTTTGCCCATTACTGAAGTCAGGCTTACCGGCCTATAGTTGCCGGGATCACCTCTGGAGCCCTTTTTGAAAAATTGGCATCACATTAGCTACCCTCCAGTCATTTGGTACAGAAGTTGATTTAAATGATAGGCTACAGACTACAGTTAGTAGTTCTGCAATTTCACATCCGAGTTCCTTCAGAACTCTTGGGCGATACCATCTAGTCCTGGTGACTTATTACTGTTTAGTTTATCAATTTGTTCCAAAACCTCCTCTAATGACACCTCAATCTGTGACAATTCCTCAGATTTGTCACCTAAAAAGTATGTCTCAGGTTTGGGAATCTCCCTCACGTCCTCAGCCGTGAAAACTGATGCAAAGTATTCATTTTGTTCCTCCGCAATAGCCTTATTATCCTTGAGTGCTCCTTTAGCATCTTGATCGTCCAGGGGCGCCACGGGTTGTTTAGCAGGCTTCCTGCTTCTGATGGACTTATTTTTTTTTTTGCTATTACTTTTTGAGTCTTTGGTTAGCTATTCACATTCTTTTTTGGCCTTCCAAATTATATTTTTACACTTCATTTGGCAGAGTTTATGCTCCTTTCTATTTTCCTCACTAGGATTTAACGTCCACTTTTTAAAGCATGCCTTTTTCCCTCTCACTGCTTCTTTTACTCTTTTGTTTAGCCACGGTGGCACTTTGTTGGTTCTCTTACTGTGTTTTTTAGTTTGGGGTATACACTTAAGTTGTTCCTCTAGTATGGTTAAAACGTTTCCACGCAGCTTGCCGGGATTTCACTTTTGGCACTTTACCTTTTAATTTCTGTTTAACTACCTTCCTCATTTTAGTGTAATTCCCCTTTCTGAAATCAAATGCTACCCTGTTGGGCTGCTGTGGGGTTTTCCCCACCACAGGGATGTTAAATTTAATTATATTATGGTCACTATTACCAAGCGGTCCAGCTATATTTATCTCTTGGACCAGATCCTGTGCTCCCCTTAGGACTAAATCAAGAATTGCCTCTCCTCTGGTGGGTTCCAGGACCAGCTGCTCCAAGAAGCAGCCATTTAAGGTGCCAAGAAACTTTCTCTCTGCATCCCGTCCTGAGGTGACATGTACCCAGTCAATATGGGGATAGTTGAAATCCCCCATTATTATTATTTAGTTTTTTATTTTAATAGCCTCTCTAATCTTCCTGAGCATTTCATCACCACTATGCTAAGGGATGTCTCTGTCCGAACCACGTGCTCCTCTGCACCTGTCGGCTTTCCCCCAGCCCTCAGTTTAAAAACTGCTCCAGGACCTTTTTAATGTTAAGTGCCAGCAATCTGGTTCCATTTTGGTCTAGGTGTAGCCCATCCTTCCTGTATAGGCTCCCCCTTTTCCCAAAAGTTTCCCCAGGTCCTAATAAATCTAAAAAGAAAAGGAGGACTTGTGGCACCTTAGAGACTAACCAATTTATTTGAGCATAAGCTTTCGTGAGCTACAGCTCACTTCATCTTTATGCATCCGATGAAGTGAGCTGTAGCTCACGAAAGCTTATGCTCAAATAAATTGGTTAGTCTCTAAGGTGCCACAAGTTCTCCTTTTCTTTTTGCGAATACAGACTAACACGGCTGCTACTCTGAAACCTGTCATTATGCAAGGTAATAAATCTAAACTCCTTCTCCTGACACCATCTTCTCATCCACGCATTGAGACCCTGCAGTTTGCCTGTATAACTGGCCCTGCGTGTGGAACTGGGGGCATCTCGGAGAATGCTACCACAGAGGGCCTGAACTTCAGTCTCTTACCTGGCAGCCTAAATTTGGCCTCCAGGACCTCTCTCCTACCTTTCCCTATGTCACTGGTACATACATGTACCACAACCACTGGCTCCTCCTCAGCACTACACAAAAGTCTATTTAGCTGTCTTGAGAGATCCGCAATCTTCACACAAAGCAGGGAAGTCACCATGCTGTTCTCCCAGTCATCGCAAACCCAGCTATCTATGTTTCTAATGACCGAATCCCCATAACTATTACCTGTCTCTTCCTAATAACTAGAGTTGCCTCCCCTGCAGAGGCATCCTTAGTGCGAAAGGATACCACGATATCATCTGGAAGGAGGGTCCAAAGATTGTTTCCCTCTGCTCCAGTTGGATGGTCTCCTTCTCTGAGACTTTCATTCTCCTCAACAGCACAGAGGCTGTCAGACCGGGGATGGGACCGTTCTACTGTGTCCTGGAAAGTCTCATCTATGTACCTCTCTGTCTCTCTTAGCCCCTCCAGTTCAGCCACTCTGGTCTCCAAAGCCGGTACAAGGTCTCTGAGGGCCAGGAGCTCCTTGCACCGAACGCACAGATACAGCATCTGCCCATAGGGCAGGTAATCATACATGCTGCATTGGGTGCAATAAACTGGATAGGCCCCACTCTCTCGCTGGACTTCTGCCTGGATTCTCTTTGGACTCCTGAAGCTCTTTCCTTTGTTTTTGTGTTTTTATAAGGGATGTTTTGGGCCTTAAGTTTAAAGAATTTTAAATGTATGTAGCCCCTCACAACTCGTTTGCAAAACTTCCTTGTTCACTAGCTTCTCTGGTCGCTTAGGAGTGGGCTTTTTAAAGCCCTGGTCTTCCTGAGTAGCCCTGCCCCCTGGCTAAGGGTTGATGGGTGCTAAAGGGCTTAGGAATCAAAGCCCCGTTAAGAAGCTCTCAACCTTGCCTAGCATGCTGCTAGGCTCAGCACACCCCAAACTAAGAGACCACGGGGTCTATTTCAGTCAAGCAGCAAGTACACCACAAACACACACACTACTGAGAACAAACTTACCCCCAGGGTCCCGTAATCACTCCTCCTTCACCTGGAGAACTCCCTCCCCAAACTCCCCCGTTAGCCGCTCCTGGTCGCTAGCGCCAATCAGACTGGAAAACGGATACCCTAGGATGCCCAGAAGATGCTGTGTTATTTCAATCCCATAACTGAGTCCCTGGCTCACTAAAAAAACCGGTGAGAACCATGAGCACAGACATTAGATCCCCGTCAGGCTGATGATGGCAGTGGGGCAAGCAGCCTAGACCCACGGTTCAAAAAGGGCCTCCAACGGTATTGCCCAAAAAATGCTGGGGTAGGGGAGCTATGGTCTTGTGGGAGGTGCCATGGCTCACTGGGGGGCCCTGTGTCTGGGCAATGGGCACCATGGGGGGGGCCCTGTGTCTGGGCAGTGGGCTCCATGGCTCGGGGGGGGACTATGGCTCGGGGGGGCCCTGTGTCTGGGCAATGGGCACCATGGGGGGGCCCTGTGTCTGGGCAATGGGCACCATGGCTGGGGGGGCACCATGGCTCGGGGGGCCCTGTGTCTGGGCAACGGGCACCATGGGGGGGCCCTGTATCTGGGCAGTGGGCACCATGGCTGGGGGGGCACCATGGCTCGGGGGGGCACCATGGCTCGGGGGGGGCTGTGTCTGGGCAATGGGCGCCATGGCTCGGGGGGGCCACCCCGGCGCGGGTGTCTCCGGCCTGCTGCCCCCGCCCGCGGCTCCCCAAGCGCTGCCCCTGGGCCCCCCCGCCGTGCCTGGCGGCGAGCCGGCCAGCTCCGCTCCGGGCGGGTCAGGGGCCACCCGCCGGGTTGTCTCAGCGCCCCCGGCTCCGCTCCGGAATCCCGGCAGCCGGGTCTTGTGGGAGCGGAGCGGAGCGGAGCATGCGCAGTGCGCCGGGGCGGCCGGGGCTGCGGCGAGGCCTAGTGCAAACGCCGAGCGCCAGAGGCGCGGATCCGCCCCGCGCGGTGAGTCTCGCCCCGCCCCCCCCCCGCTACCCGCCCTGCCCCCCAGACCTCCCACTGCCCCCCCGCACCCCCACCCTGCCCCCCCAGCGCCCCGCCCCCCACCTAGTCCCCCCCCGCTACCCGCCATTGCCCCCCAGCTCCCCGCCCTGCCCCCCAGACCGCCCACTGCCCCCCCGCACCCCCACCGTGCCCCCCAGCGCCCCGCACCCCCCACCTAGTCCCCCCCCGCTACCCGCCATTGCCCCCCGCTACCCGCCCTGCCCCCCAGCCCTCCCACTGCCCCCCGTCCCCACCCTGCCCCCCTGCCCCCACCTAGTTCCCCCAGCTCCGCGCCCTGCCCCCTGCACCCCCCGCCCTGCCCTGCCCCCAGCGCCCCGCCTAGTCCCCCCGCTACCCGCCATTGCTCCTGCGCGCCCCCAGCTCCCCGCCCTGCCCCCAGACCTCCCACTGCCCCCCCGCACCCCCCACCCTGCCCCCCAGCGCCCCGCACCCCCACTGCCCCCAGCCCCCACCTAGTCCCCCCCAGCTCCCCGCCCTGCCCCCCAGCCCTCCCACTGCCCCCCCCGCACCCCCCACCCTGTCCCCCACTGCCCCCAGCGCCCCGCCTAGTCCCCCCCCGCTACCCGCCATTGCCCCCCAGCTCCCCGCCCTGCCCCCCAGACCGCCCACTGCCCCCCCGCACCCCCACCGTGCCCCCCGCGTCCCGCCTAGTCCCCCCCGCTACCCGCCATTGCCCCCAGCTCCCTGCCCTGCCCCCCAGACCTCCCACTGCCCCCCGCACCCCCACCCTGCCCCCCAGCGCCCCGCACCCCCACTGCCCCCAGCCCCCACCTAGTCCCCCCCAGCTCCCCGCCCTGCCCCCCAGCCCTCCCACTGCCCCCCCGCACCCCCCACCCTGTCCCCCCACTGCCCCCCAGCGCCCCGCCTAGTCCCCCCCCGCTACCCGCCATTGCCCCCCAGCTCCCCGCCCTGCCCCCCAGACCGCCCACTGCCCCCCCCGCACCCCCCACCCTGTCCCCCACTGCCCCCAGCGCCCCGCCTAGTCCCCCCCGCTACCCGCCATTGCCCCCCAGCTCCGTGCCCTGCCCCCCCAGACCGCCCACTGCCCCCAGCGTCCCGCCTAGTCCCCCCCGCTACCCGCCATTGCCCCCCAGCTCCCCGCCCTGCTCCCAGACCTCCCACTGCACCCCACCCCCCACCCTGCCCCCCAGCCCCCACCTAGTTCCCCCCAGCTCCGCGCCCTGCCCCCTGCACCCCCCGCCCTGCCCCCAGTGCCCCGCCTAGTCCCCCCCGCTACCTGCCATTGCCCCCCCGCGACCCCCAGTTCCCCGCCCAGCCCCCAGGGAAGCTGGCTGGCTGGGTGGGTGTTGCAGCAGGAGGTCAGGCTGTGGGGGGCATTAAGGGGGATTTGGGAGGGGGCGGTGCCAGATGCTCTGCCAGCGGGAATCTGAAGGGCAGAGGGCACTGGGTTGTTTGGGTGGGGGTCTTATGGGGCTGGAGCTGGGTGCTGTAACGTGCCACAGAGGTGTCTGTCTCCCGGGGTCTGGTGGGGGGAGGCTGCTCTGCTTGGGCTCTGCTTTGTCATCTGTGTTGGGGACGGGGCAATACAGCAAGGGTCATTTCCCCACAGCGTGTTTATCTCCTTCTCCCATGTTGCCCCAGCGCAGGGTGGACAGGATGAGGAGCCGTAAGAAGCATTTACATAGGCGCTAGGAGCGGGGGCGCCCCAGAAGACATGTCGTACCGAGGCAGCGAGCGGGACTTCCAGACTTCAGCCAGGAGGATGGGAACCTCGTTGCTCTTCCAGCTCTCTGTCCATGAGAGAGAGCTGGACCTGGTCTTCCTGGACCACAGCTATGCCAAGCCATGGAGTGCCCACCCCGATGCTAGCAGTGCCCGGCCTACTCGGATGCTCTTTGTCACCCCCAGGAGGCACCAAGACAGCACCATGTGAGCATAGCCTTTTCTGGTGCTACTGAGTTGATGGGCTTTGGGTTCTCGCGTACCTTGTGTATTCCTTTCCTGTGCTTTGATGGTTCACTCGTTGCTTTCTGTGTCTGTTTACAAGGTGCTTTTTATCACATTAGGTAACACATGTTGAAACCCCAGTCTAAGAACATAAGAATGGCCAGACTGGGTCAAACCAAAGGTCCATCTAGCACAGTATCCTGTCTTCCAGCAGTGGCCAGTGCCATGTGCCCCAGAGGGAATGAACAGAACAGGGAATCATCAAGTGATCCATCCCCTGTCGCCCATTCCCAGCTTCTGGCAAACAGAGGCTAGGGACACCATCCCTGCCCGACCAGATCTACGTGCAGTATTCCAGATGTGGGTGTAGCATGGATTTATATAAAGGCAATATGACATTTTCTGTTTTATTATCTATCCCTTTCTTAAAGATTCCCAACAGTCTGTTTGCTTTTTTGACTGCCACTTCACATTATTCCAAGATCTCTTTCTTAAGTCGTAAGAGCTAATTTAGACCCCATCATTTGATATGTAGAGTTGGGATTATGCTTTCCAATGTGCATTACTTTGCATTTATCAACATTGAATTTCATCTGACAATTGTCTAGACAGGACAATTTGTATTTGCACATGTTAGCTGTAGAAGGTCTCCCCTAGAGGGCAACCTGTGCTGTCTAGTGTAGATTTTTTAAAACATTAACACATGCTAACTGAGCTGGGTGGGAGGTTTTCAATTAAATGTTTGTCAGAAAATGCTGATTTTTCTAAACTGAAGCTATTGCAGTTGAATTTCCCCTTTTGAAAAATGTTTGAAAAAAATGTTTTGGAATGATCAGCGTGTTCCCTTTTGACTTTTTTAAAAAATGAAATATTCAGTTTTTCAGTTCAAAACAAAAAGTCACTTTGGAATTTAATTCAGTAAAAAAACAAACTAAAAAAACTAAAAAGGTTGAAATAGAAATGAAACAGTTCAAAATTATGCATATATTCTGAGGCCAGACAGATCATTTTACGATCATCTGGTTTAACCTTCTGTATAACAGAGGACAGAGAACTTTCTCAAAGTAATTCCTGGAGTTGATATTTTAAAAAAACATCCAATCTTGATTTTAATATGGCTGGTGGTGGAGAATCCACCACGATCTTTGGCAAATTGTTCTATGGTCAATTACTCTCGTTTTTGTGTGTGTGTTTGTGAATAATGTCTTATTTTCAGTCCAAAATTATCTAGTTTCAGCTTCTAGCCATCGGATTGTGTTGGACCTTTCTCTGCTAGATCAGTGATTTTCAGTCTTTTTTCATTTGTGGGCCCCTAAAAAATTTTGAATGAAGATGTGGACCCATTTGGAAATCTTAGACGTAGTCTGCGGGCCCCCAGGTGTCTGTGGACCACAGGTTGAAAACAGTTCAGTGGTAACAACCTTTTGCAGACCTCTTAAACATATTCTGCGACCCCTCAGGGGTCCGCTGACCACAGGTTGAAAACAACTGTGCTACACTGATGAACCCATTATCAAATATTTATTCCCCATGTAGGTACTTGTAGACCAGTGGTTCTCAAAATTTTGTACTGGTGACCCCTTTCACACAGCAAGTCTCTGAGTGCGACCCCCCCACCCACTATAAATTAAAAACACATTTTTTATATTTAATACTGTTATAAATGCTGGAGGTGAAGCGGGGTTTGGGGGTGGAGGCTGACAGCTCACAACCCCCACATAATAACCTTGTGACCCCCTGAGAGGTCATGACCCCCAGTTTGAGAACCCGGTTATAGACTGTAATTAAGTCACCCTTTAATCTTCTCTTTGTTATACTAAACAGGTTGAGCTCCTTGATGTCTCACTGTAAGGCAGGTTTTTTAACCCTTTAATCATTCTCATGACGCTTCTCTGAACCCTCTCCAATTTATCAACACCCTTCTTGAATTGTGGGCGGCAGAACTTGTCAAAGTATTCCGGCAGTGGTCGCACCAGTGCTAAATTGAAGTGAAATTACCTCTCTACTTTTTCTCCAGATACTGAAATTAAACGTTTCAATTGACTTGAGCTGAAACTTTTTTGCATTTTCAAGTCATGTAAATTTTCAAGATTTTGACTTTTCACCTTTTCAGGGAGTGGGGAGGTTGGATGGGGGTGGGGTCCTGGGGGGGGGCGGTTAGGAGCAGGGGGTGCTGGGAGGGGGCGGTCAGGGGACAAGGAGGAGGGGGGGTTGGATGGGTTGGAGGCAGTCAGGGGCGGATAGGGGGTGGGGGCCAGGCTGTTTGGGGAGGCACAGCCTTCCCTACCCGGCCCTCTGTACATTTTCGCAACCCCAGTGTGGCCCTCGGGCCAAAAAGTTTGCCCACCCCTGTGCTAAAGGAGCACTCAAGAAAGACAAGGTCATTGCAAACACATTAAATGAATTCTTTGCATCGGTCTTCACTGCAGAGGATATGAGGGAGATTCCCACACTGGAGCAATTCTTTTTAGGTGACAAATTTGAGGAACTGTCCCAGATTGAGCTGTCAGTAGAACGAACTGATGAATTAAATAGTAAGAAGTCACCAGGACTAGATGCTATTCACCCAAGAATTCTGAAGGCACTCAGATATGAAATTGCCGAACTATTTTTTGAATGTAACCTCACGCTTAAATCAGCCTCTGTACCAGATGACTGGAGGATAGCTACTGTAATCCCGATTATTAAAAGAGGCCCCAGAGACAATCCTGGCAGTTACAGGCCGGAAAGCCTAACTTCAACAGCAGGCAAACTGGTTGAAACTTTAGTAAAGAACGGAATTATCAGACATGTTCATTTAAACAGTATGTTGGGGAAAAGTCAACACGGCTTTTGAAAAGGGAGATCATGCATCACTGATCTTTGAATACTTTGTGGGGGTCAGCAGGCATACGGACAAGCGTGATTCACCTGATATGGTATACTTCGATTTTCAGAAAGCTGTTAGCAAGGTCCCACACCAAAGGCTCTTAAGCAAAGTAAGCAGTCAAGGGGTAAAAGGGAAGGTCCTTTTCTGGATCAGTAACTGGCTAAAAGATAGGGAAACAAAGAGAAGGAATAAATGGTCACTTTTCATAATGGAGAGTGGTAAATAGCAGTGTCCCCCAAGGATCTGTACTGGGACAAGTGCTGTGCAGCATATTCATAAATGATCTGAAAAAAGGGTTAAACAGTGATGTGGCAAAGATTGCAGACAATACAAAATTATCCAATATCGTTAAGTCCAAAACTGACTGTGAAGAGTTACAAAGGGATCTCACAAAACTTGGTGACTGAGCTACAAAATGGCAGATGAAATGCAGTGTTGATAAGGGCAAAGTAATGCACACTGGAAAAATAATCCCAACTGTATCTACAAAATGATGGGGTCTAAATTAGCTGTTACCATTCAAGAGAGAGATCTTGGGGTCATTGTGGATAGTTCTCTGAAACCATCCAGTCAATGTGCATCGGCAGTCAAAAAAGCTAACAATGTTTGGAACCATTAGGAAAGGTAGAGATAATAAGACAGAAAATATCATGCCACTAGAGAAATCCATTGTACGTCCACACCTTGAATACTGGGTGGAGTTCTGGTTGCCCCATCTCAAAGAAGATAGATTAGTATTGGCAAAAGTACAGAAAAGGGGAACAAAAATGATTAGGGGTATGGAACGGCTTCCATATGAGGAGAGACTCAAAAGACTGGGATGGTTCATCTTAGAAAAGAGATGATAAAGGGGAGAGGGGATACAATAGAGGTCTATAAAATCAAGAATGGTGTGGAGAAAGTGAATAGAGAAGTGTTTATACTTTCTCGTAACACAAAAACAAAAAAAAAAACAAAAAAAAGAGGTCATCTAATGAAATCAATAGGCAAGAGGTTTAAAACAAACAAAAGGAAGTACTTCTTCACACAACGCACAGTTCACCTGCGGAACTCGTTGTCAGGGGATTCTGTGAAAGCCAAAAATGTATCTGAATCCGAAAAAGAATTAGATTAGTTTGTGAAGGTTAGGTCCATTAATGACTATTAGCCAGGGATGCAATCCTATGCTCTGGGTGTCCCTAAACTTCTGACTGCCAGAAGCTGGGAATGGATGACAGGGGATGGATCCTTCGATTAATTGCCCTTTCCGTTCATTCCCTTTGAACCATTTGGCACTGGCTGCCATTGGAAGACAGGATATTGGGTTAAGGGGACCTTTGGTCTGATCCAGTATACCTGTACTTATGTTCTTAAACTATATTTGACCCATGTTACCAAACTGCTACCACTTCGGACCATTGAAGGCCCCATGGGGCTAGGAAATCTCCAAGCATGGACCACTGCGTGTATGGCGTCCTGCTGAGTTCACTGGAACATCATGCAGACGCACAGGTGTGTGCTACAGGATCTGTGCCTATGACTGGAGTGGGTTGGGAGACATGGTTAAAACCTGATTCAGGGCTCATCGGCACTACAGGCTGCAAGTAACCTTGTCAGGAGACAACCATGTTGTTAGATGACATTTCATTTTGTAGCGTAGCCTGGCCCCAAGACAGAGTGGTGCAGAACACTGTTACAAATACAATGAAAAACAGCGCGATTCCACCTTCTGCTCCAGTAACAGCAGCTTCAAAGGCTGTCTCTTAGTCATGGTCCGATATCTGAGGATGAAATAAGCTTGAAGGAGCCTTGTGCTTTCAGACAGGTGGGCACAGGTGTGCTGTCTCGGTTCCATCTTGCCAAGCAGGTACCTGTAACCCGCTGCAGTGTGTTTCCAGTTTCTGTTTTGTGTTGAGAAACCAGCTGCTTTGAGTCTGCTGTGATACGGCAGGGTCCTGTTCTCTGAAATCCCAGCTCTCCTTTCAGTGAGGTGGATGTCCCCATCGATGTGGAGACTGTCACACCCACGCCTGTCCCCCTCTACGACAACCAGAAAGCGCGCAGTGTGATGAACGAGTGTGAGCGCCACGTCATCTTTGCCCGTACGGATGCCGATGCCCCTCCTCCGCCCGATGACTGGGAGGAACACATGAACAGGTAGCGTGGCTGGGATGCTGTGGGGGGTTTCTGTGCGGCAGTGCTTACTGAGAGGCTGTTAGCTTGGAAGAGGAACAAAATAAGCAACTTGGAAATGGTAGTACGTTGAGGCAGGGATCTAGTGGTCCCAGCGGAAGTTTGGGATTCAGGAATCCTCTTGTTGGTTGTATTATGCTAGCGTAGAGAGCCTGAGCGGAGATTGGGACTCCATAGTGCCAGGCACTGTGCATACAGATAAGAAAGGGTCCCTACCCCAAGGAGTCTGCAGTCAATAGAAAGGGTGGGAGGGGAAACTGAGGCAGAGGTGAAATGACTTGCCCAGGTTCCCATAGCAGGTCAGTGGCAGAGCTAGGAAGAGTCTCCTGACTCTGTCCATGCCCTAGCTACTGGTCCATGCTGTCTCTGGGTTCTGTGTTTGCCTGGGAGAATTAATGTTTGTAGAGTGTTTTGAAGTCCTGATGCAAAAAAAGCTATAAAAGGACAAAGCGTTATTAATTTGCCGACATTAAGCTGACTTGCATTCTCATGTAAAACCAATGACTGATCTGTAATGTTGTCTTGTGCAATACAAAATGGGTAGATCATAGACCTAGGATTAGTTTATTCTGTAATGTGCATTGGACAGCAGACCTTTTCTCGTTTTTGCATTGGGATTGTATGTATGCAATGTTTGGCAGTGAGTGTTTTGCAGGATGAGGGCCTTGGTTTGGTTTTGTTATTTGTTTTAATGTGTCTAGACATGCACTGTTCCACTTTAGGTGACTTTTCACATCCTTCTGGGCTTTATTTTTTCTTTAGTATTCTTATGTTCAGATTTCTAGAAATATATTTCCCAGAATTCCCAGTAATTTGAGACTTTAGTTTCTTTATAAACTGTGGAACTTTCACTTATTTCATTGCACAGGTATTCAAAGGAATGTGTTATCCAGCTGTTAATTTTACAATGACATATGAGCCTCTGAAGTCAACATCTGAAGATAGGCTGCAGTTGCTCATAGTCTAGCCACTTCCTGAGGCTTTAGTTACCAGTCTAAATAAATGGATTTTCTGTCCTTTTCCCCCACTATGAGCCCTGTTAATTCTTGTGGCTTTCTAAATGTAATGTATCATGTTTGCCCTGAATTTTGCACACAAGTACAACTGGATCAGATGCTGCTTGTTTTTCACTTGCATGAGAGTTCACATTGGTCCAAGGTCCCTTCCCTTTTTTCCTCAGTCAGTCTTCAATCAAGCAAAATATTCCTAGGAAGAGCTTTCAGTTGCCTCTCTATATGTGCTAGCCATCAGTCTCCTTTACAGAGGCCTTTCTCTTCAGAACTTATGAAGACTGTCTGTAGTCTGAAGCAGACACTCTTCTGTTCTGTGTAAGATACTGTACATCAGTTTTGCATCTGCATGTGTAATTTGAATTGCAGCCTGGAGCTAGTAACTGTGTTTCTTCTTAAAACATTGTTTGAAAATGCTTTTTCTGCCTGAGTGCTTTGTTTATTAGGAAGGAAAGGTGATTTTTTTGTCTAAGGAATGGGGTTAGAAATCGTCTAGAATGCAGGTCACCCATCTATCTGTGGGCTTTTGTCCCCTGTTGTGTAATGTCTGAGTGCCTCTTGTGAGACAGAGGAGCAACAAGGAGCTGAGGCACCGCATGTGTGTTGGCCAAGATCACACAGGAAATCTGTGACAGAGCTGAGAATTGAATTCAGGTCTTCTGAGTCCCAGGTCTGTGTTGGTTAGTGGTGTGAAAAAACAAACTCACGAGTGACACAGCTGTGCCAACAAAACCCCAGTGGAAATGCAGCTGTGCCAATGACAGAGGGCTTCTGTTACCATCACTAATGTCATTTGGGGAGGTGGTGTTCCTGGGCCAGCAGAAAACCTCTTTCTGTTGGTGTGTGCTGTGTATGCCCTTGGGGCGATGCTGATGTAGGCTGTGTAGTGTAGACATAGCCCTAGCCTGTTCCTGGCTTACCACTGACTTGCTGGGTGAACTTTATATTCATTATAATCTTAAATTTTAGAAACAAAATTCTGGTAAATGTAAGCTAACCTCCCAGAGTCACAGAAAAATCCCCACAGCGCTGAGGTCATGAGTGAGATCCTCATTGCAAACCGAGGGAAATCTGCCTGTAAAGACAAAGATGACACTTCCAGCTCCTGATCATCCATGAGACTTGAGCGTGACTATCTGGATATCCTCTGATGATAGATGCGTGGGTAGCTTTCACGTAAGGTAGTTGGTATTTTCTCAGTCTGCATTGCCCAGATCATATATGTAGCCAAAGCCATAAGACAGTGTAGAGACGATAATTATCAATCGTGAGGCATGGGATCTGAGCGCAGGAGTGGGAGCCATTAACTCCTGGGTGCTAAAAGCTGATAGATCAGCTGCACAGTCTTACCTACCTGCACCCTCACTGCTTCGTTTTAAGAGTTAGGACTGAAAAAACGTAATGTTGAACTAAACTCTTTATATCCTATCTAAACTACCCTCTTGGATTTCCTTTCAGGTCGGGTTGGACGATGGCCCAGAACAAGCTATTTAATAAAATCCTTAAAGCCCTGCAGTCTGACAGGCTGGCCCGCTTGGCCAATGAAGGGGTAAGATCTTACTTCCCCCATCCCCTCTCCTTCAAGCTGCAGCAGCTTTGTTGCCTCCTTATGCACCCAATCCTTCCTGGCAGCGACCATGAAACGTAGGACAGTCTGGATCCTTAGCTCTTGTAACCTCCACTGTGAGCACGTTTATGGCTTTGGTATGGATTAGAATGTGGTCTTCAGTGGGAGAAGGATTGGCCCATGCTCACTTGCCAGAGGAACAGAGGCTGTAGCAGCGAATTTTGCCCTGGTGGATTCTGTATGGTCCTGGCACACTCACTTTCCTTACGCCCATGTGGTCTGCTCCCCTTGTTTTTAGGCTTGCAATGAGCCAGTGCTGAGGAGGATAGCAGTGGACAAGTGCGCCCGGCGGGTCCGCCAAGCTCTGGCCAGTGTGAACTGGGACACCAAGCTGATCCAGTGGCTTCACACCACGCTGGTGGAGACTCTCAGTTTACCTATGTTGGCTGCTTACCTGGATGCTCTGCAGACACTTAAGGGAAAGGTGATAAACACAATGAGTTCTGGAATGTACTTTGCTTTTACTTAATACCACTTTCTCTTCAAACGATTTGTTTGGGGGAAGCTGAGGGGACATTGATCTCCTTTCTGGGTGACTGGGGGAAAAGTAGCTTCTTTGCCCCGTTCTCCGTCCCTTTTTCCCACTGTGCTATCCTGGGGAGCTTTTGCCTTGAGGATTAGGAGGGAGGACTCCTAGTTTTTCTGTGGCAGTACTGGGTGATCTTCAGCATGTCACTTTGCCTCTCTCTGCCTTGGTTGCCCTATCAAGAGAGTGAGGAAAGGAGAGGCCACTTGCCTGGGACTTGGGAGAGGCTGGGTCAGCTCTTCGCTCTGCCACAGGCTTCCTGTGTGACCCAGGCAAATCCCTTATTTTCTGTGTGCCTCAGTTCCCGTCTGTACAATGGGGATAGCAGCTCTGCCCTGCCACAGAAGGGGCTGGGAGAATAAATACAGCATAGCATGAGGGGTGCTCGGTTATTGTAGATAGATAGATTTTGTAAAAGAGGACTAATACTTTACAGGCAGGTTGTAAACAATTAAGTTTGTAAAGCCCCTGGAGTTCCTGGGATGAGAGTTATTGTAACATGAGTTTCTAAACTTTTATGGAAGTGATTCAGAGAAATACAGGGGACTTAGGAGGTGCTGTGCTAGGGACCAGGGGACCTGGGCTGTTTCCCTTGCTCTGCCACTGGTCTGTTGGATATCTTTGGCCAAGTCTCCTCACACCTCTGTGCCCCAGTTTCCCCATACATAAAATGGGAGTAATGATACTGAGCTAGTTTGGAAAGTGCTTGAGATCTATGGATTGAAAATCATGAGAGCAGAGCAAGGTGGGGGTGATCGTGTTTGTAGCAGTAATATTCAGTACCTTCTTTTATGCTTTGTATGCAAGAGGCATGTGCCGCGTTAAGTGTTCTCGGCAAACAGAGAAGATTTTGAGGAAAGGTGCTACAGGAATGTTGTGTTTCACTAAAACTTCATTAATTGATCTTTTTCTCTCAATTCAAGTAGAATTGTGTGTTTTATTTGTTTGGATAAGCACTTTCAGTACAACGTTCCCATCCCATGAAGGCAGGGTGAATTGGTACAATACAGCTGTACTTTTGCATAGCATCCGTCGTACAAACTAACTCCCCAAATGGTTAAATACAATAAATATTAGAGGTGCAGAAGGATGAGCAGGTTTGAAAAAGACATTTACAGCAGAGAGATCAGCTAAGATTAGGGCCGTCAAACAATTTAAAAACACAGTTGCGATTAATCGCAGTTTTAATCGCATTGTTAAGCAATAATAGAATATCACTTATTGAAATATTTTTGGTGTTGTGAGGGAAGTGTGTGTTGGGGGAGCAATGGAGCAGGGTGGCAGTAGGGGGGCACCCCTGCCCCGAGGCACGCACTGACGCCCCCCCGAGGATGGCCCTGGTGTGCAGTTAACATTTGTTTTAAAAAAAAAAAAGCGTTAATTTGTTTTGAGTTAATCGTATGCGTTAACTGCAATTGATTGACAGCCCTAATTATTATTTTTTATTACAAATATTTGCACTGTAAAAAAGAGGGTGCAATCTACGAGTCGAAGCATGAAGGGGCATACAAATGCTTAGCACAGCGGTTCTCAAACTGGGTCGGGACCCCAAAGTGGGTTGCGACCCCTTTTTAATGGGGTCACCAGGGCTGGCTTAGACTTACTGAGTCCTGGAGCCGAAGCCCAAGGGCTTCAGCTCTGGCAACAGGGCTCAGGTTATAGGCCCCCTGCCAGGGGCTGAAGCCCTTGGGCTTTGGCCCCCCCGGTATTCAGGCTTTGGCCCCCCACCCGAGGCCCCCCCTCCTGGAGTCGTGTAGTAATTTTTGTTGTCAGAAGGGGGTCGCAGTGCAATGAAGTTTGAGAACCCCGGGTTAGCATATCTGGCACGTAAATACCTTGCAACCCCAGCTACAACAGTGCCATACAAACGCCTGTTCTCACTTTCAGGTGATGTAAATAAGAAGCAGGAAGTATTATCTCCTGTAAATGTAAACAAAGTCGTTTGTCTTAGCGATTGGCTGAATAAGAAGTAGGACTGAGTGGACTTGTAGGCTCTAAAGTTTTACATTGTTTTATTTTTGAGAGCAGTTATGTTAAAAAAAAAAATTCTACATGTGCAAGTTGCATTTTCACAATAGAGATTGCACTACAGTACTTGTATGGGGTGAACCGAACACTACTATTTTTTTTACCGTTTTTACAGTGCAAATATTTTTAATCAAACAAAATATAAAGTGAGCACTTTGCATTATGTGTTGTAACTGAAATCAATATACTTGAAAATTCAGAAAAACACCCAAGATAGTTGTAATAAATTTCAATTGGTATTTTATTAGTGTTTCAGTGCGAATAAAACTGTGATTAATGATGACTGATTTTTTTAAGCTAATTAATTTGTTTTACATTAATTGCTTGGGTTAACTGCGATTAATCGACAGCCCTTGCTAAAACGGAGAGTCTGTGAAGTAGAGGGAGATTGTTCCACCGGATGGCAGGAGGCGCAAAGGAGAAGGCTTTCGTGGCAGCGGCAATGCGGTGCTGTGAAGGGACTAAAGGAGAGCTCAGTGCTAGTTGAGTGGAGGGAGCAGAGAGGGCAGAAATCGGCCAAGGTCTGGTCAGGAGGCTGGAGAAGTGCATGCAGTGTTTTAACTACAAAGAGGTCATTTATTTAACTGGATCCTGCAATGAAGGAGAGCCAGTGGAGCTGTTTGGGGGTGAAGGTTGCACGCTGAGACAAAAGCGTGCAGATATATCAAATACAGACTCTCCCTTCTGGTGGGTTGACACTTCTTAGTGCTCATGCAGTATCTGCGGAATGAATCTCTGCTAACAAAAGGTATTGGAATCGGTAGTGACACCTGTTCACTGATGTGTTGTCCTTACCTAGTGCCCTGAGGAGGGAACATTTACTGGTCAATTTCTGTGCTCTAAAGGTCTCATTTTCTCCAGCTAAATTCCAGTGTCCTGAGTCAGCAAGTTCCTTGATGTGCAAAAATGCAAAGTCTGTAGTCCATCAGTAATGGTCTGCGAGCAAATATTCCCCAAAGGGTAACTTGGCTGGACCTGTGTCTGAAGACAGCTCCTGCTGAGCTGTGGCCTGTGCACTCCCAGCTGTGCTGCTCTGGGTCTCCTCCACAGCAGTGAAAAACCCAAGTACTAGCCCCTGGACTCGTACCCCATAGTGTGTGTGGCAGGGGAGTGCCAGGTGTGCATTCTCCCGTTGCTGGGGAAAAGCTAACTGAATTTCCCATGCTCTGGTATAGACATTGACGTGCCCAGTGAAATCAGTTCTGAAGGAAGATCCCATAGGATATCAGGTGTGTGGTTAATTAGTTTCTTCAGCCATGGTCTGGCCTTTGGTTTCAGATCCCCACCCTGATTGACAGGATGCTGCTCTCGTCCACCACAAAGACAGGGGCAGCAGGGGCTGAGGCTCTCTCCCTCCTCCTGAAGAGACCATGGGACCCAGCTGTGGGTGTCTTGTCACATAATAAACCTGTGAGTACATCCCTGGGCTTGCAAGGAGGGAGGGGCTCAGCTCAGTGTCTGATTGGTGCCCGAATCTGTTCGCTCTCCCCAGTCCTCTCTCTGTGCTTCTCCGTCCAGGTCTCTCTTGTATGCTCGGCATCATGGTCTCTGTCATGGTGTGTCTACCCCGAGTACGTCCTGTCTTCAAAGTGCCCAAGTGCCCTCTTTCTTCTCCTTCAGACCCAGTCCTTGGAGAAATCCATACTGCCTTTTCTCTCTGAGATGAGCAAGGCAGGGGGTCTAGTTTTCCCTTCAGTCTGTGCCTTGGGGGTGCTGTTTGGCCCCTGTTCTAGGAGGCCTGGGCTGGGCTTGTCCTTTGTCTATCATCCCTAGCTGTGTTTGGTTGTTTAGCAAGGGTTGCTCCGAGATCATCACTGGTACTCGTAAGTACTGCTGGCCATGTCCTGTTCTCGGCACCTGTGGCTTGAGTGCATGGTTGGGCTCTGTAGCAGCTCTGGTTCAAATGATCTGCCGTCTTAACTTGCACACGGCTTTTCAGTAGCTCAGCCTGACAAACTCCTCTGTGTGTCCTGTGCTGGTGCAGATGTCCGAGTCCTTTGCTCAGAGCAGCGCGGGGGGAGGTGTGGCTTGACTGGTACGCTTCGCAGGCTTGTCCTGGGGACCATGCCTGGGCTTGTCAAGGATGCGGGGGAGCGGGCAGGTCTCGGGGAAAGGAAGCAGCTTGTCTTATCTTTCTATTGCATTGAATTTTGTAGAGCAAGTTGCCTGGTTCTCCTCTCATCCTGATTGCGTCTTCTGGACCCTCCAGTTCTATGTTCCCCACCTCTCGCCGGCACCGGTTCTGGCAGTCGCAGCTCTCCTGCCTGGGAAAGGTTTGTAACTCGGCATGTTTTTGAAGGGAGGAGGGGCTGAGGTTCGTACTAGCAGCTCTTCAGGGGCATTTAGGGGCAGTGTAACTGCTGTTCAGCTGGCTTCTGTGATCCTGCAACTGCTGTCAAACACCCAACAGCTAGGTCCTCCCCTGGAGCAGCTCCCCTCAGACGCGCACTGCTTGGTCTTCCAGGCTGGGCTCTCCACACCTCTGCGGCCATGGGCCATAGCAGGAGACCTACTGTCCTAGCACATGATTCTGCTTCAGGGATTGCCCAATTGAGTGGATTGAAGACTGTGTGGTTGGGATTCTCCAGTATAAACAGGTCAGGGGAAAGGGGTTATTTGGTGTCTGGTAGCCTGTCTTCTGCCTGGGTGAAGTGCTGCTCGAAGCCTTCCTTGTGCATTGACTGCATGAGCACTCTAGGAGAAAAGCCAGAAGCAGGTGGGGTGGCTTGGTAGGGGAATGACCGTAAACCCCTGAGTCCTGACTCTGTGTGTTCACCCCTGTCAGTGCATCCATATGAATGGTCATCAGGACATATTGCTTCACAGTGGAACTGCTGTGATTTATACGGTGCTCTCTTTGCGGCTTGTGTTCCAGGTGATCCCTGTTGCCACCCACCTGCTGAATAATGGTAGCGGGGTGGGAGTGTTGCAGTGTCTTGAACACATGATTGGTGCAGTCAGAGGCAAAGTGCTGGAGGTAAGTGTATGGGCAGCCTAGGTGGGCCTGTAACGTATGCCTCTAACACCCATGATCGTCACCATGCCTGCACTTTACTGTTGCCTTTCCTCTCACTCCCTCTTCTGTCTCGGCCAGATTCACAACCATTTCACCCACAAACCGATCATCCTGATTGGATGGAACACAGGAGCCTTGGTGGCCTGTCACGTAAGTAACTTCTTGTCTTGCATCCTATCAGAGGCCACTTTACACTGTACGTCTTGAATAAAGGTCACCTGGATTGGCTCTGATTCGCAAGTGCCCTCCCAGCGCTCGGCCCCATGCTGGATTGGGCACGGGTGGTAACTGAACAGTGTGGCCCTAAGGTGTGTCCAAGCTACTTATAAAACAGCGAGGAACCCTGATATTTCCTGGCTCTTGTATTACCAGACCAAAGGCACTTGTGTGGCCGATCACCTGCCTCACCACTCCTTGTTACTGAATGTTCAAGTGGTGATGAGCAAGTTAAGTTGATTAGTGGCAGTTGAGGTGGATGTGGCCGGTGGGGACCTGGATAAGGCAAACTAGGGCAATGGGTAAGAGTGGAGTTGGAGATGCCAGTGTAGGGGTTTGATACATGGTTGCAGCCCAGTGAGTATATCGGACTGGTCCAGATATGTCACTCTGTCAGGGTATTGGAGTTAAAGGACCCACTTTTCTTCGAGAACATGAAGCACTCATTGAGACAGATGGCCTGATTCTGCCCTGTTGTACCACCCCTTGGAGTTCAGTTTGCACTTACATCCAGGCAAAAGTGAGCTATGGGAATCAGGCGCGGTATCTTCAAGGGAGGTTCTGTATTCCAGGAGCACAGGCAAAGGAGAAGAGGGTCCTCCCAGAGTGAATAACTGTGCTTTCCGTTCCTCTTGTGATCTCCGCATGAGCACTAGAATACCAAGAAGGGGGTGGGGTAAAGTACAGGAGAACCTCAGAGTCATGAACTGACCGGTCAACCACGCACTTCGTTTGGAACCGGAGGTACACAATCAGGCAGCAGCACAGACACAAAAACGCCGGTACAGTGCTGTGTTAGAAATGTAAACTAAAAAAATAAAGGGAACATTTTTTTAAAAACAAAAGATTTGATAAAGAAAGTATTAATACAGTTCCAGAGCGTGGAACCTGAGGGTGGCATGATGGGTTCCAAGCTGCTTGGAGATCCAGGTCGTAGGGAGGGAGAGGCAGCTCAGGAAGAATCTAACTTCAGGGTGATAGAAAGAAGCTTGCTATTTGGCAATCACACCAAGTAAAGCCTTGTATTAGTTGGTTCCCCAGCTTCGTGTGAGCTGATGTTTGGTGTTATCTAGGATTATGTGTGACTCAATGATTAAAAGTCTGTCCTTTACTGGTGGTCTGCCTGTTGTCAATACACAGCCCCAGTGTTCCCTTATTTTTTACGTCCATGTGCGGAATGAATTTTATGTGCACCAATATGGAGGTGATGTGTGACACCACATCAGGGTTGGGGATGAGGGGTTTGGGGTGTGGGCTCTGGGGTGGGGCCAGGGATGAGGGGTTTGGGGGTGCAGGTGCCCCGTGGCTGCTGTGGGGAGAGAGGACTCCCCCCAGCCTTCTTGCCGCAGCAGCTCGGGGCAGGGGGAGAGGTGCCTCTCCCAGGCTGCGGCAGCTCCGGCGGGCCTGGGCCGGGCCAAGGGAGGGGCCCCTCTCCCCCGGCCATGGCAAGTCTGGGGCAGGTCTGTGCTGGGTCCGGTGGGAAGGGGTCGCCTCTCTCCGCCACAGCCCTGAGCGGGCTTCTCTCCTTTCCCTCCAATCCTGAGGTCCTGTGTTGCAGTCTCCATCTTTTTGGGCACTGGCAAATGAGGAGTTTGAGATCTTTGTTAGAGGGAGGTATTGTCAAAGCCAGGTGTGTGCAATGGCGGGAGCCCAGCAGCCAGGGCTCTGCGAACTATGTTGACGCTGAGCGGGATTGTTCTGGGAGGGCTCTGGGTAATGATGCTGTCTTGCTGGTCTCTCTAGGTCTCAGTGGTGGAGTACGTCACCGCAGTTGTGTGCCTTGGATTCCCTCTGCTCACAGTGGATGGGCCCAGAGGGGTAAGCCCAAAGCAATGGTCAGAGTTCAAAAGACGGGATTGGTTAGTTAACCAGGCCACTGGATCTGTGAACTTGTTTTAAAGTCCAACCAGAAGAGCAAGGGTCTGAAGTTTGATTTTCACCTGCAAGTATTTTCAAGTGTGTCTGAGCCCATCTAGCGTTTGGGGTGATGGAGAGCCATGTCCCAACAATCCGGGCTCTGGGCAGTGAATTATGGTGGGGCAGTTTGGTAGGGAAGGAGCTTAAGGGTTTGACTGCATCCTTGGTGTGACAGCAGAGTTGTGTGCCTGTGACCCATCTCTAGAGCCCCTCTTAGGCCCCACTCCAGAAACAGTTGCAGATCTCACCTTGCTTTGCACCCAGCAACAAGAATGCCAATTTAGGCAGACTTATCTGGTGACCTGATGTGCTCCTTTGTTAGCTGGCCTGTCTGAGACTGATTCAGGAGTGACCTTGGGACCCTGGTGCCACTCAGCTGACTAGCTTTGGGGGCTGTGTGAGAAGAGTAGGCCCTGGCACTGTATTGCCTCCATATAGAAGGCAGTGAGTTCCATACAGGGGACTGTTCTGTACCAAAGCCTTGTTCAGGGCCACATTTTCCCACTGGGAATATCCCCTTTGGGGCATAACCTGGAAAGTCATGAGACTGAATGGTACAGGCCTGCGACTTACTCTTGCAGGTTAGGTGTCAGAGTAGCAGCCGTGTTCGTCTGTATTCCCAAAAAGAACAGGAGGACTCGTGGCACCTTAGAGACTAACCCATTTATTTGAGCCTGAGCTTTCGTGAGCTACAGCTCACTTCATCATGTTAGTCAATCTAGCATGGCATTTGGGTAGCTACTGCAGTGACGGGGGGAAATGCAGCGAGAGTGGCTGTCCTGATAGTGGGTCACTGTCAGCTGGTGTAAGTCAGTGGAATGACACCGATTTAGATCAGTTGAGTTTCTGGCTCAGTGCCTCTAGTATAAATGTATTAACTTGCCCCATAAAGGTTGTTAGGTCCCGGGCCTTCATATTCTATCGCCCAATGGCCCCTCTGTCCTTCAATTTTAGCTTGTCTCGTTGTCCCATGCTTCTGCAGGATGTGGATGACCCCCTGCTGGACATGAAGACGCCAGTTCTCTTTGTGGTTGGTCAGAATTCTTTGCAGTGCAACGCTGAAGCTATGGAAGATTTCCGAGAGAAAATCCGAGCTGATAACAGCCTGGTGGTGGTGGGAGGAGCTGATGACAATCTGAGGTATGGCTCTGTGACATAGTTCCATGCTGTTGGGATGCCGTTTCCCAGAAGCGTTGAGCGATGTCTGGTCAGGCCCATGGGCCACGCATGAGGATTCTAGGACTTCATTCTGAAATTAGATGGGGACTGGATGGCTAACCGGATAAAGAGCCTTTTATTTCTGGGTAGTCACGTTAAATCAGGCCCAGGCTGGGGGGAGGAGAAACTTATTGCCATCAAACCAGCTATGTGGAATGAGTTGGTAAGACGTGGCCCAGCTCCTAGTGGTCACGTGTCCATGTCACAGGTGGCACACACTGTAGCAGTCACAGCTTGAGTTGGCCATAGAGAATGGACTGTCCCCTTTGGAGCCAAAAGTCGTCCTTTTCCAGATCAAGGTGGAGGCAGGCGGGCAGGGCAGGGTGTGCGGGAAACTTGTGCTGTTCCTGCCATCCAGGCTCTGTCTGTTCCATGGGCAAATGGCAAACTCAGTTCTCCAGGGCTGACAGGCTTTGCCTTTTGCTAACATGAGCATTCGTCATGCGAGGCTGATGGGTGCGTGTGGGGTGATGGACTGCAGCCGACTGACAGCATTCCTTTCCGCTGACAAGTTGAAAGTCCTGGGTGCAGCGATTATCCCCTTTGTGTAAGGCCAGAGAGCCTGAGTTTTATAGACTTTCCTTTTCCAAATCGTTCTCGGCTCTGGGCTCTTGGAGGTAGATTTTGGCTGTTTGCAATATTCTAAAGGGCACTCCTTTGGGAGGTGGTCAGCAGGAGAAAGGGTGCTATGGGACTGGCAGGAAGCCATGGGCCACCTGCTCCAATCACACTGGTGTAAATCTTGAGTAACCCCATTGAAATCAATTGAGCTGTACTGCTATAAAATGAACGTGAGCGGAGAATCAGGCCTGCTGGCCAAATTATGCAGGCGCTGTCATGCCAGTTACATGTAACTAGGAGCATATAATAGGAGTGATCAGAAACCTGGGGAGGGGAGTGAAATGCAAAATTAGTGACTAGCAGCTTTGAAAATGCAGCTCAAAGGGAGAGGCGCATGTAGCCCTTCTGACGAAGCTTTGGGCCTGAGTTTCAGAGCTGCCAAGACATTTCCCTTCAAAGCCAATGGGATTACCAGGTGCTCAGCGTTAGAGCTGGGTGAATAATGGAGTTTTTGGTTCACTGGCAAATCCAAAACATTGGAAAAAGAAATTCATTTCGGGTGGAAGCAAAACCAGTTTTTTGTTTGGAAATTTTCATTGAATTAAAAAGTTGAAAAATTTTCATGTCAAAGCTACATGTTTTGCTTCAATCCAACTTTTTTGATTTCAGGCATTTTGATAAAAGCCAAGGAGGACTAGATTCACAGACTGGGGGAGGAAGGGCAGCTGATCCCTTATAACCTTGAACCCAGTGGTTACGGTCCTCCTGGGGTGTGAGTGTCCAGGTTCTCCCATGGGGAGAAGGGGTTTGAACTTGGGTCTCCCACATTGCAGAAGAGCACCTTAGCCACTGGGCTATTGGATAGGCTGGTGTAGGGTTTTCTCAGTCTCTCCTGGTTGAAGCTGTTCCACTTGTTATAAATAGTTAATTAGTCATTGGAGCAGGGATATGAACTTGAGTCTCGCACCTCCCAGGTGTGTGCCCTTCCCACCAAGCGATAGTCTCATTCCTTTTCTAGTCGCTGTCATCTGAATTTCACCCAGCGCTACTTGGCATATCATGTCCAGCAGATGGAGCCCTTGAATTAAGCACACTTTGAGCTGATTAGTTCCTGCTTCCTATTGGTGGAATCTCAGTAACACAGCAAACCTCATTTGATTATCGGCTTTCAAGCTAAGAATGTTGTCCACAGCTCGGTGGGGGCAGGGGAAAGGGGGGGAGGAATGAACATCTATTGACTTGCCCACCTTTTTAAATAGGATAAGCAAAGCCAAAAAGAAGGCGGAAGGCCTGACCCAGAGCATGGTGGACAGATGCATCCAGGTAACGAGCAAAAAGATCTTTCAGCGCCGTTTCCCCTCCATAGCGTGACTTCCTGGTCATCTCCATGAGCACACGCTCCAGGGCTGCTGCCTAGATTGACTGGGCAGGGGTGGGTGGGCAAGGGAAGTCGTTGACAGCATAGCTGTCCAGTGCCCTCGAGATGAACTTAGTAGTCCTGACATGTTAGCCCTTTTGAGTGCTATCAGGGCCATAGTCCTTCATTGCTTCCATAGTCCTTCATATTTCCCTCTTGGTTCATGTGTGTTCCAAGTCACAGGTTCCAACTTCCAGCAGAGGGGCTCAGATATCCTGGTGATGTCAGCGGCTGAATGGGTAGAAGGCAGAGCAGCACCATTTAGAGTCCTAGATTCACCAAGACTCATGCTCTTGTTGCGTTAAGTGCCTTGACTCCGCAGTGAGCAGCTCTCTGGGTTACCTGGTGCTAGAATTTCTCTTGTGGCAATTTAGCACAAGCCCAGCCTCCTATGCTAGCCTATTTGCCCCCATCAGTGCCTAGTTCTGAGGCTGGCATCACACTAGCTCTTCCAGTCATGGGCTTCTCTGAAACACAACACCCTGCTGAAGTATGGACTGGCCTTATGCTTGTGGAGGAGGAAGCTGGGGGGAGGATAGAAACCTCTAGAACTAGTTCATGGCGTCCTCATTCATTTCACTTGTGGCCCAGACAGCTTTGATGCTACTTTAGTGTCTCTGCTGATGGTACTATGCACACGAATCCCCCAGCAGCAGTTTTCAAGAGGCCCTGTCTGCTGGGGTGGCTGTTCCTAGATTATGGGCCATAAAGGAGATGTCCTGATGCAGATGTCTGGCCTGGGGAAGCAGGTGTTTTTGGTTCTTCCTTTTGTGCTACGGAGAGCGGCATACTCCCCTCCTGTTCCCAGAGAGCCACCGAGATTAAGCGTTAACACGATACCTACTAACATTAAAAATAGCTAAATTCTTCTTGTCTTGAGCAGTGTAGCTGGGTTACGACTCCTCGCTGGGAAGATCTGAGTGGAGTAGAATCCAGTGCAACCCTGGCTATTCTCTGTTTCTGGAATCGTAGTATTTATTTCTTTAGACTGTTAAGCTAAATTCCCTGCACCCTAGCAGGGCAGTAACTGGAAGCTGCTTCTAGGCAAACTGTGGAGGCTAGTTGTTAAGAGGAGTCTGACCCCTGTGTAGGATGAAATAGCTGACTTCCTGACCGGAGTCCTCACCCGCGCGGACAGCCATTCAGGCTCCGACCCCAGGGACCTCGATGCCGAGAAAAAGAAGAAACCACGTGACTTGACCAGGAGGGACCTGTCGTTCGACTTGCCAGAAAGAACCAGCAGTCCCACCTCCCCGGCAGCCAAGGTGCCGGCCTCACCTTCTGGCTCAGAGGTAGGGACTGGCCCTCTGGCATGTGGAGCTGGGGAAGGCCTGTGTTTGAATGACCATCCTGTGGGCTGTTTTTGCACTGATGAGCCAGGCTGTGAGAGCACAGGGATGATGTCTATATGGAGGGAGAGGTGTGCATATGAAGGTGTCAGCTGCTCACATGGTGGCAAATGGCTCTGCCAAAATAGATGAGTTGCATTTTAAGGTTTCCTGCAAAGCTTAAGAACATAAGAACGGCCATAGTAGGTCAGACCAAAGGTCCATCTAGCCCATGTTCTGTCTTCCGACAGTGGCCAATGCCAGGTGCCCAAGAGGGAATGAACAGAACAGGTAGAATCATAGAATCATAGAATATCAGGGTTGGAAGGGACCCCAGAAGGTCATCTAGTCCAACCCCCTGCTCGAAGCAGGACCAATTCCCAGTTAAATCATCCCAGCCAGGGCTTTGTCAAGCCTGACCTTAAAAACCTCTAAGGAAGGAGATTCTACCACCTCCCTAGGTAACGCATTCCAGTGTTTCACCACCCTCTTAGTGAAAAAGTTTTTCCTAATATCCAATCTAAACCTCCCCCACTGCAACTTGAGACCATTACTCCTCGTTCTGTCATCTGCTACCATTGAGAACAGTCTAGAGCCATCCTCTTTGGAACCCCCTTTCAGGTAGTTGAAAGCAGCTATCAAATCCCCCCTCATTCTTCTCTTCTGCAGGCTAAACAATCCCAGCTCCCTCAGGTAATCATCAAGTGATCCATCCTCTGTCACCCATTCCCAGCTTCTGGCAAACAGAGGCTAGGGACACCATCCCTGTCCATCCACGAGCTTATCCAGTTCCTTTTTTAACTCTGTTATAGTCTTGGCCTTCACAATATTCTCTGTCAAGGAGTTCCACAGGTTGACTGTGGGTTGTGTGAAGAAATACTTATTTTTCTGTGTTTTAAACCTGCTGCCTATTAATTTCCTTTGGTGACCCTAGTTCTTGTGTTATGAGAAGGAGTAAATAACACTTCCCTATCTACTTTCTCCACACCCGTCATGATTTTATAGACCTCCATCATGTCCCCCCTTAGTCGTCTCTTTTCCAAGATGAATAATCCCAGTCTTTTGAATCTCTCCTCATAACGGAAGCTGTTCCATCCCCCTAATCATTTTTGTTGCCCTTTTCTTTATCTTTTCCAATTCCAGTATATCTTTTTTGAAAAGGGGGGACCAGATCGCATGCAATATTCCAGATGCGGGCGTACCATGGATTGAAAGAGAGGCAATATGATATTTTCTGTCTTGTTATCTATCCCTTTCTTAATGATTCCCAATATTCTGTTCGCTTTTTTGACGGCCGCTGCACATTGAGTGGATGTTTTCAGAGAACTGTCTGCAATGACTCCAAGATCTCTTTCTTGAGTGGTAACAGCTAATTTAGACCCCATCATTTTATATGTATAATTGGGATTATGTTTTCTTTGTATTATCAACATTGAATTTCATCTGCCATTTTGTTGCCCAGTCACCCAGTTTTGTGAGATCCTTTTGCAGCTCTTCGCAGTCTGCCTGGGATTTAACTGTCTTGAGTAGTTTTGTATCATCTGCAAATTTTGCCACCTCACTGTTTACTCCTTTTTCCAGATAATTTATGAGTGTGTTGAATAGGACTGGTCCCAGTACAGATCCCTGGGGGCACCACTATTTACCTCTCTCCGTTCTGAAAACCGACCGTTTATTCCTACCCTTTGTTTCCTATCTTTTAACCAATTACGAATCCATGAGAGGACCTTCCCTCTTATACCATGACAGCTTACTTTGCTTAAGAGCCTTTGGTGAGGGACCTTGTCAAAGGCTTTCTGAAAATCTAAGTACACTGTATTCACTGGATCCCCTTGGTCCACATGCTTGTTGATCCCCTTAAAGAACTCTAGTAGATTGGTGAGGCATGATTTCCCTTTACAAAAACCATATTGACTCTTCCCCAACAAATTGTGTTCATCTGTGTGTCCGATAATTCTTTTCTTTATTATAGTTTCAACCAATTTGCCCAATGCTGAAGTCAGACTTACCGGCTTGTAATTGCTGGGATCGTCTCTGGAGCCTTTTTTAAAAATGGTGTTACATTAGCTACCCTCCGGTCATTTAGTACAGAAGTTGATTTAAATGATAGGTCGCATACCACAGTTAGTAGTTTTGCAATTTCACATTTGAGTTCCTTCCGAACTTTTGGGTGATACCATCTGGTCCTGGTGACTTATTACTGTTTAGTTTATCAGTTTATTCCAAAACCTCCTCTATTGACACCTCAGTCTGGGACAGTTCCTCAGATTTGTCACCTAAAAAGAATGGCTCAGGTTTGGGAATCTCCCTCACATCCTCAGCCGTGAAGACTGATGCAAAGAATTCATTTAGTTTTTCTGCAATGGCCTTATTGTCCTTGAGTGCTCCTTTAGCATCTCGATCGTCCAGTGGCCCCATTGGTTGTTTAGCAGGCTTCCTGCTTCCGATGTACTTAAGAAATTTTTTTCTGTTACTTTGAGTCTTTGATTAGCTGTTCTTCATATTCCTTTTTGGCCTTCCTCATTGTATTTTTACACTTCACTTGCCAGAGTTTATGCTCCTTTCTATTTTCTTCACTAGGATTTAACTTCCACATTTAAAGGATGCCTTTTTCCCCTCTCACTGCTTCTTTTACTTTGTTGTTTAGCCACGGTGGCACTTTGTTGGTTCTCTTACTGTGTTTTTTAATTTGGGGTGTACATTTAAGTTGAGCCTCTATTATGGTGTCTTTAAAAAGTTTCCATGCAGCTTGCAGGGATTTCACTTTTTGCACTTTACCTTTTAATTTCTGATTAACTAACTTCTTCATTTGAGTGTAGTTCCTCTTTTTTAAATTAAATGCTAACCGTGGTGGGCTGCTGTGGTGGGTTCCTTTCCCCCCTCCCCCCAACAGGGATGTTAAATTTTATTATGTTATGGTCACTATTACTAAGCAGTTCAGGTAGATCACCTCTTGGACCAGATCCTGTGCTCCACTTAGAACTAAATCAAGAATTGCTTCTCCTCTGGTGGGTTCCAGGACCAGCTGCTCTAAGAAGCAGCCATTTATGGTGTCTAGAAACTTCATCTGTGCATCCCGTCCTGAGGTGACATGTACCTGGTCAGTATGGGGCTAGTTGAAATTCCTTGTTATTACTGAATTTTTATAGCCTGTCTAATCTCCCTGAGCATTTCCCAGTCACTCTCACCATCCTGGTCAGGTGGTCGGTAACATCCCTCCGCCTATATTTTTATTCGAGTGTGGAATTACTATCCACGGAGATGCTGTGGTACTGTTTAGTTCATTTAAGATTTTTACTTCATTTGATTTTACGCTTTCTGTCACATACAGTGCCCCTCCCCCACCAGCACGACCTGTTCTGTTCTTCCGATAGATTTTGTACCTTGGTATTACTGTGTCCAACTGATTATCCTCATTCCACCAAGTTTCTGTGATACCTATTACATCAATATCCTCGTTTAATAGGAGGCATTCTAGTTCACCTATCTTGTTATTTAGACTTCTAGCAGTGGTATATAAGCGTCAGAGTGCCTGGGCTAGGGGTCGGAGTGCGGGGGGGCCGGGGGAGATTTGCCTGGGCTTGGAGGGGAGGGTTGCCTGGGCTGTGGGTCGGAGTGTGGGGGGAGAGGGGCCTGGGCTGGGGGTTGGAGTGCAGGGCGGGGAGGCTGCAATTTCTGAATGCTAATCCTGGCTCGGATACTGACTCCTGGTGTGACTTGGGGCAGGTTACCTGTCCTCCATGCCCATCTGTAAAACAGGGATGGTGATATCAAGCTTGGTCATTGGGGGTTGTGAGGGTCAAGTGGGAACTACCGATCTGCGGAGATGTAAATTAATTGCTATACCAAGCATTATGATTAACCCATTGCTGCATCCTGCCATGGAAACCTGACTGCATGGGGCTTCTCTTCTTGTTTGGGCAGGATCTGTCCAGTGTCTCCAGTAGCCCCACCTCGAGTCCCAAAACCAAAATGGCTGCTGTATCATCTGTCCAGAAGTCCAGCCAGATGGGTGCCACCCAGCTGCTGAAGAGACATGTGCAGAGAACAGACGGGGTCCTGACACACAAGCAGGCACAAGGTAACGCCCCAGCAGCTCGCTCCACTCGCTTCCTCCTCATTACCCCGGTAAAGCCCCTTGCGGGTGTCACTGTCCAGCTATACTCTTACTTTGCCCTGCAGGATTATTCTAAGTCTGCAACCTTCCTTTGGTCATGTGACATTCAGATGGGGCGGTCTCCCCACTGCTCAGACCCCATGCACTGTCATTCCTAAGTAGTGGCATATGGGAGCTGACTCTGGGCAGGAAATGGTAGCCTCTCTGGCATAGGAGGGTGAGTCACTTACAGGCCTTTGCTTTGCTATTGCCCAGACTGGGAAGGGTCTTTGCCTGTCTTGGTGGCCAAATCATCGTGCAGTTGTAGAATGTCGGCCCAGTGGGTGTGGGCACATCCGTTTTGGGGCACCTGATGGGCTGGTGGTTTGTATCAGTGAAGATTTTCTAGGGAGTAAAGGGTGGTCGGGGTGGGTAAGGCCACTGAGCCGGGATGAAGATGAGGGTCTAGCGCAGGGGTAGTCAATAGGTGGATTGTGGCCAAATCCAGACCACCAGATGCTTTTGAATGGACCCCCAAATCTCTTTATTTACTTCTTATCATTGTTGTTTTTCTGGCATCTGGACCGTTCCTGTACTTTGACAAAAAATAATTTGACTACCTCTGGTCTAGAATGCAGGGGAGGGCCAGCCACCAAGAAGGAAAGGCTAACCTGAGCTGTGTTTTTTGTCCTGTGGGATGCTGATTAGATCTTGGGATGAACCTTCAGTCGTGCGGGGAAAGGTCTGACAGGCAGGGCTCTGTCTGGTGTAGGCAGGGTTGTGGTAGCCATGTTGATCCCAGGATATTAGAGGGACCAGGTGAGTGAGATAATATCTGTTATTGAATGGCTTCTGTTGGTGCGAGAGACGAGCTTTCGAGCTACACAGAACAAGAGCGCCGTATAAATTTGAAAGCTCGTCTCTGTCACCAACAGACGTCAGTCCAGTAAAAGACATTACCTCCCCCGCATTGTCTCTCCGTGGAGCAGGAGGTATGTTTTCCTCTGGAACCTGTGGATAATACTTTGTCACGGATGGGCCATAGAAAACCCCTCCTGGCAAACACTATTAATTTAGTTGGGGTTGGTCCTGCTTTGAGCAAGGGGATTGGACTAGGTGACCTCCTGAGGTCTCTTCCAATCCGAATCTGCTATGATTCTATGATAATTAGGAAGTAGTTCTCCCGTCTCCAATCTTTCTTGCTTCCTTTGCTCAGGACAGATCTGAACAGGCCTGCCAGTTCCCCGTGAGCATTGCCCTGTGCTCCGGCTAGTTCTTTCTCTGATTCACAGTAGGTTGCAGACTGGAACTTGAGCCCAGGTCTTGCGCATAGTAGAGCAACGCAAGAACCGTTGAAGTCTGCTCTGGCCTATGTTTTATCTATAGGAGCAAGTTCCTGGCGAGTATATGAAGGGAACTGAGCAGGAGAAGGCTCTGTGGTTGGTATCATTGCAGACACTTCTGCAGGGTAAAGACAGTCCAGAGGGAGGGTTCACGGAAGCGTTGTGGCAATGAATGTTTGTGTGTACTAGTTACTGCTTTCCAGTCATTGCCAGCATTTCAGCACAGAGATGGCCAGTGTGACTAGCTCTAGGGTGTCTGTGTGGACAGCTCCAATATCAGACATGGGGCGGAGCCCAGCATCACAAGCCTGCTCGTGCTCCCTGGAGGCGGTCATCAGGGGACAGTTAGGGGGCTGTGGGAAGGATGCTGTGTAGTTTGGTAGTGCTCTTGTGGGGGGAGGGAGAGGGATGTCTCCAGACCTGTTGCCCCTTCCCAGGTGGGTGTGATGCATTGCAGTTTGGGGGATGAGTCAGGGGTGTCTCCAAATGCCATGAGGTTGCATCACGGAGCTGTACTTCCATCTGTCAGAGTGAGTGGTGTCTGCAGAGCTCCCTGCTGGCCAGCTGTGGGTCCAGAGGAGTGAGTGGTGTCTGCAGAGCTCCCTGCTGGCCGGCTGTGGGTCCAGAGGAGTGAGTGGTGTCTGCAGAGCTCCCCGCTGCCCAGCTGGTCCCAGGGGAGTGAGTGGTGTCTGCAGAGCTCCCCGCTGCCCAGCTGGTCCCAGGGGAGTGAGTGGTGTCGGCAGAGCTCCCCGCTGGCCGGCTGTGGGTCCAGAGGAGTGAGTGGTGTCTGCAGAGCTCCACGCTGCCCAGCTGTGGGTCCCAGGGGAGTGAGTGGTGTCTGCAGAGCTCCCTGCTGGCCAGCTGTGGGTCCCAGGGAGTGAGTGGTGTCTGCAGAGCTCCCCGCTGCCCAGCTGGTCCCAGGGGAGTGAGTGGTGTCGGCAGAGCTCCCCGCTGGCCGGCTGTGGGTCCAGAGGAGTGAGTGGTGTCTGCAGAGCTCCCCGCTGCCCAGCTGTGGGTCCCAGGGGAGTGAGTGGTGTCTGCAGAGCTCCCTGCTGGCCAGCTGTGGGTCCCAGGGAGTGAGTGGTGTCTGCACAGCCCCCGCTGGCAGCTGTGGGTCCCAGGGGAGTGAGTGGTGTCTGCAGAGCTCCCCGCTGCCCAGCTGTGGGTCCAGAGGAGTGAGTGGTGTCTGCACAGCTCCCCGCTGGCCGGCTGTGGGTCCCAGGGGAGTGAGTGGTGTCTGCAGAGCTCCCTGCTGGCCAGCTGTGGGTCCCAGGGAGTGAGTGGTGTCTGCAGAGCTCCCCGCTGCCCAGCTGGTCCCAGGGGAGTGAGTGGTGTCTGCAGAGCTCCCCGCTGGCCAGCTGTGGGTCCTAGGGGGTGAGTGGTGTCTGCAGAGCTCCCCGCTGGCCGGCTGTGGGTCCCAGGGGAGTGAGTGGTGTCTGCAGAGCTCCCCGCTGGCCGTCTGTGGGTCCAGAGGAGTGAGTGGTGTCTGCAGAGCTCCCTGCTGGCCAGCTGTGGGTCCCAGGGGAGTGAGTGGTGTTGGCAGAGCTCCCCGCTACCCAGCTGTGGGTCCAGAGGAGTGAGTGGTGTTGGCAGAGCTCCCTGCTGCCCAGCTGTGGGTCCCAGGGGAGTGAGTGGTGTCTGCAGAGCTCCCCGCTGGCCGGCTGTGGGTCCAGAGGAGTGAGTGGTGTCTGCAGAGCTCCCTGCTGGCCAGCTGTGGGTCCCGGGGAGTAAGTTGTGTGTGCAGTGCTCCCCGCTGGCCAGCTGTGGGTCCTAGGGGGTGAGTGGTGTCTGCAGAGCTGCCTGCCCCCACCGGTGAAAGTCAGCTGTGGGTCCAGGGAGTGAGTGGTGGCTGCAGAGCTGCCTGCCCCCCGCCTGTTGTCTGTCTCTCCCCCCACCCCCCGTGAAAGCCAGCTGTGATACTGTAATTCTCTCTGATTCATTTCAGCTCAGTTTGCTGCTTTTCTGAAACAAAACATGCTGGTGAGGAAAGCTCTTCCTCCTGGCACCTCTTCATGTCTCTTTGGTGAGTATCTCCTCACTTCCTCTCTCTCTCCGCTTCCTTCCTCCTCCTCTGGCTTTCCTCCATCACCTTCCTCTCCTCCTCGCACTGGTTTGGGGGGCGTTCTAGCGTGTGGTCCCCCTCTCTCTGCTCTTTGCTTTCTCATTGCTGTCGTGGGAGCTGAAGCAAAACAGCCACACCCCTCCCCTGGCTTTCCCTCTTTCTGGCCGGTAAATGTTCCCTGGGAGTGACATGATTTTGCAGTGGTTTGCTCTGATGGACTGTGGCATCATGTGAGTGTCCTGGCAGCTTCCTGTGGTCAGGAGCGTAACTCTTTTGTGTGCTGGGTCTGATTGGCTGAGATGCAGACCACAGCATGGGGAGTTGTGCTTTTGACATGGAAGGCGCTTCGTTGATGCATGGTACGGGAAAGTGCTTTGGACAGCCTGTCGCGGGTGCAGAGACGGGGCTGCTTAGTGACTCAAGGAGGCCGGCTGGAGCATCTTTCCAAACCCATGGAGAGTTGGAGGAGGAACAGCAGAGGAGTGGGTAGGGAGGGCGAGGGATTCCTTGGGAAAGCAGGAAGGCAGGGCTGAATTGGATCCTGAAATGGATAGGAAGCCACTGTTGATGGTGGGAGAATGGGACTGGAGGAAGAGACTCTGGCTACTGTATGTCAGAGCCTCTGAGACCTAGAGATGAGGGGGCCAGATTCATAGCTGAGCTAAATGGATACAACTTCTTTGCCTCCAATTGCATTGGCTGCCACTGTGGAGTCAAGCTGAAGGATTTGAGGTTAGAAGAGGTTGGTGATAAAGGTCTGGAGGAGGATTTTAGCAGGGTTAGGCTGGTAAGAGGGTTGGGAGGCATTTCAGTTGCTGTAATAGCTGGATCTATCTCTAATGCGAGTCGCTTTGTCATGACATGACCTGTCAGTGCCAGAGCAGGTGGCCCTCGGCTGTGGGGAGTGTGATGGAGGAACACCTCTCTGTAAAGCATGGTGCCTCATGGCATAGTGCTGGTGGCTTCTTGTCTGGACGAATGAAGCTCTGGATAATTAGTTGGAGACCAGCGGGACTGTGGGGTGCTGTAGCTGGGTTCTCTGAGATACCAGGAGGTCCCCATCCCTCTCTCTGCCTAACACACAACTGGGTTATTGTCCAAACACTCCCTTCTTGGGGTTTGGCTGTATCCAGAAGTGACATAACAAAGCCCGAGGCAGGACTGTATAGACAAGCAGGTCCTAGCCTAGGCTGGCTACTTATTGAGTTCTCCTTCCCTCAAGCTCTGCCTCTGAGAACTTTGGTTTTTCTACTACGGCGTTGGAGGTAATGAGATCCACCTGGTCAGGCTGCCTGGGTGACTCAGCGGAGTAGCTCTGCACTTCTCCGTGGGGTCTGAACACCCAGCAGCAGCTCACAGGCACAAAAAGGATTAATTGCCTAACTGGGGTGATTCCTGCTCGCATGCTGTCCGGATGGGAAGAGATTTTTCCCTGGGACACATTGGCAGCAGCCCCACCCTGTTTCTGGAGCATTGAGCAGGCGGCATCAGTAGGATCCAGGTGTGCAGTGTTCCACACCATCAAAGGAGCACTTTAGTCCCTGCCATCGAACACTTTATGGGAAAATGCCTTCATGCGGTTACATTGGATTTGCCCGCTGGCAGCTCTGACAGTAGCTAATGCGAAGCCAGGGCTGGTCACACTGTCCTCCAGCCCTGCTGTTTCTGCGTCGGTGGGGCTGAGGAGAGGGATGCTGCCTCCCTGCAGGAGAACAGCGTGGTGGGAAGCCATGGTGAAGTGGGAGCAATAGGTTTGTCTAACTAGAGCTCAGAGCGCTGGTGCCTGGGGCTTCAGCCTGAGCGCACAGGGAGCTCTTCCCATCTGTTGTGAGAACAAGAGGCTGTGTGTGCCACAGTGACTGTGTAATGAAGGAGGCTTTGATCATGTGGAATGCAAGAGGGTGTGTTTGATCACTGGCTGTCATGGGTGCTCTGAGGAGTACTAGCATCGTTCCCCCTGCAGCTGCCGTTTCATGGTGCTGCCCAGCTGATGGCGCCGGGTGGTGTGCTTGATGCTCGGGCGGTCTCAAGGGCTTTTGCAGCGGAACTGATGCCTGTAATCTCTTCGCATAGGTGATCAAAACTCTCTGGGTAGTTCCATTCACTCTGCATGTTCACAGTTCTGGGGAAGGTGTGTAAGCTTTGCGCATCTGTTATCAGCCAGCACCCCACCTTGCTGCCCTCAAAGCAGGACCCTGGGTGCAGGTGCTAAGATAATACGCATTGATGCTCGCGTTGGGGTAGAGCAATGCCAACAAATAAATGCCTAGCAGTAATGTGGTTCAGCTGCACTCTCCCCCAGCAGTAGGTCGGGGACCTGCTCCTGCAAAGTGGGGTCATTGATCTCCAGGAGGATGAAGGCTGTTCAGTAAAGAACTTGGACCCCAAGGACTATTTCTTCTACACACACGCGCCTCCTCCCCGACCCCCATAGGAGAAGGAATTAACTACCTCAGTGACTTTTTTCAGGCTTTATATATTCTTGTTTCCCCTACGGCCCTCCCCAGCTTGAGGGTAAGTATTTAGGGCAGGTCTTCACTACCCGCCGGATCGGCCGGTAGTGATCGATCTATCACATCTCGTCTAGAAGGGATAAATCGCTCCCCGAACGCGCTCCCCATCGACTCCGGAACTCCAGCTCGTGAGAGGCGGAAGCGGAGTTGACGGGGAAGTGGCAGAGGTCGACTCACTGCCGTCCTCACGGCCAGGTAAGTCGACCTAAGATACGCCGACTTAGCTGCATATCTTAGGTCGGCACCTCCCCCCAGCGTAGACCAGGGCTTAGAATTGAGAAATGGAGGCTGGAAGGGACCTTGACAGGTCATCTCGTCCAGACCCCTGTGCTGAGGCAGGGCCAAGTAAACCTAGACCAAACCTGACAGGTGTTTGCCCACCTGTTCTTCAAAACCTCCAGTGATGGGGATTCCACAACCTCCTTTGGAAGCCTGTTCCAGAGCTTAACTCCCCTCAGATTTAGAAAGTTTTTCCTAATCTTTAACCTAAATCTTGCTTGCTGCAGATTAAGCCTGTTACTACTTGTTCTGCCTTCAGTGAACATGGAGAACAATTGATCAGTGTCATCTTTATAACAGCCCTTAATCTATTTGAGACTGTTCTCAGGTCCCCCCTCAGTCTTTCTTTCTCAAGGCTAACTCAGTGTCTCCAGTTTTTTTAACATTTACTCACAGGTCAGGTTTCCTACATCTTTTATCATTTCTGTTGCTCTCCTGTGGACTCTCTCCAGTTTATGCACATCGTTCTTCAAGTGTGGCGCCCAGAACTAGTCACAGTACTCCAGCTGAGGCCACCCCAGTGCTGAGCGAAGTGGGACACAATTATCTCCCATGTCTTACTTACCACATTCCTGCTAATACACCCCGGAATGATAGTAGCCTTTTTTGCCACTGCATCACATGGTTGGCTCATATTCAGTTTGTGATCCACAATGACTCCCAGATCCTTTTGAGCGGTACTATGATCTAGCCAGTTATTCTCCATTTTCTACTTGTGCGTTTGATTTTTCCTTCCTAAGTGCAGTACTTTGCTCTTGTCTTTATTGAGTTTCATCTTGTTGATTTCAGACCATTTTTCTAATTTGTCCAGGTCGTTTTGAGTTCTAATGCTGTCCTCCAAAGTGCTTGCAAAGGGTTGGTGTCATGTGCCTTACTTCTATTGCCCCTTAGTCCAGAGTGGACTGAGACCAGGTGTGGTGGGAACTTCCTTTCTGAGCACTGTAGATTTACACCTTTCACATTGGAAGGCCGGCCTTCATTTCAGCACCTCCGCTGCAGAATGTGCCGGGGCTGGGTGATGTGCTAAAGCTTACTTCTCCAGTGAAGAGATGGACAGCAGGGTGCAAGCCATGAACTCCCGGGTTCTAAATTGAGATCATGCGGTTACATATCAGCAGTGGAATACAAATGGGCAAGATGCGGTACTGAGGAAGGATGGTCTTGTGGTTAATAATCACTTCTGTTCCCCAAGTGCCCAGGGTCCCAGTCATGTAGAGGGTTCCATTTTGCTGGGAGCTGTGATGTGTGCGCCAGAGCATTGACACAGTAGGCCTCAGGACAGACCAGATGTGCTCGGGCAGGGTGGGTTGGGAGGCTGAGGTACAAAGGAACTGTTGAGCAGAAAAATGGAAGTCTCGGCTTGCCTATGTGAGGCCAGACAGGTTAGGATATCGGACAGAGATCCTCAATCCTGAAATCAATGGGATTTAGGCACCTATATACCTTGAATGATCTGGGCCTTAGTCTTTGTGGATCTCAGTTCCTCATCTGTACCTTGGGGATAACAGTGCCTTGCAGGGGTGTTGCGAGGGAACATACAGGGATGATTGAGCTGTGCAGGTGTGGTGGTGGTGAGCGCCAAGGAAACACGATAAAGAACTGACTCTTGCAGAGTAATGAATGGTGGAGTCCAGCAATATGCGCTGCAGTGCAGGGATGGCTGGAGCAGAGCACGGGGTCAGCAGCTGAGGTCTAATCCCAGCTTTGATGGGGTCATATGTGCATTTGGGCAAGTCACTTTACCTCTCTCTGGGCCTCAAGTTTCCCCATTGGTAAAGTGGGGATACGTGATGATGGGCTGGCATTTGTACTGTGTTTTGGAAATGAAAAACACTTCTGTAAGGGGCATTATTACTGCAGCGGTTCATAAAGTGATAAGCCTGCACTGTTTTTCAGTGCAGAAAAAGACAGGATCCTTAGACTGTGCTGCCTTAGAATATGAAGAGCTCATTCTAAATACAGCAATTTGTGATGCACAAGGAAATCAATTTAGAGACGTGAGTGGTAAGGAGAGAGAGGACTCTCCAGCAGTTGGTGATGGGACACTAGATGGGGAGGGCTCTGAGTTACTACAGAGAATTCTTCCCCAGGTGTCTGGCTGCTGGGTCTTGCCCAACTGCGCAGGATCTAATTGATCACCATATTTGGGGTCAAGAAGGAATTTTCCACCATGTACTGACAAGCTGAGGTTGTTTCCTCAGCAAACGTCATTCCTGCCTGAAGAAGAGGAGTTGTTGTGGCACCTTAGAGACTAACCAATTTATTTGAGCATAAGCTTTCATGAGCTACAGCTCACTTCATCGGATGCATACCGTGGAAAATACAGAAGATGTTTTTATACACACAAACCATGAAAAAATGGGTGTTTATCACTACAAAAGGTTTTCTCTCCCCCCCACCCTTCTCTCCTGCTGGTAATAGCTTATCTAAAGTGATCACTCTCGTTACAATGTGTATGATAATCAAGGTGGGCCATTTCCAGCACAAATCCAGGTTTTCTCCCTCCCCCCCCCACCCCGCAAACCCACTCTCCTGTTGGTAATAGCTGATTCCTGCCGGAGTCTGCAGGCTGCGTCCTGGCGGCCTGTGTCCTAGGTGCCAGGCCTCCCTGGTATGGTTGAAAACGGGGGGCAGAAAGCACTGGTGAAGGGAGCTGGGGGAAATTCAACACAGGGCATTTTGGAAACATGCTAATAGAGTCCGTCCCCTTCTGCCATGTCACTTTCCCGGGGGACTCTGCAGAAAAGTCTGCGTGTTTAGGATGCAGGGTTGTTCCATGGGCTGGCTCAGGAAATGCTGCACTGGGACAGATGCAGCGCTGCAGCCGGGCTGCTGCCGCCGTGTTCACACTTCCTAGAGTGACAGAAGCGGGTCTTCCAGTGCTGTACTAAACCCACCTCTTCTGCCGACCTAGTGGTGTCCACACCGGGGCTTGGGGCGGCTTCATTACACTGCACAGGATGCAAAATTCTGTAATTTTGTAGTTCAGGCAACGTAACGCTGTAGTGTAGACCGGCCCTTAGCAACCAACTTTGATTTCCCTGGGCCTTGCTGGGCCCTCCCCCAAAATCTCCCCAGGAAGCAGCCTGAGTTTGAAACATTGAGATTTGATACTGCAAATACTGCGTCCACCTCAATGTCTGTGCAGCACCTGGCACAACAGGGCCTTCCACCGTAATTTAAGGATTAGAATAAGGAAAATAATATAAAACAGAGGAAACAAATCAACCCAATACAGAAGCCTTGGCATGCTGCTAATCCCCTTGCTCAGCCCAGACAGTGACAGCCTCTGTAATACTGCAGTAAATATGTCCCTTTCCGGTGCAGGTAAATAATGTGCACTATTTTCAAACAGCTCTTTGGCAGACCTTTAATCAAATACCAGTTTGTTATGAAGGATCTTTGCAAGAGCCCACGCCAGTGACCTGTAATTCAGAGGGGTGTCTTCCCACATGTTCCTGTGTCCAATGGTAGTTTTCAGGAGCTACCTCAACAGCTGAAGTTAAACTCAGCCCTGACTCTTCCACAGATGCCTTGTAAAAATGTTAACAACGTCACTTGTGTCTCTCTCGGCTTTCAGAGAGATCTGAAATCTCGCCCAAGATTTCTCTCCAGTCTTTTGCTGCTTTTTCCCAAATTCTTGAGGTGGTTCCCAACAGGCTTGAGGGCTCTTGGTGTCCCTTTTTGACCTCTAGAAGCAACACATTCACACACACGGGAACTTGGACTGTCTTGCTCTTTTATATGGCAGGTGCCCAGTAGATAATTGGTTTCGAAGAGTCTGAATAATACCCAAACCTCAGCCAGACAGGCCTCGGAAGTCTCACGGGGATCACGGTGCACGCCCCCTCCTTGCCCAGTCACACCTTCCTCACCCTGCAGTTTCCCTATGTCAAAAGACAAAACGGAGAGGCAGACCCAGGTTGCTCTAGCCCTGACACAGGCCTTCAACACCAGCACCCTGCGATGCAGCATCTGACGGGGGCAGCTGAGCCAGTCAGGAGGGGTTCACACAGAGCACAGCACAATCCGTTAAGATTCTCACTTGGCTCCTGCACTTCCTCAGTTTGCAGAGCAGGGCCTAAAGGACAGGCGTGGCTGTCACCGAGTCAGCCCTGGGGCTCAAGTGGGAGCAACTTGTGCTGTGGTGCTGAAGGCCTTAGGGTTCTGGTGCAGCGTGGGGCACGGGTCACTTGCAGGTTTAAACTAGCGTAAATGGTGGTTCTCTGTAACTTCTTTAAACCATGGTTTGAGGCCGTCAGTGACTCAGCCAGAGTCTGTATAGATTATCAAGATGGTCCTTTCTGACATTAGAGTCTGAGTCCTGGTGCATGGAAGGCAGGAGGGGGCCGCATGAAGGAAGCTGTAGAGAATATGCATGGGCTTGTGTTCCCTCTCTGGGTATATATCACATTATCATCCGTGCTGGAGTTATGCTATCCTCAGGGCAGCAGGTATTGGTTTCAAATATACACTTCTGTGTCTTCTAGTTCCAGTCTCCTCAGAGCAGCCAGAAGCGACTGAGAAAGAAGATGTGCGAATGCAGCTGAAGAGACATCAAACCCCCAGCCCGACCCATTGCAGCAAATCCTCCAAGCGAGCCAAAATCAAGGTGACCATTGTCTCCCACGGGGAAGCTGCTGGCACGGGGAATGGAGCACCCCTCGTTGCACAGCCAGAAAGTGAGTCCCAGTTCCAGAACTGCTCTTTAAACCGGAGATATTTACATTCAGTGATATTTACATGGAGATCGGGTAGTTGGTGTGTCTCAGGCCAGCTCTGGGTATGAGGATATGTCTGCTGACAAAGATGGAGCCAAAGGGGAGGAACCTTCTTCTTTTACAACATAGACATGGCAGGCAGCCTAAGCGGTTCCAGATGCCAGCGACTGGGTGCTCAGTGATGCTTGGGGAAGGGTGGGGATTGAAGTCCCATAATAGATAGTGTACAGCAGAGCATATGGCAGAAGCTTCGGTTCAAGGGAGTCGTTCAAATTGTATGTGCCAGGGTGAAAGGCTGATTGTGTGTGCGGGGGGAAGGGTTTTCCCTTTGTATATGATTTAGCACAATCTACTGAGTTGTGAGGGACATGGTCTTTTCACTTTCCTCTGAAGCTTCAGGCCACTGCTGGACGCAGGATACTGGTCTTGAGGGACACTCAGTCTCGTTCAGTTTTGTAAGTCTGTGGCTTGCTTAAGTGTCTGTCCCTCAAACCCTGATGCTGTAGAAGTGACAACAAAGGACTCCCAAACAGGTTGGAATCTCTCTGCAAAGATCTCATCTGGGACCCGCTCCTGCCATACAAGGAGGACCATGTTGGGATTTGATGTGGTCTCCCATGGAAGAATCTCTGTGTATTCTCGGTATAGAATAGTTTCCTGCTCTGCTGATCCCCTTTGGGCATTGCAACGGTCTGAAGTCTGTCAAATACACCTTTTATATATACATTTGCAAAACCCAACTCTTCTCCCGTCTTCTCCTGGGTTAAGAAAACCCTGCTGTGATGTGAGTTGCAACTTGGTGAGCTGCAGTCCAGAGAGAGCTGTAGTGTGTTCAGCTTTGTTTCCCTCCAGCACTGGAGAGGAGGCCAGGAATTTTGTTTGCTTATTGTAACCACTGTACATTAAGGAAACTGTCCGTTGTGGTAGGCCAGGTTGATGCATAGTAGGACTTCTGCTTGGAGCACCAAAAAAGAATTCTTAAACGTAATTGCAAGTGAGTGGAATTAGTGTGCAGCGTAGGACTGAAAGGGTCAGCACGCCATTCCAAAGCCCTGGGAAATCAGAGATTTTTCAAAGCTGTAAAGTAAATTGATCCATTTTGCACCATTTCTTGGTTAATTTAACAGTTGGTTTTACTGTGAAAATTAACTAATGAATATATTGTGGCTTACCTTCAACAGCTTTGGAAGTCTCTGATTTCCTGGATTTTTTTTTTTAATTTTCAAAACTTTATTTCTTTTCACAGAAAAAAAATGAAATGCAGAAGTAAACATGAACCAAACAAGAATTCCCTCTTACCGTGCGTGAGCAGGAGGAATACACAGGACAAACGCATTTGTATCCCAAACACCGCAATAAACAAATATTGTAACTCACCGGCCTTTCTGTGTATTTTGTAAAGTGTCTCAATAGAATGCTTACAAAATCAACCACTAGAAAACCGGCATGTGCTCAATGATCCATCGAGGCAGTAGAATTGTATAATAATAATAATCTGGCAAGGAGGAAGTGGGGGTGTGAGTGAAGTAGAAGCAGATTAGTGGAATTCACCAGAGATGCTTACATCCCAGTGCTGAGCACCTGGTATCCAGTGCTTTCAAATGTCGAAGCTGATTCCCTCAGTCCTATTGTGCATCATAAGATTGTCGCAATGGCAACTTCCTGGTTTTATTAGTGATTCTATTTGGTTTGATGTTTCTGGAAGGACTCGCTCTCCTAGAACGTGCTAGAAGATATTTGGGATTGTGCTGGAGCTTTCCTTTAAAAAGTGCTTTGGGCAGCAGGATGAGCTCTGTTCCCCCAGCATTGCTCTGTGTCACTGGGCCGTGCGTGATGGCAGGGGCTCCCCAAAGGCTGGAATAGGGCAGAGCTTTACGTCTCGTGTTTTTCTTTGTTTCCCACAGGTGTGCCAGGAAAGCCTCCCACCATGACCGTAGGCCAGTCTGGGTCAGGCGTAAAGGAGTTCTCGGGACTACTTACCACCACCAAGTGAGTGTATCATTTTATTTTTAATCTGTGGATCTCTGAGAGAGCTGAGCCGACGCCAGGCTCCAGAGAGCAATGATTCCAGTGTCTGCCACTTCCTCGGACCTTGAGTGTGAAAGGATATGTCAGAGGTCCAGCTCTATGTCTGAATCCTGAGATATAGGAGATATCCAGTCCCCTGGAACCTACCCCTCGTTGGTGTTGACTTGTTGCAGGGCAGTCCTGAGATGTGTTGGCAGAGCGAGGGGAGTAGTGGGGAGGGCATCCTGGTGATAGGAATATCTCTCTCTTTCTATGGGGGAGACAAAGATTGAAATGATAGATACAAACCTCCTGATCTTTGTGATTCTGGCACTGCTTTCTCTCTCCCTGCATCTTCTGCCTTAACCTGGACTCCAGTTCCTGTCCTTAAAGCATCTTCCCTACCCAACCCTTGTCTCTGCCACTGCGGCCTCCCTGCCTGCTGCCAGACTCGCCCCCCAGCGCTGGAGGAGTATTTAAAGTAATTCTCCTTTGAAATGCCCCCCCCCCGGGAGTTTCTTGCTGTACATTTAATGCTGTCTCAGTCTTCTCATCTCCCATGGTGCTGCTCTGGTTTGCTGTATGCCTCAGAGCGGCAGCCCCTGCCTTTAACCTGGAACAGGAGGCAGGATCTGGAAAATAAAAACGGTTTTAAATTGAGAGGTCCCTTTAACTCCCAAGGTGGAATCTGTCTGTGTATAACACCTAGTCGGCGTGGCATGGGGACAGAGGGCTTCCAGTCACCCCGCATTTCAGAAATAGACATCCTACTCCATTTGTGCGTGCTTCTATCTCCCGTCATGGAGGCGCAGCCGCTGCGGCAGTTTTGAGTTCACCACAGTAAAGTTTTCAGTCTCACCCAGCCCTTCCAGAAGGAGAGTGGCTCTGGGCTGTGTTTGACCCCTTGGCTGCAATCTTTGTCCTGGAAATACATCCCCTTGGAGTTTGTTGGTTACTGGAGTGCATTTGCCGAGTTTCTCTGTTTATTTTCCAGGCTGAATTCTGCAGCGGAAACCCCCACCCTCAGCTCTACCCCCTCGGCCATGATCCCTAGCAGCACAGCTCCCAGCGCCTTCCATTCCTTGCAGAGCAGGCTGGTGGCCAGCAGTGCCCACTGCAGGCAGGCCCAGCCTAGCAACGCGCTCCAAGGTACCTGTCTCTTTCTTCATGCCTGGCTTGGGAGTCTGCAAAGCAAACCTGGCCTGCGAGACGGATCTGTTGGAATCAGTCGTGTGTTTCCCTGCCTGCACCTTTGCTCTAACCCGGGAGTGGCTGAGAACCTTCCCAGCGTTTGGCTATCCCGGGGGCCTGATGAGGCCAGTGGCTTACTCAGGAGCTGGAAAGTGAGCCTGGTGGAGGATGGAACACTGGGCCAGGCCCTGTTTCCATTGCGGTCAAGGGCAGCTAGACTGGGTGACATTGTTTCAGCGAATAATACATCTGCAGAAAAGTCCATTTTGGGGGATACTTTCAGGTCAAATTTAGCGAATAGTATCAACATAGAAATGGGGGGGAATTCCAAAGTGGTTTATTTTGGTCCATTTTTAAATGGAACATTTCAGCTTTTTTGTTTTGAAACGGTGTTTTGTTTAATAATTTAGCTAGTATTAAAAAAGGGTAAAAGACACCCCAAAGTGACCTGGAGCAAAACAGAAAAACTTGAAGAACAAACAAACCGACCCCCAGATGTATTTTGTTTTGATAAGAAAAACCGTCAAAATTCAATTTCAGTTTGAACCGAACCACGTTTTTGTCAGATTTTTTGGTTCAGCTTCTGAAATAAGAAATCAATGATGCTCTCAGCTCTAATGGCAACATCTCCACCGATTTCGGTTGTATGGGAGAGGAAGTGGCTCGCTATCTGGTGTTCTAGACACGACTGGCCCTGCCTACACTGGGCGCACATCCTGTGTGCAGTCATGCGAGTTGATAGGTGTTGGGTCGTGTTCTAGAATGGTGTTTTCCTCCTGGAGACATAGCTCATAGGGAGGACCGAGGGGCTCCCACAGGTCAAGAGGTAGCGTGACTCAGGGGACAGCCTCCTGCTGAAGCTAGTCCACCAAAGGTGAGAAACTGGCTCTTCATGGCAGGTTATTCCTCAGCCTTGTTTGCTTTCAGGAGCAGCGTCTGCTAGCAGCCTCCTGCAGGGACTGAGCTTCAGCCTGCAGGACATCGGCACCAAGTCACCAGCCCTTCCAGCGAGCGTAGCATCCGTGGGGCCATCCATACAGGTAGGCAGCCCTAGCGACATGGAGGGTTTCAGATAGGCACAGGCTCTCCTGGAGAGCGGGAAACTGGATCTAGAGAGCTTGGGAGGACAGCATCCTTGTCATCCTGGAAGTAGAGCTCTGCTGCGGTAAGGAGCTCTCTTGAGGCTCTTGCTCTTGTGTTTGGCGCTTGTACCCTCAGGAGGAGGGTACTTGAGGAGCAAGGGTGATGGATGCCTTCTCTACAAGGACCACTGCTGTCTGCAGCCTGCCCTCCCATCTGGAGGCTGGGTGCAGTGATAGCATGAGGTGCATGGCAAGTGGGAGTTCTGGCACAGGAGACATTGAAACCTAAACTTGACAAAACACTAGACAATGCAATGTAGGGAATGGTCCTGCACGAGCCCCGGGGAGTGGGTGAGACGAGCCCGCTGGGCCTTTCCCACTCCTGCTTCTCACAGTGGAGTTGATTGCAGCCCCATCAGCTCTAGCAGGGACAGCCTGCAATGCTCCACCTCTATCTGAGCAGCCTCCACACAGATCAAGGTGGTTTATTCATGCTAGGGCCAGTAGTCTCCATGGGCTGCCCCTTCATCTTAAAATCATAGAATCATAGAATATCAGGGTTGGAAGGGACCCCAGAAGGTCATCTAGTCCAACCCCCTGCTCGAAGCAGGACCAATTCCCAGTTAAATCATCCCATTTAACTGTCCATCCCAGTTAAATCAGGGTGTCCATTGTGAAAGGGCCAAACTTCATCCACCCTTGGGCTGAGATGCACTGGCTGCCTACTGGGATGAAGGGTAGGAAGACTCTGCCAGACCTCGGAGACCTCGAACTTCCCTTGAGAGTGAGGGGAGCAGGGAAAGACATCCTGCCCCTTCCTCCCTGGTGCTCACCGCACTTGCCTTGCCTTGCAGACCTCAGCTGGGAAGACACCAGCACCTATCCAGAGTCTGAGTGCCATAACCACGGGCACCGGGACAATCGTCCGCACCATTCCAGTCGCCACATCCTTGTCGTCTCTTGGAGCCTCGGGGAGCGGGAAGCCCACAGCTATTCACCAGTTGCTGACCAATGGCGGGCTGGCCAAGCTGGCCAGCAGCCTTCCTGGCTTGGCTCAGATCTCCAATCAAGCGGCAGGTAAGGGGCTAGTGCTGGTGGGGGGTTTGGAGACGGAGATGCAGGCCCCCTCCCATCTCCTTTCAGACTGTAGTTTGCATTTACAAAGCTTGTTTGAAGTTCAGAGTGATCTGTGTATGCCGACTTACCCTCCTGAAGCCGCTGCAAGGAGGGAACTATTGCCGCCCCCCGTGGAGACACTGAGGTACAGAGAGAGGAGGCGATTTGCCCAAGGTGTCACAGTGAGTCAGTGGCGGATCTGGGATTGGAATTTGTGAGTCCAGCGAGAGAATTTACATCCCTCGCAGGGTGAAGGGGGATCCGCCACTATAGACAGTGAACATCCATTTCCTCCCCAGTAGGAGTCCATCTTCATCATGCACATGATTGAAGGCCCCTTTGTATGTTCCTTAATACCAGGCAGAATTATACCTCGCATGGTTTAGGATGGCTTGTAAACAGGGCCAGGCGGCTGTCTCTGAACAGTGAGTCCCCTAATTCAGAGCATTCCAGGCGCCATAGAGCCAAGATCCAGCTACGGATGCGGGCTGTGTGTTCCTTAGAGATGCCAGCCAAGGTCAGACTTGTGCCCTGTCTGCTCACCCGAGCTAGTGACCGCCATTCCAGCCGTCAGCTCCGTGCTCTGGAACTCGCATTACTGCCTTGGGTCGTGCTGACATCCTTGTTACACAGCACATGGTCTGGTAATAGGAAAAGTGCAGGGGGTCTGGGTGCAGGTCTCCGAATATTACTGCCAGAGACTGTGCCTGGAGAGCTAGTGTTGGGCTTTCCCAGAGGTGGATTTGCTGAGCTGTATGTTGTGTTGGGGACTGTGATCCTTGCCGCACTCCATGTTCGGTCTGTCCTATAGCTGAGCTCCATTTGCTGGCAGGTAGGGAGCAGCTGCCTGGCAGCTGGCAGGGCGGGGTTGTGTCTGTTTGATCTGATTCTCCTGTAAAAGCCCGGGGCAAAGTGTGTGCTCGGAGATCGGCTGGTCGCAGTGACTTGCCTCGCTCCTGTGTCTTCCAGGCTTGAAGGCTCCGACCACCATTACAGTGACCCTACGGGGGCAGCCTAACCGTGTCACTACCCTGAGCCAAGCGGCTGTGGGGACTATCCAGCCTCAGCTGGAGGAGCAGCAGCTGCAAACTCAGACACCTCAGGTAATTCTGGGTCTCTGGTCTTAGGCGAAGAGAAGCCGTTGGGCGTATGTTATGCTTCCATCACCAGTGTTTGCTGACCCACATGTTTTGTGCAGAAGCATCTCTCCTGGGGGGAGTGTTCTGCAATATGGCCCAGCAACCCTCATTGGGATTTTCTCAGTAGGGTTTTGCCAATGCTGAAGCCAGGGTGTTTACTCCCTTATGAGCTGTTGTGCCCCTGTGCTGTGATTTGAGCGGAGACTGAAGTGGACAGGAATGAACGCTTGTGAGGGAGAGCAGTGTGCGCTCTCTGGGCAGAAAGGGGCGTAGTAGGACAGTGGTTGGAGATAGATCCATCCTCTCCTGCCACAAACGCAGAGGCCTCCACCCAAACAGTGTATCTGATGTTACCTCACAGCTGCACTTAATCAACTGGAAATGCCAAACCACAGCAGTTACTTTGGATCCAAACACCTGGAGTTGGTGTCAGCCTGGGAGCCCCTGTTTAATGTCCCTCTGACACTTGGGGCTTTCTGGAGAGGTGTTTGTAGACCCTGCTCTGTGACGAGGAAGGCAGAAAGGGGCTCCCTCCAGAGCTGAGGTCGGTTTGGGCCCAATTTGACCTGAACCTGACTAGACCACAGACAATCCAAACCCGGCCTGCGGTTGTTTTCATACCCGACCTTGGCGCTTGTAGCTAGTCCCAGGGGTTGCAAGGGTGTAGCTGCCAGCCCAGACTCCGTTTTCCATACTTTGTTTCCTCCTTCAAGCCGCAGGGCTAATTATCCTCCAGCCCTGCTCTCCCTCCAGAAGCTTGTAGTCAGGTCTGCTGGGGTCAGGTCAGATGACAGGACTCTACTCCAGAGCCTCTTGCTGCATCTCTTTCAACAAAGGGTCAAACAAGAGTGAGGTCGGGGCGGGGGGCGGCGGGGCGGCACAGCGCCCCATCCTGTGCCTGGAGCTTGGTGCCTCAAGCCTTCAGATCCCTGAACTGAGACCAGGCACCCGGATGGCTAATGACTGGCAGGTGTCTGTGGGTAACACCAGTGTCTCCATACTGTCATCTCCTCCACAGGTCCCAACACTTCCCCATGCAGGTGGCAGGACCCAGTGAGGTGGGACTGTTCAGCATTTATCATGTTCTCTAGGGCAGTGTTCGTCAGCGACCGGTCTGTAGGCTGGTGCTGGTCCCGAGAGCTCCCTGACACGGTTTAGGAAGGTGGCAAGCCAGTCCCTGTTATCGAAAAGGTTGAAAAACACTGCCATAAAGTAACATTTTTTCATGACAAATCTCCCTTGGGATTTTTTCACTCACTGTGACAGGAGTGAGCCCTGCTGCTGTTGGAAGAAGGTTGTAGACTCTTGACCTGTCAAGTTCCCTCCCTGGGAAAGAGACTCAGGGCACCGTCCTCCCAGCCCCCAGCTGTGTCTTGTCCTGGGGCTGAACTCAGAACACAAGCTGCCAGGTTAGAGGCAGATTTGTTTAGTGAAGAAGCAGTTAATGGTGTCAGATGTTCCAGGCTTGTGATCTCAGATCTGCAGTGGCAAATTTCAGCCCAAGTCCGAGTTCAGAAAGGAAATGAGCAGCTAGAACATGTTAAGAAAAAGATGAAATCTCCAGGGCAGACGTCAGTTTGCAGTTGAGACGTAGATTTGCAGATGTCAAAGCCAGAAAGGACCATTTTGCGCATTCCAGCCTGAGCTGCCTAACCCAGGCCAGAGACCCTCACCCATTGGGCACCATCAGCAAAGTTGCAAGCCTCATAGACTGTAAGGTCAGAAAGGACTATTCGGATCATCTACTCTGACCGCCTGCACATCACAGGGCACAGAACCTCGCCCACCCACCCCGTAACAGCCCCTGAACCTCTGGATGAGTTGCTGATGTCCTCAAACCATGGTTTAAAGAAGTCAAGTTACAGAGAACCACCATTTACGCTAGTTTAAACCTGCAAGTGACCCGTGCCCCACGCTGCACCAGAACCCTAAGGCCTTCAGCACCACAGCACAAGTTGCTCCCACTTGAGCCCCAGGGCTGACTCGGTGACAGCCACGCCTGTCCTTTAGGCCCTGCTCTGCAAACTGAGGAAGTGCAGGAGCCAAGTGAGAATCTTAACGGATTGTGCTGTGCTCCGTGTGAACCCCTCCTGACTGGCTCAGCTGCCCCCGTCAGATGCTGCATCACAGGGTGCTGGTGTTGAAGGCCTGTGTCAGGGCTAGAGCAACCTGGGTCTGCCTCTCCGTTTTGTCTTTTGACATAGGGAAACTGCAGGGTGAGGAAGGTGTGACTGGGCAAGGAGGGGGCGTGCACCGTGATCCCCGTGAGACTTCCGAGGCCTGTCTGGCTGAGGTTTGGGTATTACTCAGACTCTTCGAAACCAATTATCTACTGGGCACCTGCCATATAAAAGAGCAAGACAGTCCAAGTTCCCGTGTGTGTGAATGTGTTGCTTCTAGAGGTCAAAAAGGGACACCAAGAGCCCTCAAGCCTGTTGGGAACCACCTCAAGAATTTGGGAAAAAGCAGCAAAAGACTGGAGAGAAATCTTGGGCGAGATTTCAGATCTCTCTGAAAGCCGAGAGAGACACAAGTGACGTTGTTAACATTTTTACAAGGCATCTGTGGAAGAGTCAGGGCTGAGTTTAACTTCAGCTGTTGAGGTAGCTCCTGAAAACTACCATTGGACACAGGAACATGTGGGAAGACACCCCTCTGAATTACAGGTCACTGGCGTGGGCTCCTGCAAAGATCCTTCATAACAAACTGGTATTTGATTAAAGGTCTGCCAAAGAGCTGTTTGAAAATAGTGCACATTATTTACCTGCACCGGAAAGGGACATATTTACTGCAGTATTACAGAGGCTGTCACTGTCTGGGCTGAGCAAGGGGATTAGCAGCATGCCAAGGCTTCTGTATTGGGTTGATTTGTTTCCTCTGTTTTATATTATTTTCCTTATTCTAATCCTTAAATTACGGTGGAAGGCCCTGTTGTGCCAGGTGCTGCACAGACATTGAGGTGGACGCAGTATTTGCAGTATCAAATCTCAATGTTTCAAACTCAGGCTGCTTCCTGGGGAGATTTTGGGGGAGGGCCCAGCAAGGCCCAGGGAAATCAAAGTTGGTTGCTAAGGGCCGGTCTACACTACAGCGTTACGTTGCCTGAACTACAAAATTACAGAATTTTGCATCCTGTGCAGTGTAATGAAGCCGCCCCAAGCCCCGGTGTGGACACCACTAGGTCGGCAGAAGAGGTGGGTTTAGTACAGCACTGGAAGACCCGCTTCTGTCACTCTAGGAAGTGTGAACACGGCGGCAGCAGCCCAGCTGCAGCGCTGCATCTGTCCCAGTGCAGCATTTCCTGAGCCAGCCCATGGAACAACCCTGCATCCTAAACACGCAGACTTTTCTGCAGAGTCCCCCGGGAAAGTGACATGGCAGAAGGGGACGGACTCTATTAGCATGTTTCCAAAATGCCCTGTGTTGAATTTCCCCCAGCTCCCTTCACCAGTGCTTTCTGCCCCCCGTTTTCAACCATACCAGGGAGGCCTGGCACCTAGGACACAGGCCGCCAGGACGCAGCCTGCAGACTCCGGCAGGAATGATGTTTGCTGACGAGACAACCTCAGCTTGTCAGTACTTAGTGCGTAATGGAAACAGAGATCTATTCGGACCACGCTGGCACCAAAGGCCGATGCCAGTTGCTCTCCTTGCATCCAGAAGATGGAGGATGAGGATCCCAGGGAAAAATGTTTCTCCTGACTGTGACGGGGTCTTTCTTATCGCACAGTTGAGTTCCCTGTTTTGGGTGTCACTAATGCAAGTTCCGTGCAGATGGCCCTGCCATAGGGGATGCAGGAAAGCAGACTGTGACTGGGGACTTTGAGCGGTCCAGTTTGAAGCCCGCTCCTCTCAGAACAGTTGCTGTGACCCATGGCTGCCTCCAGCTGGGAGCCCCATGGAGGTGGGGGCAGAGAAATTGCTTTGGCTTTGCATTGCTCCTTCATCATGGGACTTCAGAGAGAAGGAACTTCTGAGCCACTTGAGGCCCACAGATGTGGGCGAGGGTGTCGCTGGAAGCTGCCCTCAGGCTCTGTCAGTGGAAGTGGTACATTAAGCGTTTGTAAGTCCTGGGCCTGTTTCTGGTTACATAAGGATCTGCACTGTACTTTTTTATCAGTAATTTCCACACATAGACATTCCTCCAATGTGCCTTGTAAATGCTTGGTGGCTGTTCTCCAGCTTGCCAGGCGGTGGGAGCACCTGGTCCCTTCACCTCTCTATTCAGTGTCAGTTTGCTGGCATGAGGTGGCCTGTAAGTGTCTCCGGAGTTAGTATCTCTGTGTCAACGCTGAATCTCGTGAAGGGAATGTGGAGATGGTGATGATAGCTCCTCGTGTGACATTGTGTGCACTCACCATAAATCCTCTTCCAGTGTTCAAGATCAGTCTGTCTGAGTCGCATCCAGTTCTGTTGCCCTGTAGGTCAAAATCTCCTTGTGTAAGCCTGAGTCAGTCTCTGGTTTTCCAAGGCTGGTTGAAGAAGTGATCAGAAATAGCATGTTTTCCTTTCTACTTCGTTACCTGCATTGGGGCACCCTAAACAAACATGGCAGAACAATAACTAGATTATTAGTCTGACAAACCCATGACATTTTCAGGCATAGATTAACTCCATGCGTTGTTGCAAGGTGGGACTTGAGGCTTAATTCTAAGCTGTGAGTTTGACTTACATTGTTGGGTTTGTGTGTTTAAGGCAGTGCTTCATTGTGTTAATGTCCATGGAGAATTCTTTTAATGTCAAAAAGCAAAGGAGTACTTGTGGCACCTTAGAGACTAACCAATTTACTTGAGCATGAGCTTTCGTGAGCTACAGCTCACTTCATCGGATGCATACCGTGGAAACTGCAGCAGACTTTATATACACACAGAGAATATGAAACAATACCTCCTCCCACCCCACTGTCCTGCTGGTAATAGCTTATCTAAAGTGATCATCAAGTTGGGCCATTTCCAGCACAAATC